GCAAAGCTGGACTCCACAAGAAAAGAGAGATAGGAAGCAGGAGCAGGTAACCCTACGCCCATTTGCAACGCACTACCTCCCATACTAAATATTAAAACTGTTACATCTATTATTTAATACTACCTCCGGTCCTAATTATAAGAGCCAGTTGACTAATTTGAGGAGATTAAGAAAATAAGTTGAGTTAGTTATTTGTCCTAAATATGTGTTGTCTTTTCTAAAATATCCTTACTAATCAAATGTATTGACTAGAACTATTATTGTTAGAAGTGCTACTTTGGAAAAAATGTATAAATATAAGAGACAAAGTGGATTTGGGTCTTATATTTAGGACCAAAATAAAAGTCAAACAGGGTCTTATATTAAGGACCGGAGGTAGTATAATAGTTAGTTTCATATTTAATTTAACCTTAAATATAAAATTATAATTCATTTTATTTTTCATATTTATTTATTTTTTCTATGACAGTCTTTATAGTAGCTGCACATGTTAAATGTTTTGTCAAATAATAATTTTAGCTAACACATACGATTAGTAAGAGTATTTTACAGAGAACGATACATATTTATTACAAATAACTAACTTAACTAATTTTTTTAATCTATTTAAACTAGTTAACTAGTTTTTATATTAGGAATAAAAGATAATAATTTATCATAAATTACAAACTAGTTCTCGAAGATAGCATGAGACAAAACTCTAACAATAAATATTTGACCGACAGATTAAACAGTCAAATGGGCGGGCTTATATGCGTTTAAGCCCATATTTCGCTGGGAATAATTGACAAGAATTACTTCTTTCGACAGTAAATATAGAATCTTAACATATTTTATCTTTGAGATTCATCTAACGATGAGGTATCATTTATGACAAAACGTAGCAGCGGGTGCAAGCTATGGCCTTTGGTGGCTTGGTCGCTCGCTGCCTTGCTCCCACTCTGCTTACCAAACCTCTTCAAAACCCAAGCCTTCCATAACCCTGCCATTTTTGCTGTCATTGTATCAGGCGTGCCTGCGTCCTCCCTAGTCCCTATATCCGCCCATTCCTGGGTTTGTCCTGGCCCAACCTAGTACCTACCATATCCCTTCCTCCCATCACCACCTCTTCCTCTTTGATAACTCATCTATACGATCGAAATGAATTAATGCTTGACACAATTAGTCCTTTTGGATAGAGTTTACATAATTTTAAAGAATCTGTCTTGTTTTAGAGAAAAGGAAATGTGTTTGTTTAGAAAATCTCAAGCCTAGTCCTCGTAACTAGGGTCTCTCCTGGACTCTTCCTGTTGGTTGTCCGCTTGTCCCTCTCTCGTCCCCTGTGTTTTGTCACGATGCTGTAACATTTTCCGGGGCACTGCTTCACACGGACTCCTCCCCCGACCCACTTCACTCCTTGGGTCCATCACCCTTCATTCTCCCAAATTCAAATTTCCATACCTACTTGTTCTTCAATTTTTTACAAGGATATGCTTTTTTTGAGCAATGTTAAAGCTTGATCTCTTTGGTAATGAATCTCTCCCAAGAATAAAATAATTTTTGGGGCAAAAAGTTCGAGTTCTGTGCATCAGAGTCCAAGTTTTTTTAACCCTCTTCTTGGTCCCCATGTTCACCTAGCATCATTGGCGCCCACGTCTTTCTCTCTCTTTGACCACCTTGACCGCCTCCGTTTTTATATAACCCTCATCTAACACCCTGTGAACCAGTAGCCTCTTCTGGGTCATGGACGAGACACTTGGTAATGATGCCGAGAACATCAATTCTGATTCTCTCGTCTGCTCCCTCCAAGATCCTAGCGTTGGCAAGATGAGCAATAATAGCAATGTTGAGTCTCAAAGCAGCACAGAATCCAACAGTTATGACGAATGTTACAAGAGCAGCTCCAGCTGTATGAGCAATTACTCTAACAGCTGTGATGCCGATGATTCAAGTCTTAGGAGCTTTTGCCCTTGCAAGCCTCACAAAGGCAACGATATTCGATGGGATGCCATACAGTTCGTGAAAGCTAAGTACGGAGATTTGGGTTTGGGACATTTCAGGCTATTGAAGAAGCTGGGTTTTGGGGACATTGGGAGCGTGTATCTGGCCGAGCTTAAAGGGAAGGGTTGTCTCTTCGCAATGAAGGTCATGGATAAGGCAAAGTTGACTGCGAGGAGAAAGATGTCTAGAGTCCAGACTGAGAGGGACATTTTGGGTTCCTTGGACCACCCTTTCCTTCCCACCCTTTATTCTCATTTCCAAACAGAGAAATTCTCTTGCTTGCTTATGGAGTTCTGTAATGGTGGTGATCTTCACGTCCTCCGCCAGCGCCAGCCAGGCAAGCATTTCACAGAGCAAGCTGCAAGGTCAGTAGAAGAACGTGGTACATTCTGTTTAATTTGTTATCCAGTGACGTGAAAAACCAATCTATGCGAAAATGGGAAAATTTATGTTCCAAGTTTTTGTCTTTGCAGGTTTTACGCTTCTGAAGTTCTTCTTGCTCTCGAGTATCTCCACATGATGGGGGTGGTATACAGGGACTTGAAGCCCGAGAATGTACTGGTTCGGGAGGACGGTCATATCATGCTCTCTGATTTTGATCTATCATTAAGATGTTGTGTGAGACCTACCCTTGTTCAGTCCAACGAGGAACCGTCTTGTCGGGTTTCTTCCTACTGTGTCGAGCCATCTTCGTGCATAGACCCATCTTGCAAGCTATCTGTTTGTGTGGAGCCTTCGTGCCTGCAGTTGCAGCCTTCTTGCTTCAAACCCCATGTTTTCAATTCTAAAAAGACGAAGTCAAAGAGTGCTAAACAAAATTCAACAAACCCAGATTCATATCCTATGCTTATTGCTGAGCCAACCAACGCTCACTCTATGTCATTTGTTGGGACTCATGAATATCTAGCCCCGGAGATTGTAAGAGGCGATGGACATGGTAGTGCTGTGGATTGGTGGACATTTGGTATTTTCTTGTATGAGTTGTTGCATGCGAAGACACCATTTAAGGGCAATGGAAACCGAGAGACACTATTCAACGTTGTTGGGCAGCCTCTTAAGTTTCCTGAAGGATCAAACATCAGTTTTGCTGCTAAGGATTTGATAAGAGGATTGCTTGTGAAAGACCCAAAGAAGAGGCTTGGGTTTCAGAGAGGTGCCTCTGAGATCAAACAACATCCTTTCTTTCAAAGTGTTAATTGGGCTCTAGTTCGTAGCAACCAACCCCCACTGATCCCAAAACCACTAGATCTTGCAGTTTTGAATGAGACTTTGAAGCCGTCAGTGCCAGTTAATAACAAAGGAAACTCTGATAATTCGGACAGGTCTTCAGGTCCTTACTTGGAGTTTGAATTTTTTTGATGTACATTGTTGGCATTCCATTTAGTTTCATTCCTTCCCGTGATTTTCTTTCTTCTGTGTTGCAATAAAGTTACGATTCTGGCTAAAAGAGAAGAAATGAAGAAATAGGTATCACAACCCACAAGAACAATTTGTTCATGCACAAACACTTTCTGACAATGCACGAGGAAAATGAAAGAAAAAGAAAGAGCAGAAACAAAAGGAGGAGGCGAACTTTTTTCTGTGTTTGTCTGATACGTGAAATTGTGAGAACTGAATAGATTTGTGCGAGACTTTTAACCCAACAAAATGTACTTCGTGAAAAGGAAAAATTGAACAAGACCTCACACATGGATAAAAGCTACAGTGTTGTGTGGAAATGGCTGCATTTGGGAACGTGAAAATGTAACGTCTGCATCTCACTGATCTGTTACTTTTCTTGCATATTCACTTGAAAAAGTAAGAGGGATGGTTGCTTTTGAATGGTTTCAACTGTTGCTTTATTCCTCTGCAATTACAGCACTTGTTTTATTACGAACATGACGCTTTAATAATTGCATTTCTTTCGCTAGCTGTTGAAGAGGCAATCGATGGTGAGATGATAGAAACAGGAACAGCCTCCCGCAATGATAAATCAGTACTTCACCCAAGACCAAGCTTTTTCCCTTGTCGCTTCATCAATATCCTTTAAATTTATTAATTTCTTTTCTTTTTTTCAAATGACAAGCTCTGCAAATATTCAATTCTTTTTTTAATGGCAAGCTCTACTATTAAACGGGTGCATGTAAGAAACCAAATTATGGTTTTGAGAATAATTTTTGAAAAATAGATTTTTGAGAGAATAGATTTTGTAAAAAAATAATTTTGATAAAGTAAGAATATTTGGATAGTTGTTCAAATTATTAAAAAAGTACAAGTTAATATTATAATCATATAAAAGATAGATTTTATAATATATTTTAATTTGAAAAAATAAAATTGTTAATAATATATTTTTTACCAATATAATTAATAATATATAAGATAATATAATTAATAAATAGTTAATATGTGTATATATTTATAAAATATAAGATTAAATATGTTTATAAAAAAATAATTGATGGGTGTTAAAGTCATATTATCATTGAAATCTATTCTGACAGACTCTCCAATTTGAGTTAGGAGTAGAATAAACTCACTTCTTCTGAAACTATAGTTTTAAGTATAAAACTATGGTTTTTTCAGAATTGTTCCTGTTTGGCAGTTTTTTTTTTTTTTCAAATTATAGTTTGAGGAGACATCCAAACAGAATCTAATTATTTAAAATAGACCTGAGAGCACAATCGTTTACAAATTAAATCAAACAATTAGTGTCTGTACTTTTGAGAGCGAATAAGGAGTAAGTTTTGACCAATATGAAAGGGAGGGCTGATTCAATCACCATATTTCCACGTGACAGCCACCTCACCATTTTATTAGCGCTGACGTCAAAACATGGATGGAGTTAGCTGTCTTTGTTCTGCGTAATTAGAGTGTGTCAACTTCAATAAAATATTTCCTTCAGCTCAAAAACAAAAAACTTCAATAAAATATTTCCATGTTACCGTTTATATAGTCAGAAGCTAGATGTAAAACATGGACTATGGAGGGAATAATTATTTTTTGCAAGAATAGATAAAAGTAAAAATAAAATGAAAAGCAAGCTATTTTTCCGTTCCTGATCAAAGAGGCTTTGGACTGAGTGCCATTGAGGTTCACACAGCAACAAAGAAAAAGAAAGATCAAAATTCAGTGGGGCACGCGTATGTTGTTGCATTGCTTAATCAGATTCCGCACCGAAGAACAATTGCGAAGAAATTCCCCTACTTATTCATTTGCTTTGTTGTACTTGTGTTGTCTTTTTCCGCATATAACTCAAATTGCACTGTTGAACGTTTTGGCTACCTCCCTTCTAAGTTCTAATTAGGTTAGGTTATTTGTATTCTTTTTCATGGATTATCGGCAGTTTCTGGCACTTTCTCTCAGTTTTCTCTGTATTCTCCCTGATCTATCTGTTTCTTCAATTCGATTGCGGAAGTCGGTGGAAGACACGAGCACGTAATTTTACACCTCCTTTTCTATGTTTGTCTACTTGCGCATACGAAAACATGCGAGATAAAACATTAAGTTTCAATTTTTCTCCCCGAATAAAGTCACAATTTGTCCTATATCTTTTGCAGGCGCGGATCAGTGCTTAAATTAAACAAAGAACGTTCTTCAGTGGCGGTTGATCCCGCTCGGGTCACTCAACTCTCGTGGCATCCTAGGTATTTGCTCTTTCCTCTTGTTCTTTCCTTAATTATTAGATTGTAGGCTGCTCTGATTTTACTCTGTTTCTCAATTGTGGCATTCAGAGCTTTTGTATACAAGGGATTCTTGTCTGAGGAAGAATGCGACCATTTGATCCTTCTGGTTAGAGCCTTGTTAATTTTTAAATCTGGTCTGGTCTTTCTTCTATTTATAGCATCCGGAGCGCCAGGACTTAGGACGAATTTGCATGTTTTGATTAAATTCAATGGTTAAAATTGTGGTATTAGGCGAAGGATAAGCTAGAAAAGTCCATGGTAGCGGATAATGAGTCGGGCAAAAGTGTAGCGAGTACAGTCAGAACAAGCTCTGGAATGTTCCTTGAATATGCCCAGGTATGGTTAATTATGGTACCTCTCTTTGTAAGGCTGAACCTGCTAAACATGTGCTTTGTTTTGGTCGTGATGTAGGAGGTGGAGATTTGTTCTTCTTGTAATTATGTTGTAGTAAGAGCAAGATATGTTGCTGTTGTAATTATAATACATGTCAGGAGAAAATAATATGGTTTAGGAAAAAGAAAGAAGTTTTGCTTGTGGTTTTGTTGGAAAGATGGATTCTCAGAATTTATTGATCAGAAAGTAAAACATGAGAGAAACCAGTTTTCTTGTGTTTTGTTGATTTAGGGAGAAGGTGTAGAGATAGACTAGTTGTAGATAAAGTAAAGCATGCGGAAGTGGTATTGGCCACAAAAGGGAACCCCCAAATTGAAATTGCTAGGTGAATGTGCTGACATTCGTTTAACTTCTATTCAACATTATCCAGTCATAATGCTGTTAATCTTCTGATTCTTACATTTACATAAAATTCGATCAGTTAGCTTTCCTGCAATCTTTACAGATCTCTCCCTTCACCCTTAGGAAGCAAAGATTTACTGTTTCTCATCTGCAAAGATTCACAAGGCAATGGGTGAAATGTTTATCACCTGTATTTTTGGTGGTTCTTCGTTCGTTTTCTTTTCATTAATATAACTTCTGTTGTGTTTTGAGGAAAAAAAATAGGCATATTAAATTTCTGCACAAGATTTTGTTGCAAAGTATCTGTGCTTCCCTGAGCTTTATGTTTTATTTTATTATAGTCATGTGACGAATGCATATTAAATTTATTGAATTTTGATGTCTTACCTTAAAGGATGACGTAGTTTCCCGCATTGAAGAAAGAATTGCTGCATGGACCTTCCTTCCAAAAGGTAATAATGCAACACGGCATTTCGGCAATAATATTTTTATGGTTGATTTTCTCTTTATTTTTGTCTGGTTCCTGTCCTGAAGTTACTTGTGTCATCAGAGAATGGCGAGCCTATTCAAATATTGCACTATGAGAATGGTCAAAAGTATGAGCCACATTTTGATTTTTTTCATGATGAGGTTAATCAGCGAATGGGTGGCCACCGGGTGGCCACTGTGCTGATGTATTTGTCCGATGTTGAGAAGGGTGGGGAGACAATTTTTCCCAATTCTGAGGTGATGAGTTCTTGTGAATTTGATCCTCTGATGGTCCCTTTTCATATCCCACTCCCCACAAATTAAACAAGAGAAAGTAAATTGTTCTCTGTCTGTAGGCAAAGTCGTCCCAGCCAAAGGATGAGAATTGGTCTGAATGTGCTCACAGAGGCTATGCCGGTATGATTTTTTTTTTTTTTCCCGGATGGTAGTAACAGACTATAAATGCATTGGGACTTGTTAATGTTATTATGCTTGATTTTGAACATTTCAAACAAGCATGGTTCGAAACTCCTTGTGGGAATTGAGGGGACTGGTTTAGAGCTATAAGTTCAGGTGTGTTTAATGTCGCATGATTACTCTTTTGTCAAAATGATTTTACAAGGCCATTTATGGCCAGTAAGATAACGACATTTTCCTGTTGAAAATCTACACTTGGAAAAGAAAAAATACGAGTTATGATCAATTAAATATTTGGGCTATCAGATAGTTCGCATTTGATAAACCAAATCGATCGTCTTTGTGTGGCTGTTCTCATTTGTTGTAACTTGTCTATTAATGAATAACGTCTTGCCTGCCGTTATCAAAGTGGGCTTACTGCCTTATATTTTGGCGTTTTTACAAATGCAGTAAAACCTGAAAAGGGGGATGCCTTGCTGTTCTTCAGCCTTCATCTGGACGCAACGACAGATCTTAGCAGCTTGCACGGAAGCTGCCCAGTGATAAAGGGGGAGAAGTGGTCAGCAACTAAGTGGATACATGTGGCGGACTATAATAAACCAATAATAAAGCCAAGTGATTCTGGGAAATGTGTGGATGAGAATGAGAATTGCGCAGACTGGGCTAAAAGAGGTGAATGTGAGAAGAACTCTCTTTATATGGTTGGAAATGATGCAGCCAGAGGATATTGCAGGAAGAGTTGCAATGTCTGCTCTTCTTAGTGAAAGCCCTTTACGTTTGTAGCTCTCCATCACATCCTGAATTATGATATATTTATATTCACTAACACACTTTTCATGTACATACATAGCATCCATTTTTTTTTGGCTCTTGTCTTGCATTCCCGGCAATAACTTATTTAGCGGTTACTGACCGTTATTTACTCAGCCTGGACTAGCTTTTTCGTCATCGGTTTTGAGACGCGATATGCAGAGTGCATTCATACGACCATCTATTACTCACTATTAGTTGCAGTATATTCGGCATATGATCAAAGTAATCACTTTTTTTTTCTTTTTGGGAAAAAAAAAAAAGAAACTGGGAGTGTATGCAAGCCTTTTTCAAAAGCTATTCTCCGTTTCTGGAGAAAACCATGACAAGAGATTGCCAGTTGGGAACATCTTGTAGGTGACCCGTTGCTCAAAACTGTTCAATTTTCTGGTTTAGAAACCCTTTTTTTCCCCCCTGCAAAACAAGAGTTTTAGCTTGAGACCGTCATTTTCTTGATTAAAGTGCGTTAAGAATAGCAATCAAACGGGTCATCTAATTACTCCAAATTGGATGATTCGAAGAAAAACTAAATACAAAAATGTCTGTGATCGAAATATTTTATTGTGCACTAAATAAGTAAAAGATAATGAAGAAGAAAACTAACTAAATTAAATTATAACATAGATAAATAGAACCGAAAGAAAGCATAATCAACTAACAGCTTCCCTAATTATATTCCTAGAGTATCGCGTCACCATATATGATCATCCAACTTATTAACCACTGAACTAATGAATCAATCTTAAGTCTGCATTTGCTATATTTGCAGCTGCCCGTTAAGTAAATGAATTGGAACCAATCAAACATTATAATGACTGACTTAGATTCACAATACTTTTTGGTAGGCTTTCATGTAACAAGGTTGGTGTACAAAAAGGAGACTAATAAAAGAGAAATGAAATAAGGAGCTTGAAGGAGGAGAGAAAAATAATAAGCGAAGCATGGCTACTTTGCAGAGATCATCTTTTTCATTTCGACGACAAGGCTCTTCTGGTCGGATATGGACAACTCAAGCCATCGAATCAAAGAGCGGGAACGGCGTTGCAATCTCCCATGTAAATACTTACAGAAAGAAAGTGAAACCCTAACACAACCGGAAGAATTGAAAAACGATAAAGTGTTCGATTCAACTGACGATCTCAACAAATCTTTTTCATCACATAAATCTGAAGGTAAGGTGCACAAAAATATTTTGTCTTCCATTTTTGGGCGTTGCATGCGTTAAATATATTCAATCCATGTACATAGTATATACGATGTACGATTCATCATATTTATTGGGATTGTATAGTTTTGGGGTTTATTTTTCTTTTTAGTATGTGCAAATCTGTTAGGTTTTGTCATTTGATTGTGGTCAGAGTTCAATGTTATTGCTCTGCATGATTCTACCACTATTTCATTGTCATTTAGAAAGGGGGAAATACAATCAAGTCCAACAAAAAAAAAATTATTAAAAGGTTCTAACAACAACCTTAACAGTTTGTAATGACAAACTTTAGAGCAAGGATGGACAACTTTTTAGATTTGTTTTGTAATTTTTTTTTCCTTTCCTGGATCTTATTGTAATTCTCCCTTTAAGAAACCAAGGTTACAATGTATACTCACATGTATCGTGTAAAAATCATTATGGTGTATATACATATGTGTATGTGTGTATATAAGGAAAGATGGATATGCTGTCCAGTTATACTATTTTCAGTTCTCAATATAAGAGCTAATTGACTAATTTAAGTAAATTTAAAAAATAAGTTAAATTAGTTATTTGTACTAAATATGTGTCATTTTTCCTAAAATATCCTTACCAATCAAGTTTATTGACCGGAACTACTATTATTAAAAGAATTATCTTTGCAAAAATAAATAAATATAAGAGACAAAATAGATTGGAGTTTTAAATTGAGAACTAAAATAAAAATTAAACAATATCTTATAGTAAGGACTGAAGATAGTATTTTACATGTCAGTTAGATCATCCTAGTTTTCTTGAATTTGTTGTGGATATTTTGTTCAATAAAGCATTGCCGGAATGAGAAGAGTATTATACGCAATGCGATGATAATAGCTTCTTTTTTGGGTTGCCAATGATAGAATGTTGGAATTTTCAACTTGACGGTTTTAATCCTTGAAGCTTTCAAATTCCATGGTCGCAACTCTCTCAACCCTCATCATGTACTTAAAACAGGAGAATACAAATAAGATATTAATGTCAGAAGAAAATACAAACGGAGATATCAATGTTCATGCAGTAATAATAGTCTATGACCGCATTGACTTGGAGTGGATTAATAATCTCTTTCTTTTCTTATCTCTCCAAACCACGAAACACTATTAGCCTGTGTGAATGCATTATTCGAGAAACAAGATTCAATCTTTTAGTTGATGAAGCCCTTTACTTATGTGTCTTTTAATCTTTTGGTTGGAATAAAATTGCCTTTTCTCCCAAAAAAAAGGAAAAGAAAATACTTTAGCACACCTTAAGTGGTTCTTTCATTTAATAGACAAAAACAAAATCATATTCACACTGTGAGTTAGTCGTCTATTTATTTATATAAAATTATTATACCTGTTTCTGCAGATATATATATATATATATATCAAACATTTTCCTTTACATTTTAAAAGCTTATCATTAGATTATATATGATTTTACAATTATTTATTTTTTTTAAGTTTAATTTAATTCGTTTGGACTAAATTTCAATCACTTTTCTTAGTAAAAAGGAAAAAAAAAAAAAAGAAAAAAAATCAATCTGTTTTATTGTTTTATTTAGTTTTGAAGAACTCGGCAAACAAGTTAAAAAAAAAAAAATCCGTGCGTTGGTTGTCGTTTTCCGTCGTTTTATCTTGTTTCGGCAAACGGTCCGAGACAGGCTGGTGTCTGGTCGTGAAATGGCGGGGGCGTCTTCCGCGGCTGAAAGTGGTTGTGCCTCAACACATCGAAACTCCGAAGTTCAACAGCTGGTCTAGCAGCTTAATAAACAAGTTTCCCCCCCCCCCCCCCGTTTTCCTGTCCGAACACTTTCGACGTATAACCGCACAAATTTTTCGAGCTATCAGATTCGAGCTCTGGAAATGGCGATTTCGTCGCCTCCAATACTCTCACCACTACTTGTAAATACAAAATCAAATTTTGGCTCATTATGTCCTTCATCTCTTCCTGTCGTGGATATTTGCTCCAGACCCACTAATAGGCTATCATCGGCTCTCGTCGTCGTATGTTATCGTAAGTTCGTTTTTGTTACTTTTTTAGTTTCTCCCGTTCATTTTAAAACCTGGTTGGGGTTTTCTATCGACTTCTATGCCCACCTTAATTAGGCTCTTTTATTCCTTCAATGGTTGTAGAATCGGGTAATGGATTGGCGAGTGAGGAGAAAAGAATCTTACTTGAGCGGTATGGCTACGATGCCGACGAGTTCTTATCTCAAGCTTCCCCTAAGGTATCTTACATCTCTCTTGAATTCTATGCCGAAAAAAGTTTGACATTCGCGTCTTCTACTCTTCTATGAATTTGACGTTTTTGTTCGTGTTCATTTGGTTCCCATTTCCTTTGATTGTGGCTAATTAGTTCAAGAAGAAAAAGGAACAGCCAAAAACGCGGAGAGGGCAGCCCGACTCACCAGAGGACTCTAAGCCTGCGCGGACTACGCATAAGTTGCTTCAGGTACACCTTTGCTTTACTCTTGGAAGTCTCTGAACTTTATCCGTGGATGAAGACCTTGAAATTTTTGTTTTCTAAAAGTGATTAGGTGTTGGGATGAAACACGGTTTTAAAAGTGATTTTACGGAATTGGAGCTAAGCATGACAGATGAATTTTGTCTTGTCATCATGTCATGTACTTTCAGACGTTCCAAACACCTCCAAGTATAAAATGAGTTTTGTCTTGATTTACGTTTGATTTACATGAAAACAATGCTTAAAAGTGCTTTTTGTCGTTTTCAAAGACCCCCTAAGTCATAAATTGTAATTGAAGATTCGGCATAGTTATGGCACAGAGAAATAGGATTTTATTTCCATTGTCAATACAGGTTATTGGAGGAAAGGCTCGAAGAAAGAAGTTGCTTTCTCCAAAGGGCATGGATGTGCGGCCCATGATGGAAGTGGTTAAAGGTGCAGCCTTTGACATATTACAGGTGCTAATTCCATGTGTTATATTTATATCCTCTGCACGCTGGCTCAGTTATGAATTATTTGTTGTAATTTTTATTTGGTTTGTACATTGTTTGGTGCTGCAACTCTCATTTATGCTTTAAAATCTTAAGGTGGCTGGTGGCTGTCCTGCATCCTTGAGGCCAGGGCGCTGGTTAGACTTGTACAGTGGTACAGGTTCTGTTGGAATTGAAGCACTCAGCCGAGGCTGTTCTGAGGTACCATAAAAGAGGAGTTCTATCACTCTACCTTGCTGATTCTGATAGTTTGCAGCAATCATTATATTTTTTGCTTGGAATGTCATTTTTGTGATGAAAAATTTTCAGGTGCATTTTGTTGAGATGGATCCTTGGGTTGTATCAGATGTTTTGCGTCCAAATTTAGAGTGGACTGAATTCCTTGATGCTTCAGTCATTCACACTGTACGTGTGGAAAATTTCTTAGAACGTGCAGAGCAATTTGTAGGCATGTACTCCTTTTCCCTTTGAATCTATCTATGCAAGGACACATAACCTATTAGGAATCCACTGCTTTAAAAGATAAGGATTTATGTGTGAGAAAAATATTGTTTCACGCCTTCTAAATGTGAACTAGCTTAGACGTACTGAGCTGCTGAGTTTGAGTGACTGGGAGTTTAGAGACTAAATGAAAATAACATGTAACAATGCCAGAATCCCAAATTGTAGATAAAGGAACAGTAAAAGAATAAGAGGGAGTGGAAGAAAAATCAACACCTTCACGCCCCTCTGCCGTAGAATGCTCACAAAACACTCTTGGAATCTAACGGGAAATTTTCTTTGGAACATCCTCTAAACTATTCATGTCTGCATCCTTACTGTTCTCTTTAGCCTTTGAATCTGAGCGACCCACCAAGTTATCGTTTCTTTTCTTACAAATTTGAAGTTGTTGCATGCAGGTAACAACGGTCCTTTTGATTACATTAGTGTCACCCCTCCTTATACACAAGTTGATTATGGGGTGCTGATGAGGCAAATTTCAGAATCAGTCTTGATTGGAGAAGACACTTTTATTGTAAGTTGCAGTTTTTCAACTTGTATGTTCTCAGTGAAAAGGCTTTCTGCTCGCCAAATTTATACTCTATGTTGTCGTTGTCTAGGTAGTTGAGTATCCTTCAAGAACTGTCATGCTGGATTCCTGTGGATGCCTCGTGAAGGTAATTGAAGTGCTTAATAATACAGCCTATAATAACGCTTCAGAAGCTGGGATTTTCTCTATTATATACGCAAGATGCTCCCAATATATGCTAATCGTTATACTACTATTATTTCGTAACTTAAAATGCGACCTTAATACTGCATTTATAGTTTATCATACTGTCGTGGAGCTTCAAGACATGCGCAGTCTGACCGAGTTTGTTCATGGCTTTGTATGAAACCCCAGATAACCGATAGACGGTTCGGGCGGACCCTATTGGCAATTTATGGACCAACATGGGCCCAAAAGAAGAGCAGATAAGAATTTTACGTAATGCGGGTGCTGTTAATTTGCTGGGCAATTGTTTCATCATGGTGGGTTCGACGAAATTCATGATATGGCAGTCTAATAATGGCCGAGCTACCGGTCTCGTGATGTGGGCAGGGTTTCTGTTCATGGTCCACTACAACACACCCATCGTAGGTAGTAGGAAGATTCAATCCCTGCTATGGTGAGTCTCACTTGAGTCAAATCCGCGTTTCTGTTCATGGTCCACTACAGCACACCTCTCTCTTTTTACTGTTGTTAAATTTATGAGAGAGTATCCTGATTTGTTACAAACTTTCAATGAGGGTGGTTATAAATATAATATGGAATCCCATGAGCTGAAAATATAATTAAGTGCAGAGCAAGTTCTCCGGAAATTTAGCATCACAGTTTCTTCTCAGCAAGTATTATAATACGAGTGTGGCTTGTGGCGAGCTTGGTACCGTCATTGATCAGTTGCTATTACACGTAGTACATTGCATCTTTGAAGGTGACATTAAAGGACCAAAGCAAGAAACAGCCTCTGCGTTATGCTCAGTACCTGTGTTGTGAATTTGTACATTCATTGCTTCAGTTTGAAACGATGTGCCGAATAACACCTAATTTTCCAGCTCTTATGATTTCCAACATTTAGTCTCCTGATGGACATTCACTGGGACCCATCATGTTCGGAAAATGTTCGGTAAAATCTTTTCGACTCCTTGGGATTTACGCTGCGCTGGCTTCTAAGATTCATATCATCCGCATCAAGATTATGGAAGCGAATGAAAGCTGTAATTTCATCTTGAGAATGGGCTTCTAATGATCCCTGCTAGAAAAATAATTAAAAATATATGTGAAAATGAATGCGTAAACTTCCTATAATAGGCAACTTAGGCGTTGCTAAGGAGTATTGTACGATTATCATTGTTAACATGGAGCTATTCCATATAAACAAATATCCCCGGCATACGAGAAATTAACTACATTTTTTTTTGGCAGAACTACTATGAGGTCCTAAATAAAAAAATATAATTACTGAAAAATTTTAATGATAAAAGAACAGTTTGTAATGAATATTTTCAAAAAATAAAAAACTTTATTTATTAGTGGAACTTATCAGTAATTATTTTCTCTTTTGATACCTCATTGCGGTTCTCTGCCAAATTCATAGAAATAGCATTTGAAGCATGTTGTTTATAGACATTAGGCAGAGAGAAGGCAGAAGGATAGGCATGAAACAAAAAACTGCATGGAGGAGATACAGTGTGGCAAGCTCAAAGTGGTCATCCAAAGAACTTGCAAAGCAGCGTCACCAATTTTTTGATTCAGTCACTGATAGGATAAGATTCATCATTCATGCCTTTGGTGATGCTTGACTATGATGATATAGCAATGGCGTAAACCATAAAGAGGAGAAACGGGTAAACCCAAAATATGCATCTAAATAGAAATTATAGTCAAATTGGAGAAAAATCTAAGTCATACAACCTAATCCATCAGGATGAGATGTTAAAAGTTTCACGGCAGCAATCTCTCCCACTGACGGACGAAACATGACCAAAGTGAGCACCACCTGCCAAAAATCAGAATACGGCTTACAGAAATGGTTTTAGAAAGCATCACTACGAAATGATACGAAGGCACAAGATTAAACAGATTCAAAAGTAACCAAAAAAGAAGGGGGAAAAAGACTTCATTACAACAAAGCAACATGTAAACGCCCAGTGATTAAAGTTCAGGACATGCACCGCATGGGTTGCAGCACCATCACCAAGGAAAAATGTACCCACCTTCAATAGATCTGACATTATAGACAGAAAAATGTGAAGTCCCAGGTCTGTAATAGCCTTGATTATTGAACAAATCTATTATCAGACATGGCCAATTACAGGGGCAAAAACAGTTCATGAATAAAATAAAATAAAACAACTGAAAGCCTCATCCAAGTAAAGCTTCTCGAGCTTCTTATGTATGGACGAATTCTGCAATAGAAAGGTTAAGAAGATGGGGGGGGGGGGGGGAAGCTCAGTGTGTGCTTAGAGGTAGCCACTGAGAAATGGACCAAATAACTGCGGAAAATAAAATGACTTGCAGGGAAATACAGCAAGAGCTCTTCACTTTGCTGAAAATGTGGTTGGGAAGAACAATTATTATTCCGAGCAGTTCCGCCGGAGTCCCAACGGGCTTCCAGCTTCCTAGAGCCAAACCGGATATCAGTTACGGCGTCGTTTTTGGAATTCTTTTGGGGTATTGTGTCTATCATATAATCAAGGAGTGGCAAAATTGAATTTTTTTATTAATACTCTATCATATATAAAAAAATAAATCAATTAATAATTAATTATTGTTCGGGGTAAATTGCATTTTCTATTATTTCTATCATCTTTTGCCCCTAGTCTATTTCAGAGAATTGATCCAGTTGTCTATTAAAATGTGAACCTCCTAATTAAAAAGGTCCGGCTCTATATTCACAAAAATTGGAAGTTGGAACACACGAAAACCGAATTCCGTGAATGTCTCAATGCATGTTCCCATTGGAAGAATCGAGGCCAACTCTATAGTAGTTTTCAAGGATGATGTAAAGTTAAAAACTGATAAGAAACATTTAATTAAGCCGCCATTGTTGTGAAAAAAATCACACATTGTCATCTCAGAAAACGACGAACACCGCCTCGTCAAATTATAATTTGGAAAGTAAATTTATTCACAGGATTTTCGTTAAATGACATGCCACCAGCAGGATTCAGGGGATGTTTTTTTTGTTGTGTTTCGTGTGAGCTGTTGTCGTCTTCCCTTCTTTTTAGTGAAAGTGGGTGAGTGGCATTCTATTGTGAATTGTCTCTACTCTGCGCCGGAATTACATTTTCATCATTAACATTATTGCGTGCCCCTGCATTTTACCAAAGGTTTCCATATCCACAAAAGCACCAACAGAAGTATAAGAGTGTCATTTGGGAGATTAAAGTGAGGTCCCCTTTCTTCGTTGCATGAAAATGCCCAAAGCCATTTGCCTCAAGTGGACCCCACCTCCTCTCACAACTAACTTTTCTCATTCCCTGACCTTTATATGCTCATTTATTCTCTCCTCAGCCTCTCATAATCCTAGACCCCTCCCTCTCTGTGTGTGTCTCTCTCACTCTCTCCCTCTCTCTCTCTATCCATCACTCTGTCCTCTAAATAGAGCCACTCCCTCCTTACCCTACCCGCCAAGTCATAACAACTTCACTAAAGCTTGTCCTTCTCTTCTTCATCCCCTGTGTCAATGCTAGAATGGTGTCATTGAGAAACTCTCGACTCGTTGTCTTCAATTGTCAGGGTGGTGGACAGCCTTAAAGAACTAAGACAACATTATGGGGTTTGGTGGGGTTAGGACTAGGAAGTTTCTTTTTGGAGCTCTGGTTTCTGTGGGAGTCATCTGGTTTATGTTTCTTGCAATCTCATTCAACCGTCAGACCAAAAGGACAGTTCTAGTTCCATACAATGTAATCTCCAAGCACTTGAAGTTGGTTCACATGGAGAGGCACGCCTTGCATCCCAAGTCTGGACTGATCTATGTCAGCAAGAGACGAGTACCTAATGGACCTGATCCCATTCACAACAGGTACCTACTCATTTCACTTTATTCTTCACTCTTACCTTCAATTTATCCATGTAATCCCCACTATCTATCTTTATATAATAAGATTTTTAATTGCCTAGGTGGATGTGTCTCACATTGTCTTTTATCATAGACAAGTTCTGTTTTTCATAGTTGTCCCAATGCACTTGACACCGCATATTTTGTCATTATAGCTTAATTTCTCTTTCTTTTTCTTTTTTTTTTTGACCAGCGAGCTTAATTTCTCTTTCTAGTCCTTCTCAAGAGAACGAGTTCAATAAATTGCTTCAAGATGCTACTCTTCTCTGTTTCACTTACGATCTGGTTGTGAGAAAGGCTTGAGCAGTCCGGTCATTGTGTGTTAAGGGCTAAGAATGGAATTGGAGAGAGTGAAAATAGACAGTCTTGTGAGTTTAAAACACTTTCACGCTTATCCTTTAGCTTTAGGGTGCCTCCTAGGCTTGTACAGTGTATTATCATGTTAGGTGACTTAAAAAAACAGAGGACGGGGACTAATACTGGCAACACTGAAGGGAGTAATAGTTTTCGCTCTTTATTAAAAGCTTCTTTAACAACCAATCTTTCTCTTATTTTCATGAGGAACCAGAAAAAGACATTGGGGGAAGAACTGTGTCACTTTAGTTATTGGAGGGAGGGAACAAGCATTATGTGTGGCTCCTTTTACTTTCTATGGAAAGCTTGATTAATTTATTGAAGGATCGTGAAATCACTTTTTAGCCCCATTTGAATTCAATAGCAACCCACCACACTACACATCTCTGTTCTAAGTGGGATTTGCGACTTGTTAGTACACGAAACAGAACATCACTGTACACCTTGTATCTTGTTCTTGACTTCTTGTCCCTTAATGCTTAGCTGTGCATTTTTTTTTCAATAATGATATATTCTGAATATATCCCTGGACAAATTATCACTTCAGGAGAGCGGTGAATTCTAGACAGCCTCCTACGCGAGCTTGAGGATTCTCTGAGGTCCACGTATAATACGAGGAAACAAGAAAATACGCAAGAAACTACAGATTTTCACTATTCCCATTTGGAAGGACTCACCTTGTATTTCTATAAGATATTGTTATGCCATAGTAATGCTTGTGCTTGAAATTGTAAGTGTGCTCCTTTTTTTTATATTTCCCTGAGTTTTATCTATGATCGCCATGTAAAGCAAGCTTGGGTAATGAAGTGATCAAAATTTTGAAAGTAATTGTAATGTATGTCTTCAGATTCATAATTTATGGCTGCAGGATTGCAAGAATCTGTGAAATAGATTGTGGGTATTTATTAAAATAATAATGTATCATTATGATTATCTTGTAAATCACACGTGCGAGAACCTAGAGAAAGACTGTTCTTTTGAATTTCTTTTGGCCAAAGATTGTTCTTTTGAATGCTAATGCAGTATAAGCTTTTTCCCACTCGAATCTGGAGAGAGAGGGAGAGATTCATGGATAAGAATTTTACCGCCCGGGACCAAAAACAAATTGGATCGCTATTCAAGAAAAGGCCAAGTCGTGAATCACATAATTAGGCGTAATGGATCACTTTGGTGGCACCCATTTTATGAGCCTCGTGTTCAGCCAAAGCAATTTCCTTAATCTGAAGGGACCCAGTTGAACAATTTTGTTATTCTTTTCTTCTTGATTTTAATCACTGATTTGATCATTGCATTAAATAACTTATGTTGTCTCTGATGTTGGATGTGGACCTAGCCGCTAAATTAGCAGAGAAAAATTCTGCATAACGACTTGCCCAATTCTTGTGCTCAGTAATCACCATAAATAGCCTCAAAAACATCAAAGTATCTACTTTACTTATCGGAATTGCCTACATAACTAATTTCTTGCTTTATTTATTATTATTTTTTCCGTCGGGGGACCTAAAGCTGCATTAGATTCTTCTTCTGTCTCAATCAACTTCTCTTAGCCTTATCTTCCTTAAATTCTTGAGATATAAATGAAAGATTACTTAAGAAAAGGTGTATTTTTAAGTAACCCACTAAAACAAAACTAGCAAAGGAGCAATCTCTGCCTGATGCTTTTTTCTTTATCTTTCTCTTTGCTTTTTCTTTCTGGTCTGATTTGATGATTTCTATAGATTCGAGAATGGGGTGACTGTCCAAAGTAAGTGAGATTCAAAATTTATGAAACTTTAAACTTTGGTTGCATGGGAGACAGATTCTCACCCCGTGCAGTTTCTGTTCCTCTTTTTTGAATATATTGAAAGATGCAAAACCAGATGGCTCTGCTCAAAGTTGCTCTTCCTTAGTTCATAATTGTCCTACATGTCTCTGTTTCTACAATTATCAAAAGTAGGAGGATCGCCCTGTAGGTCCCACATCTCAGCTTGTACTTAGTTTACCATATGGCAGAGAGCACCGAAACAATAATCTCACGGTGCAGGAATGAAAGAGGACTGTTCTTTGTTTTATATAAATAAAATAAAATGGATTTCTATTTACTAATCAAACGCACCATGACGGTTAAAGTCTTCAATTAAGCTTATATTTTTGTCCTTGTTCGACCTGATAAGAAAGGTACACGGAGGTTGCTTGCGTTTCGTTTTCTTGGCTAATTCTTGTGTACATTGACTGTTTCATTTCTATAGAATAACTTCGAGTGTCAGCAAGGGACGGTGAGATTACCACTGTGATTGGATTTTAAGTTGGACCTAGAACGCCATTTGTCCCTTCTCTTTTCTGAATTTATGCAGAAGAAACCTTTTCTTCATGCCTGAGAGGATTGCAGTTCAATTATTCGAGCATTTTCAGAAACTGCACCAGGGTTACTGTCTAATCTTTTCGTTCTTTTCCTTCCAGAGATACCACAAGTATGCAACACTTATAAATTACGCTAGTTGCCACTGATTTATCAATTATTTGGAACACTAGTAGCTGGACTTACTTGGATGGGTTTATTTAACATCCATGGAAAAATGTTCCACTGCATGGTCAGCTGATTTTCTCTTGATGAAATAGACATTCTTCACAATATTGTCTGAGCATTTTGATGAATTGGGCTGGGCCAGAAAATATAAAGGAATAGGAATATATCAATAAATCATCTGAATGAGATAACTATACAAAGCACAAGGTAAAGCTCCAGAGTTTCATATTTTCAGGTCATACATATGAAGTACAAAATGTTAAGCTTGTTACCAAATATCATGGACCTCGCTTGAAATCGCGCTTTCAAAAAACAAAAAGTGAAACGAACAATTTCATGAAAAAGGGGGAACTTAAAGCATAATGAGGGAGTTTACTATAACTATACTTGATTGGAACTGCTCAGAGGAATGATCAAATCATGTACAATAAGAAAATTTCTGCGCAATCTCCACAATAAACAGAAATTCATGGTGGAAAGCTACAGCAGAATTATGCTGACTCTGGCTTATTAAAAATCAATGGAAATTCATCATCATGTTCAGAGAAATTGTAGTCTTTGGACAAACTCTTCAAGGAATGATAAACCTGGGACATGGACCACCTGTCCTTGGGGCCAGAAACCACACAATTACATGCGATTTTCAGAAGCTGCAAAATCTCCTCGTCATGCCCTCTTCCACATATGGCCCTATCAATGCAATCCTTAATTCGACCAGAACTAGACAACATATGCACCCAATCAACTAAGTTACCCTTAAAATCTTCCTCTGCATTGCTCACTTCAAGAGGTTTGCGACCAGTAGCCAGCTCCAAAAGCACAACCCCAAATCCATACACATCCCCTTTTACAGAAGCAACAAGAGTGCTAGGATATTCTGGAGCTACATAGCCAAGTTCCCCCAAGTCCCCACTGACAAAGCTACTATCATTGGAATCAGATGTCCTAAGCCTAGCAAGTCCAAAATCCATTAGTCGAGCATCAAAATCTTCATCAACAACTATCACATTGGAACAAATATTTTGGTGTCTTATTGGAGGATGACACCCATGATGCAGATAAGCAAGACCCCTAGCCGCGCCAAAGCCTATCCTGAATCTCATTGGCCAATCCAATTCTGACCCAGTGCCATCTTTATGCAACAGCGAAGACAGAGTTCCATTTGACATGTGCTTATAAACCAGAAGTTTTTCCTCTTCAACCACACAGAAGCCTAAAAGGGGTGCCAAGTTCGGATGCCTGACTTGTCCTAGCCTACTCATCTCCATGCGAAACTGCTTCTCTCCAATCTTACAGGTGTTGAGCCGCTTGACTGCAAGGGTTGAACCATCAGGAAGGTCTGCTTTATAGGTAGTCCCTGTTCTTGAAGACATGATGATATTTTTAGAATTGAAATTATTCGTAGCCGCCATCAAATCTCCTAGTTTAACCTTCACAAGGGGTTTCTGAAACAATGTAACTTGAACAAGTCTGTGGCCCCTCAACCTCGCAGCCCAATCATCACTGGTTCCAACCCCGAATCCTCTCTTCTTCCTAACCAACCGCAAATGATACCACCACCACAATCCAAAAGCCAATAATAAAGAAGCAGCAGCACCAAAGACCCCAGCAGCGATGATAATAGCAAGATTCTTCTTACTCAAACCACCACACTTGGATCCAAGGGGACCCCCACAAAGTCCACTATTCCCAGCAAAATCTTCCTTGTCATAACCATTTAAATACGAAGGAATCGTACCAGTAAGATGATTATTAGCAACAGAAAATGTCCTAAGCCTAGCTAAACTCCCAAATTCGAAAGGCACGGTACCCGAAAGTTGATTATTAGAAAGAACCAGGGTATTCAAGTAAGTGCAATTCACGAGAGTAGGAGGTATTTGCCCAGAGAGATGATTATCGGACAAGTCCAGTGTTACTAAAAATGGCAACCAATCGCATATCTGAGAAGGGATCGTACCGGAAACGTCGTTGGACCCAAGATCCAGTTTCTGCAGGCTCCAACCGCAATACTTCAGCGACTCCGGCACCTGGCCCGAGAGTTTCATATCCCGGAGCTCCAGATTGAGGACCCGATTCTCCTGGGGATTCCAGCACGTAACGCCGACGAACGTGCATATGAAACCGCTGGTGTTGTTATCAAAACGCCAAGAAGCAAGCTTTCCCAGAGGATCACTGAAAGAGCTTTTGATGCCTTTAAGGCATTGCACGTCATCTTCAGCCTGCGAGGCGGCAAAACGCCACAGAAACGCCAAACTACAGAGCAGGAACAGCAAACAATTCCGAGGATCCAGCGAATATCTTGCCATAATCTGGCTACAAAAGCTTCGGTTAGAGCTGCGCAATATATGTACTAAGTTGAATGTGGGAAGCGACCCAGAAAAGGAAAGAGAGACTGAGAGAGCATAGGCTATTTTGGGAGGAGAGAATTTGAGGCCAACGGGCAATTGCGGGAAGTGGACTATGTATATTGTGCGATGTGGTGTTTGATAATGACAGCTTTGACCAGAGTTGTTTATTTATTAGGTTAAAAGAAGCTGCTTGACCAAATATTCTCTAATTTAATTCATTATCAATTGCTGGCCAAAAAAAATAATTATTAATTATTATTGCTCACTCCACTTGTTAATTATGATTAGTTACAAATGGCACTGAACTTTTTGATTAAATAATAGCATATTGCCAATTTTGTCTTTCTAACTTGTACTATTGTCCGTAGGGACATGAATTAGAATATACTATTTCCGATGCTTAATATTTAAGTTAGTTTGACTTTTAATTTAATTAGAGATGTAATATCTCAATGTATTTTATTTCTCATATTTATTTATTTTAAATAATTTTTGTCATAGTTGTACATGTTAAAAGTTTCATCGCACGGTAATTTTAACTAACAAACATAATTAGCAAAGGTATTTTAGAAAAGATAAAACTTATTTGTTATAAATAACTAACTTAGTTAGTTTTTTTAGTCAATTAGTTTTTATATTAAAGAATAGAAGCAGTAGTTTGCACGTAACACATTTTTAACTAAATATTATTGAATACAAATAACGATGTTACATGTATAAACCTTTATTTTTAAATCTATATTTATCCTTCAAGAGCCAGCAGGGTGAGACTGTAAGTACTCTTACCACTAATTAATAATTTACAGTTTTTCAAGTCAATTATATTATTCAGTGGTTTATTGAGAAATTTGAGGTTTTGACAAGAGGAAGCTTGTTGTAATTGATTAACAAATTAACAATGTGTGTGTAGATGAAGGATTACCCATTTATCATTAATCTCTCTCTTCCCCCCCCTCTCTCTCTCTGTAACAAAATTTACAACAACTTGTATCATTCGTGGTGGGGTCCTTGCAGGGGAAGCTACAACATCATTAAAACCAACAAAACAAGAAAGAAATCATCTAACATGCTGAACAGGACATTGTAACTTAGGGGGACAAGCTATAGTAGCAGGGATTATTACCAAAAGATCCATTAAATTAGTAACAGTAAATGTGTTTGCTTGTGTTCGAAATACTATAATAAATTAATAAGGTAATTTCTCACTTTCAGGCTTCTTATCCCCATCTTTCAATGAGGTAATAGCTCGCTTTTGGATCAATCATGGAGTTTGCATGAACAACGACATTAACAGCTCAAGAACAAATTCCAAAGATTTTTTCTTTTTTTAACAATCCCATGCTGGTATACACGACTTGGAAAAATATAAAGCACATTATATTAAGTTAATATATTATTATAATTAAATATATCTGCGTGGTAAAACTCGAATTAACCACTTCTTCCTTCCGCCTATCATCGCAGGAAATTTCTATGTCTAATATTTTTATTTATGGTCCAACCATTCATGACGAGTTAAATTCAAAATTTCAGCTGACAAATTTATACATTTTGAGGAAATATCTCTATTTTATTCTCTTCACACTGTAAATGCCTTTGTAACCCAATCAAGTTCTAAAATTTGGATACTGAAAATCTATAATTTTTAAACACAAATAACAACTTTTGCAGATGTGAAGTCTTTTTTATCTCGCAGCTGCTCTATGTCATTTATTGGGGAAAAGTTTGATTTAGGCGGGTAGGTAAGACATACATGTGTGTGTCTATATATGATCTAGGAAGAAGTTAAGGTTTGGTGCAGTCAACGGTCAAAAGGAAGTCGATTGATATAATGTTAAGGATGGATAACGACTCCAAACAAAAATCGACAAATTTTAAATTAGCTTCATTTGAAGTTTCTTTTTTAATGCAAGCAGAAAAGCGAAGTATATATATTAAAATAATTGCCCTTATCAATAATGAAGATAGATCTAATTAATTAAGAGATCAACCGAACATGTTCTGGCCATCATCACTTGTATAATTTTGTAATGTTCAATGAATTATTATAACCTTCTGAAGGAGGGGGTAAGTAAGTTCCTTCATTTGGGGAGCTTAATATGGATGTGTAATACTACTTCCAGTTCTAATTATAAAAGCCAGTTAACTAATTTGAGGAGATTAAAAAAGTAAGTTGAGTTAGTTATTTGCCCTAAATAAATGTTGTTTTTCCTAAAATATCCCTGCTAATAAAGTGTATTGACTAGAACTATCATTATTAAAAGGGCTACTTTGAAAAAAAAATGTATAAATATGAAAAACAAAATGGATTGGGGTCTTATATTTAGGATTAAAATAAAAGTCAAATATGATCTTATATTAAGGACCAGAAGTAGTAATTAGTAACAAGGCACTCTAAAGTTGCTTCTCTTTGAAGAAATTGAAGTGTACGTGAATTCTAAACAAATCATTAAGGGGACTGATGGCCTGGGATTATCACCATCTCTATCTCTATTGTGTCCAGTTTTTGGAGATAGATAGATATAGAAGACTTAATTGTTATTCTTTTGCTTCAAAATGAAGCAGCGTTTTCTATACTGCACCATAATCGTTTTGGGGCTATCTGCGCGTTTATCATCATAATAACTCGGTCAAAATTCTCATCTCATACATGCATCGATTCAACTCATCAATTGAATCTCAACAGCCTTGCATATGGCACCTGCAAATTGCAACGGTAATAAATAATGCGAAAGGTATTAGTATTTTTGCAGAACTTTAGCGTAAATACTACATTAGTATGTGGTGGTATATACGGAAGGAGATAGATACGCAAGGGACGGAACTAATGATTGGTGTATTCTATGTACACTAGCTTCATGTTGATCTATAATACTCTCTCTCCGGGCCTAAATATAAAATCTGATTACATTATAGAATGGACATTATATTTAAGACAAGAGAAGTAATAAGTAGCAGCATATCCTTAAAATAAATCTGTAGAAACAAAAATATCCATATACTGTCATGAAAAATCGAGGTTTAATTTTCAAATAGTTTGATGTTTTTTTTTAGTGAAAGAAGTTTAATGTTTTTGATATAAGTAATATATAATTAATTTGGTTTGAATGGAAAATGACCTTTTTCAGTGGGGTTTAGTGATTGACCATTCCGAGCAATGTTTTACGAAATTATATGTGAGCCAACGGGGTCACTGTGTCATAGTTTAGTTTAGAAAGGGATGTGTCTCACAAATAATGTAATGCAGAATGTTGATAAATTTATCCCAAGACGGTAAAGGTCCAAATTACACTAGGATATGTTCTTTGGAAGCGTTAGAAGTGAATGCGAGGTAAGTGATACTTCTTCAATCTTAAATATAAGATTCATTTTATAGTGTAAATTATATCGTAAAATAAGTTTTACATTTAGGACGGGAAGTGTATTTCACATAACAGAGCTGATTGATTATCAAGGTCAGAGAGACCAGATGATGCATTCCTCTATATGTTGTGCCAACTTGTTGTGATCTTCTTAAATAGTCCAAGTGATGGGTTGATTCATCTTCTTAATTTCTCTTCATCATCTCGCAAGCACACGGACATCCTAGCATTTCTCTCTATACTGATTTTCGATGACTTTGGAAAACAGGTTCTGGATTTCCACTGAACTTAGCCTATTCTCCACCAGAATGACGGCGAAGGCTTTTGGCATAAGTGTGGCCTGTTTGCCAAGGATCGGAGGATTAGGAGAAAAGAGACAAATTATAGAAAGAGAAGCATGTATTGGAAGAGATAATTAATTAATTATTTTACTCTTCCATACCATCCTTCCTCCAAATATCAAGTTCTGGATCATTTATGATGATCACCTTTATTTCTTGGCTTCAATGTTCATTCTGTATACTTCTTTATATCTTCCGTATATGAATATTAACTAACAATAATACCTTATTCTTTTCCCAAATTAAGGTAGTATTGTCATCAAGCAACATTCCATCTCGTGGACCCATACCTTATTCTTTTCCTCCCAATAAAGCATAGATCAGCGCGGGCCAAAATTTTTTCGGAAAATTAAGGGCACACAAAGAGCCCTTCAAGCATGTTTCTTTGGGAATTGGTTTTTCTCCGCTTTTGCCGCCATTCCCCTCATCTTCTTCGCTTTGTACGTAAATTGCGTGATTAAATCTGGATGGTTTTAAACTTGATATTTTAATGTTTTTATCTCAAAATTTTACAGTTTAAATTTATTTATTTATTTATTTATATAGCAGTACTAATTTAAGTCATCTATTTATTTTATTTTATTTGCTAAAGTATAGGTATTCTAGTATTAGAGACAATCTTATTAAAAATATTGTCGGATATTAAATGGGGATATTTTTTCTAATAAAAATTTAAATACAAGGGACTAGTACACGTAACCCGTTGGTGTTAATTCAAGTCATTTAGATTCCACTCGTCATGGTTTTGGATTAGCTGGACTCGAATACCCGGGCCGTGATATGTGATGCCGTACCCAAATGATGAGTGATGAGTTTTTTCAAAATTGGAAGTTGAAAAAGGGCACCCAAGTGGCGCGTTCCAACGCAATTCATCTTCTGGATCTGCGCCTTGGCTTTTGCGGGGCCCCACCCTCTCCTTCCTCCCGCGCCTTCTTCCTTTTGTCAGCAGCCAACCCCGTCCTTCAGTCCACACCATTAGCAACAACCCTTTTCGTCACCCCACCCCACGCCCACACGACGTCGTTACGGTCGCTGACGCAGCTAGATGCTAACGGAAATGCTAACGACTGATCGAGACCTGCCCGTGATTCAAATGCTTTCACGAGGCTAGTTGTGTCAAATCCTACCTGCGAGGGAGCACACTCCCTCATTCCTCTCTAACCAACGCCTATACCAGTAAGAGCCCGCGGTGGAGGCTGCTGGGATTACAATCGTCTCTCATCTCTGAAACTCCCCCTTCCAACTCCAATTTCACTCACATTGGTTCATATCCATGGAAGATGAAGCTCAGGTGCTCATCAAAATCTTATCTTTTAACTTGTAGTCTACTACGATAACCTAACTACCTTGCACTTTCGTCTACCACCACCTTCATCACCAACATCAACGCCTCCGATTCCCATTTCTATGTGACTTGCACGCACTTAGAAAGACGATTTTTTTATTTTTGTTTTTATTTTGCATTGTGATCTTCGTTCTGAATTCAAATTCTTGATTTTGAATTTTCCTGATGCTTTGGATTGTTAAGATTAGTTCTTTTATACTATGATGTTTTTCTTTTTCCCTGTGTGATCGATTTGCGCCTAATGTGCTTCCGGGTCTGTTTGTTGGATGATGTTTGTTGCAGAAAATGATGGCCCTGAAGAAGGCCTACGCGAACATTATTCTGAACACGGCAAAAGAGGCGGCGGCCAGGATAATGACGTCAGAACGCAGAGCTGCTCAGTTTCAACAGGAACTTACTTCGACAAAAGACGAGGCCCTTCGGATGCTAGTCCGCTTGAAGCAGATGATCGACGCCAAGGTTTTGTCCGCAGCTGAACTCATTTTCTTATGGTTTTTATTGTTTGTATGGATTCTCAAATTTTTACTAACGTTGATTCAGAGCATGAAAGGATTGATTTGGGCTGGTTACGAAATTTGAGATCCTTTTCGAATTTATTCGTATTGTACATCAGCCGGTGCTATTATACTTAGAATCCTATTGATTGGCAATTTAAATTTGCTAAACAATAAAGAGACTGATTGGGTAGATTTTCCCCAAGTTTCTGCCACTGCCGGCTTCTAGATTCTAGAATTTGCTTTCAGATGGAAAATCACAGCTATTAAATGCGATCAAAGCAAATTTTTCACTGTTCACGTGGAATTGCTGTCATTGTCCGGACTCTGCATGAAATAAAAACATTGCAACTTTAAGCTTCATTAGTATTTTGTATATGTTGAGGTATAAATCACTTTCTTTTGGACTGATTGACAGAGCTTGATTTCTTGTCTTGGCTGTGTTGTGTTAACTTCCTTAGTCTTCTTACTTTCTCTGTTATCCCCCCGCACTTTTGCTGATCATGTGTCTCAAACTGTTTTGCATCCTTAAACTAAACATTTTGGCCCTTACGGTGTCCGTCTTTTACAAGTGGCTCTTGGACATTTGTCATATAACTGGCTTCATCATAGTGGTAACCTCTTTTGGTCTTCTCCTGTTGTTCTATTTTTCCTCTTTACAGGACATAGCTTCTCGCCTTCTCATCTTTAATACATACATTATTAAACTTGTTAATTAATTGACCACACAATCATTTCATATCCTCAAAGACTCAATTACTATAGCTTGACTTGGGACCAGTCCAAAATTTCGTCATCATTGTAAGTTTTCCCATAACTGAAAATAAAGAGTTTAGATGGGAACACGCTAAAAAATTTGATTTGACAGTTATTATATGCATGCTAAGTAAGGACAATATGAATGGTATAATATTAATTGTTTCTTCTTGTGAAATTTTATCACTTTGAAAAGATACATGAGATTTCTAATTCATTCATTCAATATCTACATATACTCGAGAAACAGCATTTGTGAAATTGTGAATAGAAGGGGAAAAAACTGCGAAGGTGATGTCTTCAGTTTATGCACACCAATTATAGAGCTAAAGGCATTCAATTTCAACAAGATGTGCTTACCATGTTGAATGTAATAAGAGATTATTGGGACTATTAAATTGTTTATTATTGCCATGTAGGTGTGAACATTACAACCCTGTCAACCATTCATCTGTGGTGGCTGCATTAAAAAAATGAAAATAAAAAAAAAAAACTCCAGTTTGTTCTACTTGATCTGACAGTTGGCTGCTTTTGTGAAGATCTTCTTCCCATAAGAAAATTTTTTGTCCTATTTATAAGTTATTTCATTAAATTTTTAGCTTGAATGTACTATGTTGTCTTTTGTTTATTATAGTGTAGATAATTATCTTTTTTGAAAGGTGTATATATTAAATAAGGGTAAAGTTAGAAAGTTATTATGTTTTAAATTTTTATAGAAAGTTAATGTATTTTAAGGTTTTCCTTAGTTTGTGTGAAATATGCCGGAAGTAACTTATAAATAGGATCAGAAGAGTACTTGTTGGGTATAAATTTACACAGCCTATACTCATTGACATGTGATGATAAGCAGGGTTTGGTTTTTCCTGAATAAATGGCTGAGTATTGTTTACTGAATACTATTGCTTGCACTCAATTTTTTCCACCATTGTGATTGATGAATTTCCTATAGAAATTGTGCTAGTAATCAGTTGTTTGCTTCAAATCTGAAGATTATTTTTGCTTCAGAGGAATCCCAACTTTTGTAACCTCCATGTTTCTAGGTATCTTTAAGATGCCTATGTCTTTATTTATTTATTTGAATGTTTTATGAAAATAAGATTGCAATTGAATTGATCGTGCCTCAGACAAACCATAGCTTCTTTGACGGTGCTTTATAATAAGTTGAGCTGACACTTAACTCCTACTTGACTTGAGATTGAATGATAATATGCTTGGAGGCATATTTTCATGGAGGTTAAGCTTCTTCTTATATGTGTATCTTCTGAGTCCGTATTAATATATTTTTCATCATGTCACATGCTTGTTTCGCTCACCATTTCTTGTACAACTCTGAGTCTTCTGTCTTCCCACATGACAGAAGAAGGTTTTCTCTAGCAAGATGTTGTTGCTTAGTCTCGCATACAGTGCCAACTTCTGTCATGTTTTAGTTTGTTTTCTCTTGCAAAGACTCCATGACATTACTGCTTTCTGCCGTGATGGAGAGCTAGTCCTTACACTTCTATTACTATGATATTGTGGAGCCAACACAGAAAAGAAAGTTTTTTGGTATTTTCATGAAAGAATCTGCATTAAGAAGGAAATTCTCCTAATTAATGCATAGCCAAAAGCCTGGGTTGTTTATGTTACTGTGCTTATAGTTCTTAAAGCATATAGTCGTATCTTAATGATTTATAGAATCCTTGGCTATTTGTTTTGGAAGACAACTCTAGTTTACTGGAAATTCCTTTTCTGAATTGTTCATGCAGTACTTGTGGACCGCTGTTTCATGTATTTCTTCTTTTACAGACAGCAGAAGCAGAGATGACATCCTTGAATAACCAAAGAAAAATTGAAGAGCTTGAAGCACAACTCAATGAGGCGGAGGATGTTATAACAGATCTTAGGGCAGAGCTGAAACAGGTTTGGCTTGAGTTAGAGAAAACAAAGAATAGTCGAAATCAGTTACAGATTAAAGAGCAAGTGGCATCCGTTGAGTCAGAGAAAACAATGAATACTCAGAATCAGTTACTCGAAGAACAAATTAAAAAACTAGCAGCGTCTGTTGAGGAGAATGCTAAACAAGACGTGACATTACCCGTTCCTATCCAAGGACATGAATATGCAACACCTTGTGATGTGAAGAATGCGCCCTTGAATCAGAATGTTCTAGATGATAAGTGCTGTAATGCAAGGAAACAAACTGAGCTTTGCTGCATCTCTAATTTGGAGGACTATTGTGCTCATAATTCTAACCTTGCTTCCATCATTATGAGGGGCAAAGAACCTGAACTGTACAAAAATGGATGTACTCAGAGAATTCGTGCATTGGAAGGAAAATTGCTGAATGATAAGCTGCTCACTCAAGATGAACAAAATGGACATTTTGATGTAAATAGTGGGTTTGCCATCAGAGACAGTGACAAGGAAGTTGCAAAATATAGTACCCTATCCTCCAGTAACAAGAAAAGGAAAATAACGAAGCACGTGAAGCGGCATGGAATACAAAAGGGAAAGACTTTTTCCTATCTCAGGTCATGCTTTATTCCCTGTTGTAAAGGACACATTGACGAAGACTACAAATCTGATAAAGTTGCTTGCTCTCTACCATCTATCAAGTCTTGTACCATTAACAAATCAAGAAGAACAAGAAGATGTAGGCCTGTAAGAAAGAAATCTTCCGTTCATGAGTGTTGTAAACCATCATTTACTCTCAAGCAGTTCTCATCTGTCTCAAATAATGACAAATGTTGTGAAGATGAAGATGAGAGGAAGCCAGTGCCCCATTTGACTGACATGGAACCTGTGAATGAGTCCAGCAGTGATAAACCGAATATCAGGATGGTTGGTAAGTTTGAATTCGTGCAGGAGACTGCAGAGAGGGATAAGGAGTCATTAGATGCATGCATTCTGGAGAATGTGGCTGGGGACAGTGAAATGATATTAGCTGATCGAAGTGGTAACATGGAAGCAGAGGTTACTGATGTTTCATGTACAAATACTGATTTGGAAGATGCAAAAGCATTTGAAGAAAATAATGAATCTTCTGGTCAAGCAGATGACAGAAAGCTTCTTAGGTACACCTTCTGTAGGAAACGAAAAAAGGAATCCTTAGACAACCCTGAAGAAAAACAAAATTCTGAGAAGAGCACAATGAAGAGGAGGGTGGACGAGAAACAACATGGTGCTTCTGAACCACAGAAATCTAGCTTGATGGATGAATCTTCAAGAGATAGTCGGCGCCTTGCTCAGGTTGCTCGCCAGGTCTGTGTCAAGTCCTCCTATTATCTCTTGAATACTCTGATTTCATATTTAAGTCTTTAGATTGTGTGCATAAGCTTGATTATGAATTGTGTGTTGATAAGTCTTGATTTTATCAATATAGTTCAAGCACAATCTGCAACATTACTGTGGTTCATCAATGCCTAGGGTTAACACTTCGCTTTGTTAAAAATTTTTGCTGTCAGCCATTCAGATGCATTTTGAAATGACACACGTACCAAAAAAACAATTGTAAAAGTTGTCCTGCCATTCTGGTTATTTATATTGTGTCACTTTCAACATACTCCTCTGGTCCTATTTATAAGTCGCTTCCAATGTGTTTCACATAGACTAAGGAAAACCTTAAACTTCATTAACTCTCATTTAAAATTTAATAATTTTCCAATTTTATCTCTATTTAATATACATTATACCTCATGCAAACAAAATCAACACAATAATAAATGAAGGGTAAATTTGTACATCCATACAAAAAAAATTTCTCAGTATTCTATAAATAGGATGAAAAATATATTCTCTTTCTGTCTTATAAATAGGACTATAGAAGTATCATTTTTCCCGTGAATTGAGTTCATTACTATGTAGTTCTGGCTTCCAGGCACCCTGCTACCCACATTGTGTTACTTGACTGATTATCATGCCTTTTGTCTGAAGTTAATTTTCTTCGTGCAGCTTATATCTTTGTCTGCAAAAAGGTGGTGATTTAAATGAGGATGCTTGAGATTGCAAGAGTCAATTGCAAGTTTACAACAGACGTTAAACAGCCTCTTCTTGAAGTTGCCTCGTGTTCTTTCAGGACATCAAATACACGCATCTGGTGGCATCAAGGCGACACATAATAGAGTCTTACAGATATCTTGTAGGTTTATCGTCTTTTTACCAGCTATACACTTTGGCCATCACAATTTTTTCCTTCAAGTATTGCTGTACTTACCCCTATATGCTATGATATACCATTTCACCTTGGAAAGGAATGTTTTCCTTCTCTGAAGTGTCTGCATTATAATGTATAGACTGTATATGAAGAAAAGGCTCACAGCTAGTGTACTGAAACTTAACTTCCTCTTCATATGTCTCGCTTTCAACTTTTCCATGCAGGCACATGGCTAAGCTGATGGTTGATTTAGGTCAGATTATTCTCTTGGAGGCGATGCATAGACATGATTAGTGATAGTTATTCTAGTATCCTTGTTGGGTAGCCTGATTATGCATGGCTACATGGCTAAATCTATATCTGACAGTGTGAGCTTAAGTTAATCTATGTATTTTCGTTTTAGTTGAAGTCTTTACATATTGAGGAAAAAAACAAAAAGGGGGGGGGGGTTATAATGTGATGTAGATACAAAATAATGATACGATGTGTTGCCTGATCCTGAAGAAATGCATTCATCCCAAGTAGTCAAATGACAACCACTTAGTACATAGTTTGAAAAAGTATAGAATATGTATGGCAACAAACGAATTCTGAATGATGGCACAAAAATTTAGTCTCAAGTTTATTCGAATTCTTTATCAGACTACACAGAATGATTTATGATTGTAGAAATTTTATTCTATGATATCCTAAATTTGCAAATTTAGATATGGATAACGGACCTAGTTGGGATAATCTTTAGCTTTTAGAAATTTGAAAATTGCATTTAATATCTGGGGGATAAGTTTGTCTTGACGATGAGTTAGTAGGACTTATAAATTCATGTGCAGAGAGAGGGGCCACCCCCGGGGCTATGATTATGGTGAGAATGGAAGCTGTTTGAAAAAAGAGGAAGTGCCATCTAATGACAGTTGGAATGTCATAACTCATGAAGGCAACCCTACCCAATAATTATTTTTTTATTATGTCAAAACTCAAAACTCTACTTAATTAAAAAATATCAGTAATAATTTACCCCTCTCAACCCGTTGCCCTTATTATTTGCCAGAAATAATAGTAATAAAATAGAGCTTGAGCTTGTGTGGATCGTTATGGAAAAACAAAGGCAGCTATCGATTCTTTTATTGTCTGGAAGCTAAGGAAGTGTCTAACAGTGAAGTTCAAAATATATCGTGGAACTGTCAAGCCATGTCATCAATTAAATACTCTAAAGTTAATGAAATTATTTTTCTCTAAAATACATAGATTTTTTTTCATTACTTTTTAATCACATTTTCCCCTCATTTAAACTATTTTAATGAAATATTTTTTTCTTAAAATGTTGACTTATTGATACATGATGATATATTGATATATGTGGGTTGAAGCTGGCATGGCAGTCGCAGTCCCACGGGGTGGCCTCCATGGTGGTGAACAGAACCATGTCTGGGCATCGATTGGGCTATGTGGATCTATTGTAACCTTCCCCTCCTTTATTTTAAGAGTATCTGTGTGAAACCAAACTATAATTTCAAAAATATTTTTATGATCTACAAAGTAAATATATAGAAGAGTTTGTCTCGTTTTGCGGAAGCATTTTTTATGGTTGTCAAACACCCCCTCATTTTTCTATTTGTTATGCGTCATCCTCAACCTTGACCTCAATATCCTTCAAATTTTATTAAAAAAAATTACATAAATTTCCCTTATTCTCAAGTGCATATGCTGACTTTTTTATACAGTACATCTCTGTTGCACTTCAATTATTTTTTTCATTCTTGAAATAGCCTCGTTAGGTATACTGATTATGTATCTATATCTGAAAGCGTGAGCTTGCATTAATTTATATATTCTGGTTTGTAAGTTCTAATGAATCAATGATCTTTTAATTTTCGCTGTATTTGATCAGGAGCAGTACAAGTCATGAGAACTAAGTACGCATGCGCTGTGGCTAGGTTTCAGTTAAGGTCAGGTCATTAAATTTGCTTGGGCAAATACATACGGGTTCAACTTCAAGTAATAAGTATATGTTGTACCCAGAGATGAGAAAATAGGGGTACAGGCATGAAGTATATAATGTGGCCAGAGATAAATATTATTGTGCCCCCAAAGTATATGAGTAGAGTATATTGTAGAAAAGGGAAATTTCAAGAGATAAATATATAAACACACACTTTTATGCGGAAAGGCTTGGTAGACAGGAGCATTTTCTGATGGCGACAAGAATACCAATGAGACATGAGTCGTTGAGACGGGGGCCAATGGTTATGGACAGGCCACGCTGAGTTGAGAGCACACAACGTTGGAATATGGAAAACCTTTGATGCGCCTCTTATTAAGAATCCCCCAAGATATTCAAATTAAGTCTGCATGATCTATCTCCAAATATCAACTACTTCATGCATACTTCGTCTGAGAAGAGAGCAGGAGCAAAAATATGTGTAAGATCTGTATCTTATTTACAACCACATACAAAATACTGCTCGGCTACTTAATATAAAACATGTTTAATTAATTTGATTATATTAAGGAAGTTAGGTAAGTTAGTTAATTATAAGAAATATGACATGTTTTTTCTAAAACACTATAATCATTTTTTTTTATATTCTCCTTTTCTCTTCTGCTTGATTATGGTTGAGGGAGTATCCATGAGGGTAATTTAAGAAAAATTGATAAATATGATAAATAGGTCTTATATTTAGAATCAAAATCAACTCAACAATTAGGTCTTATATTAAGAACTGAAGGAGTATCTGTTTAAAGATAGAGTTTTAAGGTTTCTTAGAGTGATGTTATGTAAATTGCGAAGTTTTAACATGTTCAAGTTGAGGTTTTGAAGTTAGATTATCTTGTGCGGTGGTCGACTCAGCCTAATCCTCTGGCAGTCTGGCTCAATGTTTCTTTTTCTTTTTTTTTTTGGTCTGATTTTTTTTTCAGAGTTAAAAAACTGCGAACATTATTGAGAAAAAACTGCGAACATTATTGAGAGACCCGATACCTGTATGTTTAATCTAACTAATCATGAAATTATGAGTACTATTTGTTATGATGCTTCAAATGCTTGAACACTAGCTAAAGGCTTCTTTATCTTGATTAAGGGTATTTTGAGGGAGGAAAAATTATATGTGGCTTTTTATACTACCCCTCTGTCCTTAATATAAGAGTTAGTTACCTAATTTGAGTAGATTAAGAAAATTAATTGAGTTAGTTATTTATAATAAATAAATATTGTTTTTTCTAAAATACCATTGCTAATTTTGTGTATTAACTAGAACTACCATATAATAAAATATTTAACATATGTAACTACTACAAGAACTACCTTAGAAAAAATAGATAAATATGAGAAACAAAGAATTAAGATCTTATATATATAATCAAATTAAAAGTCAAACTAATTTTTATATTAAGGACCGGAGATAGTACTTTATTGCAATATTACCTCCGGTTTTAATTATAAGACCTTATTTATAGTCTACAAATGAGATCTTATAATTAGAACTGGAGGTAGTATTTAAAACATTTTTATATATTATTTTTTATAAATAATTGTTTGGTAATTGAAACAAATATAATTCTCTGGCCAAAACCAAAAAACAAATACAATTCTTTGTACAAGCATATAATTTCTTGAGTAAAAATATCAGTATGTATTTAGTATATTTCAATTCAAAAATTGATGAAAATATCTAAATAAATGAAAAAATTACCCATAGATCTAACGTTGAAAAGTTAAATACAGATATGTGCACTAAATTTTATTTAATACTGATGAGTCTCAAATAATTAATATTTGCACATTTGACATGTAAATACGAAAGTTTGACTTATAAATATTAATTTATAAATGACACAATTCCACGTATAAATATGAAAGTTTAACTTGTACATATATTAAATCACTTGAAGTTTATTAGTATGAAATGAAATTTAGGAAATCGTTTGTATGTAATTTTTTGGTTGAATGATATTTCTTAGATAAATTATCATTAAGTCTCTGGTCAAGAGTCTACTATATAAAAAGAGATTCGTTGGATGTCTCGTAGACGCCACATAAAAAGGACCCACTCACAGCCTGATCCCATGATTAATTCGATAGCTTCATTGGGAACATGATTGATGCTAATACAAAGTTAGCTAAGAACCCAAAAAGCAAAACAAAAAACAGTGCAAGAAAACAAAAACTAAGTTAACATCTATGGAGTGAAAAAAATAAAGGAATAGCCAAGTTACGTTGACGGTTGATAGAGTAAGATGGCAAGGTTTGGGAGAGAAGAGAAGAGGCGAGGAATTGAAGAGATATCTTGGAAGATGATCTGATAGGGATTGCATTAAGAGGGCCAAAAATGCAATTTCGCATGATGATGGCGACACATGACAATAGAGGATGGGTGTTCAGCGTTAGAAGGAGAATAATTGAAGCAAGCCTGTGTTCTCATACATACGTGGACAAAATAAAGGAGACAGGTGGGGGAGCTCAATTTAATTCCAGTTGCTCCCAAAAATCTATTCGAATAGCATTATTGGAACATAACATATGCGTAGCTATCTGGACAGCTAGCCGTATACATGGCCGTATGATCTTCTAAAAATAATAAAAACATCACAAAAAATATGTATTTAATTTACAATCATATATAAGGGTCTAAAAAGAAGGTATCTGACCGTATAAAAAATTATTTGACTCAGCATGCAATAATAAAAAAGCGAGGACAGTGTCACGTAGGTATCCATGAGACATACGTGACTAGCACCACCTAACAGCTCTCTAAATAATCAACCAAATGATAGAACCTTGTGCGGCCTATATCTGTTTTTTATGGTTGCCTTTGGATCCATTCATTTAATTGGCACCCGCTCAACCTCAAGTCTTGGAGCAGAGATGTTTCTCCCTACTTGCCTGCTTGTCTTAATATTAAACTGATCCATCCTTTGTTCTCTCTCGTGCATAACTGGCTAAGGAGACTATTCTATATCAGCCTAGCTACTCCTATGTTTTTCATCCTCATATGGGCGATTAACATACTATTCCTCTACAGCACACGATCCACATGGTGTTGAATCTGGCTAAATCAGCAGCAAACCCTATATGGATAATCAAGCAGCTTACATCTTGATGTAAAAGAAACGGTTATTCGCTTCTTCTTCAGCTGCCGGTGAAGCTTGAACGTCTGAGCTCTCCCTGTGATCAGCCGCGGACGTTGAGAAACAGAAGCTGAGTTATCCGAGTCTCCACAAGTGCTTTCCTATGAAGCTCAAGGAATTTGACAAGCCATCGTACAGTTTGAATGGGATAGAAGGTTTCCCATGTATATTGGTTTAATTAGAAGAAAAGGACGGATCAGAATTTTATGTATGCTCTTCTGCTATCTAGATAAAGGTTTTAATTATCGGTGAATGTGTATTGCAGATGGAGCTGAAGATGGAAGTGATGATTATTCCGGGGGCGATCTTTCATTTCAGTCGATGGAACTTGACCCATGCATAGCAACCAATGAGCTTAAGTGAGTCTCAAATTCTCCACATTGAGGGGGGGGGGGGGGGTAAACAAAGTACTATATATAGTGATTGCGGTTTTTAGCCTTCTGCCTATATATGCAATTGCATGGTAACGCAAGTCATTGCCTCCTTCAGGATCTCTGTCGGTACTTGGAATGTTGCTGGTAGAACTCCAATAGGAAGCTTAGAGGTTGATTTGGACGAGTGGTTGAATCTCAAGAATGCTGCGGATATATATGTTCTTGGGTATGTATAAATGATCAAGTATCCAAATCCTTCGTATTCTATAACTAGAAGAAACTTACTCAAGAGTAAAATGGCTTCACGATTTCAGGTTTCAAGAGATTGTACCATTGAAGACTAAGACTGTGATAGGAGTGGAAGATCCCAAGGTGGCAAGAAGATGGAACCAGCTCATAGGAAGAACTCTAAACAGCAGGGGCGCATACCCATGGTTCACAACACCAATGCAAAATTCAATACCAGGTGGTCACAATGGCTATTTGGGGAATCCCCACTCAGAAGACAGAAAGGTTTACAACAAGCACGGAGGGAATTCGATGACAGAAGGATGGCAAATACAGGAAGGAGAAAAGTATACGCTGTTAGCGAGCAAGAAGATGGTCGGAATATTCATCAGTGTGTGGATAAGGCAGGAATTGCCGAGGAAGTACCATGTCTCGAATGTGAAAGTTTGCCCGGTGGCTTGTGGCATAATGGGATGTCTAGGAAACAAAGGTTCGGTCGCAGTTAGCATGTTGATTGAAGGAACAAGTTTTTGTTTTGTAACCGCCCACTTAGCAGCCGGGGAGAAGATGAATGATAAAGGTCGAAGAAATCACCAGGTTGCCGAGATTTTTAAGCGAACTTGTTTCCCCAGAACGCCTGAAGATCGTTATTCTCATCCTCTCACCATCCTAGGCCACGAGTAAGTTGTCCCTATCCTTCTATTATTGTCATGTTGATCTTTCTTTGTGTCTGATTGCCCGTGGTTAGAACAAGCACAGACTGAACTTTTCCAAGTCCAAAGTGAAAAGCAAATTACCACTCCAAAATGTAATTAAATTCCACTTGGCAGCCTGAATCAATATAAAACAAAAATCTGTAACAAACCCCACCGTTCACTCTTATCTCAAACTCTGCACAATACACAGAAAGCATGTCTAGTTTTATTCATTTGTTCAGCAAAATGAAATCCAAACATCTTACTAAATAACCTAGCAAGTATAACAAACCACGTGAAGAAACTTCGCTTAAAGCTATAACTCCAATGGCAAGTTTAGAGCTACCCATTAATTATACAGTAACAGTTTACATGAGGAAGGGTTGGGACTCAGTTCTAAGTCAGATGAAAAACTGTCAAACCGATGCCATGGTTCGGTCAGTTCATTAAAGTCTAAATGAATTGGTTAAGGGATTGATTCTGGTCGGGGATTCGCTAGATGATTAAAAGGTCAATTATCTACGTGCGTACCGCTATTAAAGTAAGTTCTTACTTCATAGTCATTCAATGCTTCTGGTTGCTAAAATCATAGATATTTTGGTCAAGATCCGGCCAAAAAAAAAAAAGATATTTATTCACGAATTTTCAATGAAACGCCTGTGGACACGGTAGCAGCTGCATTTAACATTTGCCGGGACAACGTTGTTGTGCAAAAAAAAAAAAAAAAGCTGTGACCGACGTTAGACAGCCCAACATGTAGCTTCATTAACTCATATTTCGATATTATTTTCGATTTCGTCACATCCTCTCTAGTCTTTTTCCTCACACATCTACCCGATGTTTATTTCTCTCATTATTAGAAGCGGCACCTGGAGAAACAATCTATTTTAATTTTAGTTTTATTATATAAATAATAATCTGCCACGCAAGTGGTGCGACCGAAGAATCTTACCTCAGTATTGAATGTGGAACAGCCGGATATTCTGGTTTGGGGATCTCAACTATAGGCTATCGTTGGAGGGAAGTTCTGCAAGGCGGCTGATAGTAGGGCAAGACTGGAAGGCGTTACAGCAGTTTGACCAACTTCGAAAAGAAAGAGAAGGAGGAGCGTTTGAGGGTTGGAAAGAGGGTAACATTGAATTTGCCCCCACCTACAAATACCCAGCGTCGAATTGCATTAAATACTCCGGCGGCCATCCAAGCAGATCTGGCAAGAAGCAAAGAACTCCAGCATGGTATAGTAACCGCTTATAGTTCTGTCTTGAAAAAAATGGAACCAATAGTTCTGTCTTTACTATATAATCCATGCTTTTCGCGGATATCATGAAGAAAACAAAGTAAAAGGGTATAGATTATGGTGGCAGGTGTGACCGAATTTTATGGTACGGGAAGGGAGTGAAGCAGCTCCAATATTTTCGCAGTGAAAGCAAGTTCTCTGACCATCGCCCTGTTTCTGCGCTGTTCTCTACCCAAATTGAAATAAAGTCATCTAGCACAGGACTTATTGCATTGCACAATATGCCCAAAGCTCTGTTGGCCACCGACCATGTTAGTTCTCTCCTCTGGATTGACACTTAGAATCCAAGAAAATATATAACGAAATTATATTACATGGACCGATTATGATTCTATTACAGTAAGCCCAGTTCTAAGATCATGATTTCAATTATGACAGGGGAAGAGCAAACGAAATGAAGAGAGCAAATCTACATTACTGTCACTGTTAACAAAGGACAAAGAAGGCAGCTAATTCAAGCAAAATTGTAGATTAAACTGATTAACCAGAATGTCACCCAGACTCCGTATATCAATAAAGCGACTCAGATCTCCTTCCTAGGTTTTTTCCAACCCAAATTTTTCTGGGACAGAAGATAGGATGAGACTAAAGATATACCGTCGACTCTGAGAATCAAGATGTATCGTACTCTGCTAATGCGGTGGACGGAACTTACCAAGGCAAGAGAAGTACATTATGTAATATTTTGGCGACTTTCAATGGCCCCGTTGGACAATGGCCAAAACAAAATGTTACTAATACAAGCAGCGCACTCTTTTTCACAACCCATTTCTTTTTTATGCAATTAGACCATACAAGGTGAATAAAGTTCAGTCTCGTTGCAGTACGTCAAAGTTCCAAATATTTGATTAGTTATATTACTTACTGAAGATCAGCTCTTCTCACTTGTTTGGCTGAAAAAGTTCACTGACAGTCTCCGAATTGTCCAGATGGCAGTTGGGACAGATGCATTTTCTTTGGAACTCCTCGCCAAGAGAACTGCATGATGCTTCTAACTTAGAAGTCTGCTTGTTTTCAGTTAAAGGCATAATTCAGCAGATTCGATTATGCATAGCAATTGAAATGTATGTTTCCAATGATAGAATTGAAATATGAAGAACTAGTTTAACTTATATTAGAAAGAGTTTAAAAAGGAAACATAAAGCAACATAACCACGTGCGCCAACAACTAATGAGACGATATTTCATTTTACAGGTGTTAAAATATTGAACTTCTGGATTTTGGTGATCCATCTTCTTATGCCAATCAAGTTTTCCATGCCTCCAGTTTCTAGGCATCCAACTTGTGGAAAAAAAAGAAAACATATCCAGATTCATTAAATTTCATATGAATATTAACCCCACGAATTAATTTAATATCATATCTGTGATCACAAGAGCGCCCTTATAGATCAGAGATGACATATTTGTGATCAAAAGAGCGCCCTTATAGATCAGAGATGACCTGCCTATACCACTAATAACATTGATTACATCCTGATCGGATGGGCCTTGTTTTTCTCTTCAGCTGAGTGACATTTAATCATTCAGAATATTAATGTAGTATTAATAAGGATATATCGTCAAATCATGCAATGCTTTTGTTTCTTGGACAATGGTGTCCAATAGAGACAGCTTTCTTTCAGAATTGTTCAACTCCTGTAGCAACTGCAGGCAGTGCCAGATAATCACGTTAAGGAGCAAAAATAAATAAATAAATAATAAAATAAAGGAAATATGGATATGACGGGGGGGGGGGAAAACTGAACTTTCGAACACTTGATTCTCCACTTACATTCTTGTGAGTGTTCTGTTCTGTTTTATATTCCTCTTCCTCTTTAGCCGTTTGAGATATAATCTCTGCAAGCATATTTTTAAGAGCGCTTAAAGCACCTTTGGTATCGTCATCTTTCATGATTCCTTGTGACGCATCTAAAACAAAATCCAAATATATCAAATATCCAAACGAGACTTTTAAATTGCAAATGATTGGGCTCAAGCGAAATAGAATTTTGAAAAGGGAAAAGTGGGGGGGAATGCAAGCATCAACCTCTGACGGCAAAGTTGGAGTTCATGCAATCGACAGCAAGGTCTTAAAAACAGCATTATGAATAAATCATATGACGTTTATGTTGAGATTGATCTTTTAATATATCAATATCTGCATCCTTGGAATAGTGATAATAGGAGGAATACGTGAAAGTAAAGCATGAAATCTCATTAGAGTAAATTATTCCATGTTCAAATGCTGGCAATTGAGAGTTAGGAATCCGAACGATGGGGACATCTTTTAAAGCCGTCCAAACTCCAAGCAAAATCAGTATGTCAGACTAACATTGCTAAGGAGGAAGGAAACAGGGAAAGAGAGTAGTAAAAACCTCTCCCCACTTTTCATACTTTGTCCTTGATCCCCTTGTTTCTTCTCTCGACTCCCTATCGATAGTACACTATCCTCTAGTTTCCTGCTACTCACTTTCTTCTTTTCTTTAATAGTACTGGTTCTATTTCGAGAAAATATAACCTAAAGATTTCTGTACGCGATCATTCTTAAAATTATCATGCGGCGACCCAAAAGACTGGAAAAAAAAGTTTTAACAATAGTCAAGAGGCAACGTCAAAAACATTGAAAGAGTTGCAGAACCTGTAGGAGTTGCAGAATCTACGGCATCAATGTTGCAAGTAATGTTCTCTTGGAATGTCCTGCATTTATTAAAGGATTAATGACCGTATTGTAAAATTTCAAAACTTAAATGACGGTAACTTGAAGAGAATTTTGCGCAGTTCTGTGTCAAATAAAAGAATATCTTATCAGTGAGTTTTTAGCTTGCCTATATAGGTTTTAGGCGGTTGAGGCTGAATTGCAGTAATAGATTTCAAACATCATGCAGTATAAATACAGAAATAGTAGCTTGCAAACCACCAAAGTCAAAGACTATTTGCCCAAGTTCAAAGACTGATACGACTGGTTGACCAGATGAACTAATTATGGGATTTAAAATAACAGTTCGATTTTATTGATAGAGAAACTATATTTTAGTAGGCCTAAATACTAAAATAGTTTTCCAAATATCGGACAAGCAAATAAAAAATGTTTACGCGTAGAAGATATCTTCAAACTTCACCAAGAATAAACAATAAAGGCCAATTGGCAGTGCACAGTTCTAAGAGAAAGAGCCAAGACCCAAGATTGGTCACTGCATATATGCAGAGAGGCCTGTAACAGGAAGACCTCAATGTTTGTAGCAGATGTGCAGTCAGCAGTATTCGCCTATCAAAAACTGATCAATCCGCTTTCTATTCATATGCATACCTGACTTTATGAGGAACAGAACAAAACAGATGGCAGAAGTACAACAAAAATGAATATTATAAGACAAGTTTAGAAAGGAGATCAACCTTATCCTAGCATTCAACTCAAGCATACGACCGATGAATTCCTCACTGCAAAGAGGTCAGAAAATTTCAAATCGCATGCGAGAATCTGAAATCTGTTAAAATAAAAGATTATTCTCGAAAGCTAGACAATAGAAATGGAAATTTAGTTACCGTAAAGCTGCTTCTTCATTCTTTGGAAATCCATATGCCAGACACAAGTTCCAGAAAACGCAGGTTTGATGTAAAGTTGTGAACAGTGTGAGAACACGAACGCATAATCCAGATTTAATAAGCAAACAATAGAAAAACAGCAAAGATCGTGAATACCTTGAGAATTTCCAAATGAGATCCAACAATAGAAATCTCATCTTGAGTAAGAGATACCCGTGACTATCATCACGTTTAATGGTTCAGAACATTTTCCAACGAAGACTGTACTTATGTCGCAAGGAAATTTCATAATAATTGACATAAAATATAAGGTAATTAACCTCAAGTGTTTGAACCGACGCTTCACTCAAGAATAGTTGAACTTCATAGCCTTTAAGCTCCTGTTCACCGAGTTCTTTGCTGCGTTTGGCATTTTCGAACTCCGCATTGGTCGCGCTAAGTTCAGATTTAAGTTCCTCAATTCGCTTTTTCAGCGTAGTTACTCTTCGCTCTGCGCATTTCAGTGCATGTAAACATAGAGATGATACATATATAAGCATGTCTGATTATTAAGGATATGTAAAGCGGAGAGAAATCTAACTTCATACAAGCCTCAAAAGCCTGATTCTACTACATTAATAACTGGAGTAGATCATATATTGCTTAATTTCGTAATCTGATAACTTGGGAGATTTAGTTGTTCTTTCGGAAATGGAAATATTGAGAGTATATAGAATGAGACGGGGGGGAAAACCAAAGAAGAAGAAAGAAAGATAATCGTGCTGTTGTTTCAGGACTCTCTCCGTAAACAAACAATTAAAGGAAAGCACAAAGATGCCGAATACCTCCCTGAGATTTCTCAGCGGCGAAATTGCGAATAAGGCTCAAGAGTTGTTTTTGTGGATCACTTCCCGCTCCCGCCATAGATGGTTACTTGGTCGCTTCTTTCAAAAATTATATATTCTCGGAGGTGGTACAATTCCGTTTACAGGGTCCGTTTATTCGGCTATTTTGGGGCTGGCCTAGATATCAAATTTAAGACCCTTGACTAGTCTTCTTTAACGGCCCATAGAAAGCCCAATAAGTGAAGGGCCGGAGGCGGATGGTCTTATGCCTCACGCATAATAATATCTCCTGTCCTATACCAAAAAAATTTTTTATAATAATAATAATATCTCCTGTCTTTATATAAAATCTTGTTTAATTTTTATTTTAAGGGTTAATTAATCTTCAAGTCCTTATATTTTCAACGAATTTTAAATCAGATCCCCATAGTTTTTTTTCTTTTTATAGGTCCTTATACTTTTTTTTTTTAATTAGGTCCTTGTATTTATTTTTCTTTTAATTAAGTCCTTATAATTTAACTAAATTTTTAATCAGATCCATGTAGTTTTAATTTTTATTTATTAATTAAATATAAACTTAATTAAATAGATTAATACTGAAATATAAAATATTAATAATTATGTAATAAAAAAGTAATAGAATTAATTAATTCAGGAATATTTTTTAGAACAATTAATTTTTTTCTGAAAAAATTAAAATCATTATAATAATTCAATATCTTTATAAACTAATATTAAATAATATATACTATTTTATGTTTATATAATAGTACTATTAGAATTTATAAAATAAAGAATAAAAAATTCAGGGATTTAATTAAAAATAAGGTGAACTTATAAGGATCTGATAAAAAGAAAAATAAATACAAGGACCTAATTAAAAACAGGTGAAAGTATAAGGACCTGATGAAAAGAAAAAAATTATAAGAACCTGATTCAAAATTAGTTAAAACTATAAGGAGCTGTGGATTAATTATCTTATTTTAATCTTAAATATAATATTACAATCTAATTTGTTTCTAATATTTATTTATTTTTTTAAGATGATCTTTTTAATAATGATAGTTCTAGCTAATAAATTTGATTAACAAGGATATTTTAAGAAAGACCACTTATTTATTACAAATAATTAACTTAACTTATTTTCTTAATCTATTCAAATTAGTCAATCAACCCTTATACTCCTCCGGTCCTTAATATAGGACCCAATTTTTGAGTTGGTTTTGGTCTTAAATATAAGACCCATTTTTCATATTTATCAATTTTTTCTAAATTACCCCTATGGATACTCCCTCAACCATAATTAAGTAGAAGAGGGAGAGGGGGTATTAAGAAAAATAATTATGGTGTTTTAGGAAAAATGTGTCATTTTTCTTATAATTACCTAACTTTCTTAACCTAATCAAATTAGTTAAATGGGTCTTGTATTAAGGATTGGATGAGTATTTAGGACCAAAGGTAGTAGTATTTAATTGCATATTGGCCGCAACTTTTGGGCAAAATTCCACTTTTCACCCTAAAATTTCTACGGATCTTGTTTTGGTGTTACTGTTTCACCCTTGATTTGATTTTATATAATTATAACTGTAAACACCTTGTTTTGTATGAATACCAAAAAAAAAAAAGTTAAAGTTAAAATTAAAAAATACAATGAAATGGGGAATAATAATGGGAAAATTACACTCAGGTCCCACAGAGCACAATTAATATCAAAAAGGTCCCATAAAATCACAAAATGATTCTAAAGTCCCCAGGGACCTTTGTGTAATTAATTCTTATTGTGAAATTACCTACTTACCCCTGTTAATTTTATTGCAACAATTCGTTTACAATCTCAACAATGGTTGTTAACAACCCGAGAAGACGTGATTGACAACCTTGGCAGTGCTCATGACAACTCACTCTGTGGAATGCCAGGGGCATTATTGAGGTTGTTAACCACCTCTTCTCGGGTGTTAACAGCCACTGTTGATGTTGTAAATAGGTTCTAATTTTATTGCAGCAATTCGTTTACAATCTCAACAGTGGCTGTTAACAACCCGAGAAGACGTGATTGACAACCTCGGCAGTGCTCATGACAACTCACTCTGTGAAATACCAGGGGCGTTGTTGAGGTTGTTAACCACCTCTTCTCGGGTTGTTAACAGTCACTGTTGAGGTTGTAAATAGATTCAAATTAACAGGGGTAACTACGTAATTTCACAATTAGAATTAATTACACACAGGTCTCTGGGGACTTCAGAATCATTTTGCGATTTCGAGGGACCTTTTTGATATTAATTATGCTCTGTGGGACCTGAGTGTAATTTTCCCAATAATAATAGTAGTAGAAATAGAAAACAAAAGGTTAAAAAAATAGTAATACAACACCACATGCATCAACTCATTTGCTAGTGTCCTCACTTGGAATGCAAATGCACGGTGGGGAGAGCAAAAGATTCTCAGCATGTCACGACAACTAAGTAGGAACTCCATCGACTTTGATTTTATTAGGAATGCTTTGCGCATACATGACATCACACACACACACATGTATAAATAGCAATAACGAGGAGGGCGTTGGCAAACAGAGAGCTGAGAATAGGACGCTGTGAGGCGTACGTAAAGTGAGAGACAGACAAAGGCAAAGTTCAGTTTCCCAGTCATTTCAGCACAAAAAGTGATGATTGACAAACACCATGCCTGATCTTAAACAGATCAGTGACATAAAAAAGCGAAGATAAGGAGGGGGGAAAGCAAAGAGACAGGATGAAAAGGAAGACAAAAGAAAGCCACTAAAGTTCCAGTGAAGTTTAACTAAGCTAGCTGCGATCTCATTTTCTTTCTTTCAATTATGGGGAGAAAACACACAGGCTTTTGTTCAGTCTTATGAGTGACTTACTAAAACGTAATAACTCTCCCCGTCTCTTCGTAGTTTCATAAACAGAACCCTAGCTAGCTAGCATGTTCTGTTTCAGAAGCAGAAGCAACAAGAAAATTCACTAAATCCAGATTCGTTTTAAGGCCATGATCACCTGTGATAATAATGATCCACTTACGTGTATCCGGATTGCCTGAACCATCATACTGTGACCAGTTAAAACTACCATTTTGTGGCACTTGCTCCCTTCAATGAGGTATATATACTGTGCTGGCAAAAGAGGTTTGATCTACACGTAAAGGATACAGGAATTGAAATTTTAACCACTTACCACTCACTGATCTGACTTGAAGCAGCTGTTTACATATCAATACGCTTTGTGAAAAAAGGAAAAGAAGGGGGGAAAAAAAAGAAAAGACTTGGGTAGCAGATTTATTTGGCCTGGACTTGGGGATCAAAGAAATCAAGGTTTGATACGCATGTTGAGCACTATGAATGAAACTTATCTTTTACGGCTCAAATGTGGACAAGATGGGTCTCAACATGTACATTCCAAAACTTTTTTTTTTTTGGGGGGGGGGGCCGATTGTTAGAGTCAGAAAGAGTATTGATGCCCTTCATCAACAATGAGCAAGGCCCTTGCAAGTATCCCAATAAGTGCCCCGGAATGTTGGTCAATGTTTCTTCCTCTTCATCAATCATTTTCTCTTTACAGCGTAACCCCCGTCCCCTCCCTCCTTCCACTACCTTTCCTTCTTCTTCCTTATTTTTAAAAACTACTACCATATAAACATACATGCTACCCCTTCGCTTCGAGCTCACATAATCGCATACAATCGGAAAGGATGAAACGTAACTAATTAGCGAGCAGTAGCGTGAACATGAATTGCTTATAAAACTTCCTAAATTAATTAGGTTCAACATTAATTAATTATTTAGTTGCAGAATTAGTCATTCAACACAATATAAATTACTCATGAGGCAGATAGGAAGTCTTAACACTAAGATACGTTGGCAACTATGATTGGAAACGGGATTAATTGGCATATATAGGCGGGAACTATTGCACTTGTCATGCGAGCAAAACGGTCGCCCTTGCAATAACGTTAATAATACTACTACTACTTAATATAAGAATTAGTTGATTGATTTGAGTAAATTAAAAAAATTAGTTATTTGTAATAAATAGGTGTTGTTTTCTTTAAAATACCCTTGTTAGTCATGTGTATTGAGTATAATTACAATTTGATGAAATACTTAACATGTACAATTACTACAAAGACTACTTTAAAAAAATGAATAAATATAAGATATAGTGAATTAAAATTTTATATTTAGCACTAAATTAAATATCAAACTAATTCTTATATTAAAAATAGGAGTAGTAATAATAAAAGAAGGAGAAAAAGCCTAGGACGACATGGAGGAAACAGAAAGGGCAGAAGATAAAGGCCAACAACAAAGCAGAGCATAAGCATAGGTATGGTCCATATAGCTACATAGGGGTTGCGACTTGTGTGTTTTTTGTTGGTGTCGAGTGCATCTGGTTCGAACAGGTTCAATAGTTTTGGGGTTCAAAGGATCAAGTGATTAAAGTGCATAATGTTGGAGAGATAGAAGCTAATTGTTTGACATAACTGGTAAAAGCGACAAAACTAGACCTGGAATTCAGAAATAATGAGAACCATGTCTAACAGTAGCCACTATACCCACCACGATTGAATCAAGACAAACACAGGACTTCTCATACTGGGGCACATTAATTTTTCTTTTTTCTTTTCCTCTTTCCCCCATTAAATAAACAGACAAGTATTTGCTTTTTAAATTCAACGCAAGCTAGCGAATAACTAGCTAGCACATAAACACGGAGCCCCATTCCCCCAGTTGGGATCCAGCAGCTGCCAAAAACAACTGAGAACGGAGGATATACATGCCCATACCCTACGCTTACTAACAGTCCACTCCATTATTGATTAATATTAATGCTTCACTACACAGGAACATTCCTTGCTTTTGGTTCAGGGTCATCCTGGATACACCAAGAATTTCACAGATTTGCTTGTAAAGATATGCCGATGTGTTTTTAATATCCCACTTATAATCAGATCGATAGTAATAAACTTGGTGTATCGAGTAATCGAGGTAGCGTAAGTTTTTATTTCTACTATAAGTGGGAATTCCCAGCGAATCGAAATTACCAGACTGTATGATATGAATGATACACAAATGGACACAGTACTGGAACCCAAAGCACCAGCGAATTCCACAGTGGCTACCACACTCAGTGGTAAAATCAAATATTATTGTCATTGTTCTATTAATAATAATGCTTCACTAGAAAGGCCTGTGAGTGACAACTCCAACCACCTTACAGCGCATGAAAATGGTGGACTAGACCCGTGGGTAGGGGCCTGGCAACAATTCGCTGGCGAATTTCAATTTGTCTGTTAAGGATACAGTGTTCTTCGATTAGCTAACCAATTAAAGATCCACTAGATGATGATTTATTAAGCAGCTGATGTAACGCGCACGATAGAGTTGGTCCGGTGGCCGGGGTGTAAAAATTAAGAAAGCACAGAAGAAACAGGAGTTACTTTCAAGTCATAATTAAGTGATGATGTTAATTATTTGATGAGGTTTTTCTTCACACATGCGTAGTATTCTTACACAATTTATGCTGCTCGCTGCAATAAGTATGACAGATCTATGCTTCTTTGATCATCCTGAACATTATTTCGGAAGTATGAGTGTGGCCTGGCTCTCCATTTGATGTGTTGAAGGATCAATCTCACGAAACTACTGTCATTCACGATTTTAAGCATAGCGAATTAGCAATTATTTGTGGTAGATTGTGAGCCAAGGCATTAATCGAGGAGGCGAAGCATTAGTGCTTGGGTGTCCGTATGGAGAAGTGAGGAGTGATGCGCGATCCCGGGAGGGATTCTGGCCATAGTTTCTGACTCGGACATTCTGATCATATTTAGTGGCAAAATTAGCTGACAAATAATCTTTAAAATAATTCTGTGCACTTAACCTTTTTTTTTTTTAATCTTTATGTTTAATCCATTTTTTCTCACCCAAATTCATCTTTTCTTGTTTGCTTTTATGCAACTGAACTTACTTTATATGGAATTTATCTTCTACTGTATAATGCATTTTCTCTTTATGTAAACTAACTTTAACTTATCTTTTTTTGTACAATCTATTATCCTATGAACTATTGTCTAATTAATTTTTCAATGACAAACTTATTTCCGAATTTCTCTTAATTAATTCATGATATTTTGTTTTATTTTTCTATAAATTTTTTGCCATGTTTTTTGTATAAATTTAAATATGTATCTTCCCTTCTTGTCATATATTCTCCTAAATTTTTTTTTTTTTGAAAAATCATAGCTAGGAAAACATAATTCTCTTCAATTTTTTTAATAATATATTTTTGGCCAGATTTATTAGCAGTACTCTCCTGAATCAAAGGATGCCCTGTTGAACTTTTTTGGAACAAAATCCCACGCAGCATTATTATCTATATTAGTGGGGGTGTATGTGTACTGGCTTGCATAGCTAGTTGGCCCGTGAGAAAAAATATCTATATAGCTAGTTGGCATAAGCAGGCCATGATCTCGTCGGCATGCATAAGCTGTAGCTGATTCTTGAATCTTATTTAGTATTACTTCTTATGTCTTAATATAATATTCAATTGACTCATTTAAAAAAATTTTAAAAATTACTAAATTATTTTAAATTATTTATATTTATTTTTTCAAATTAATTTGTCTTGCTTATAAATTAATATATAAGCTAGTGATACATGTAAGTGTTTTAAAGATATCATGTAATATATACTATAATTAATTAATTAATCTAATAATTTTTGTAATATCTCCAAATTAATTAAATGATTTTATATTAATGACCAGAGGTAATATTTTCAATTCTACATGATGGGAGGATGGTAATGGAATTTCAACCATAGAAGCGTACAACCAATATTTTTATTATAATCTTTTTTTATTTTGAATATAAAAATTGTATAAACTATGTGAGTTAGTTATTTGTAATTAATGTTTAAAATTTTTTATGATTTTTTCCTTAAATAACCTTTCTATTTAATGATTAAAATTTAATACGCAAAGATAAAATGTCTTGATAAATATGAATACTATAAGAAAGTTTAACAGGAATAGAAAATAAGATGAAATCTTATATTTAGAATTTAATTACATACCATGAGTATATTTGTATTCATAAATTAGACACACATATATGAAAAAAAATTAAGGAATGTCAGTAACAAATAGCCCTGGGGGCCCGGGGGATCATCGGATTATTTCCATATATTAGTCTGTTTTCGAGGGCACCTCAATATTTGGGTTTTGCTTTGCGAAAAAAGGAGCAGAAAAGTAGTGGAAGAACTATTTATAATGCTGGGTCATATATTGCAGGGTCATCCAATAAACAACAACATTATAATATGTAACATACACACGCACAAATCTTTTCCTTTATCAAAAAGCAATGATTGCATCCGCATGATCCAACCAGTTAGAAAGTTGGGGCGCTGAAAATAAATCAGGCAGGAAACTAAGATAAACTGGTTTAGTAATTTCAAATCCTAAGAGGAACACACTTCTTTTTTCTTTTCTTTTTCCGGATGAAGTGTCCATTGTGTTTTGTCAGGGACGATAAGTGTGGTTGCCTCGTCACGATTTTGATGAATCAAACCCTCAATTAGCAGCAACTTGGTCAACTCATTTGTCTTTTTATATTTCTGTTGCTCTTCACGGCTCTTGTGTTACGAGTGCCACTCTTTCTAAGCGGGGACACATGTGATGTCCAAAGTGGCATCTAAATCATAAAGTAATTTTCTTTTCCTGTTATAGTCAATAATTCCTGCGCATTATTTGTAGAATCATTGTCATGTATTTTTAGGTCAATTTGTTTTTATTTTGATTCTAGTCTTTTAAATTTTAAATAGTAGGTTTTAATCTCTCAATTTTTCTTATTTAAAATGTTCCTATAATATAATAAAAATTTAAATTATTTTGCTTTTTAATGAACCAAAACTTATGGTTTGAAATTGATGAACTAAAACTAAAATTAGTGCAAATTTAAGGGAGCATAGATTATACTACTTGAGGTATTTAATATAAGAGCTGATTGACTAATTTAAATAGATTAAGAAAATTAGCTAGGTTAGTTATTTATAACAAATATGTATTGTCTTTTCTAAAAGGAAAAATTCTAATTAAATCCATTTGAAATAGCAAAATCCTAATTTAAGCTTACATTTTTAACAAATTCTTAATTAGGCCTCTTGGAGATTTCTAAATGTTGCTAGAAGACCAAAATGTCCTTCATAATTAAAAAGCCTAATTTTAGTCTTAATTCTTTCAATTGAATTTAACCAACAAGTTTTTTCTTTAAATATTATCATATGAAAATCTGGCCAAAAACATTATCATATAAAGAAAAAAGAAAAATCACGATTATGGCCAATAAAAAATAATTGAAAAGCCAAGATAAAAAAAGCATAATTTCTAGATATCCATAGAATTACAAAAATATGGGAACTAATAAAAATTTTACGATTTCAAATGTCAAAGATTAACAGGATCAAAGATTTTTTTTATGTGAGAAAAAATCAAATAAAAATCCACAAAATTCTTGAATATCTATCAAAATTAATTTTACTGTATCACAAATTACATTGAGACTCATCAATTCATCTTCAATTTTTCGGTCTCCAAGATTTATTCAATATCAAAATTTTATTATATAAAAAATAACTAAAAGGCCATAAATTTTAGAGTTGACATAACGTTCACAAGTACGAAACACAACTTTGACATAAAATCTAAGAAAGACCATGTCCTCATTAGTAAATCTACTAGAATAATTAAAAGTAAAATTAGGCTTACACTTATATTCAATTTTCTTTTTTCATTACAAAGAGGCATTCTGGTCTTTTAGCAACATTTGAAAATTTCTTATTAAGCCTCTTAGCCTAATTAGGAATTTGTTAAAAGTATAAGCCTTAATTAGAATTTCATTATTTCAGATGGATTTAATTGAGATTTTCCCTTTCTAAAATACCCTTGTTAATTATATGTATTAGCTAAAACTTCCATTTGATGAAACTTTTATGGTGTGCAACTACTACAATGATCATATTGAGAAAACATGAATAAATATAAGAAGCAGTATAAATTAGAGTCTTATATTTAGTATTAAAATAAAAATTAAACTAATTTTTATATTAAGAAAAAGCAGTATGTATAATAATTGAAGAATCTTCGGGTAAAGCTCACAGTTAATAACTTTTTTTTCAGAATAAAGTGTGAGAAATTTAGATGTACGAACTTCACCAACATATCATAAAACTTTATTTGTTCTCTAGCCGGCCTACATATACGACCCTAGCTCTAAAAGAGATATACTATAAATAGATACTCCTTCGATCCTTAATATAAGACTCAATTCTTGAGTTGGTTTTGATTCTAAATATAAGACCCCTTTCTCATATTTATCAATTTTCTCTAAATTACCCCTATGAATACTCCCTCAACCATAATCAAGTAAAAGAGGGAGTATTAAGAAAGATGATTATGGTGTTTTAGGAAAAATGTGTCACTTTTCTTATAATTAACTAATTTACTTAACTTCCTTAATCTAATCAAATTAGTTAAATGGGTCTTATATTAAGGATCGGAGGAGTATTAATTAGTTAGGAGATAAGATACAGGGAAAAATAGTAAAAAAATCCCTCTTTAAAAATTTCATAAACTATAACGGCCTAAATTAGTGTTCTTCCGGTTTTTAATATACGACTCAATTGTTGAGTTGATTTTAGTTTTAAATATAAAATCTATTTTCTATATTTATCAATTTTCTCTAAATTACTCCTATGGATACTCCCTCAACTATAATCAAGTAGAAGAGAAAGATGGGGTATTAAAAAATATGATTATGGTATTTTAGGAAAAAAGTGTCATATTTCTTATAATTAACTAACTTATCTAACTTTCTTAATCAAATTAAATTAGTTAAATAGATTTTACATTAAGGATCGGAGAGTACTAATAGTTTTATGTATAAAATTCTACAGGGTGTTACTGCTTTTTATATACAAGGCATATCAGGTTTTTCCAAATATTAAAATTTTAAAAGAAAATTTCTACTATTTTTTTTAATATTTGCTCCTGTCGTAATGTACTATAAAAAATGTATTTTATGTTAATTAGATCTAATAAAATAAATTAGTTTTCACAATATAACAAATCAATATTTAAATTGTCATTGGAATCAGTGTTTAAAATAAAATTATCTCTAAAACGAGTGGAAGTGCTTAAACACTAAAAAAGAGCATTTCATGATGCGGGCTGATGATGAAAGTCAATGCGCATTGCCTCATCATTAAAGTTCATATCAGACCATAATTGTTGGTCGAAAAATATCACCCCCTTAGTCCGTTATATCGATCATGAATTTGCACAATTTTGAGTTTGGCACGCTCCTCACTTAACTATGATGAGAATCGATATTTACTTTACACAAGCGATGAACTGAACAAAAATAAAATAAAAAAATATGTATTTATTTGAAAATTCTATTTTTAAGAAAAACTTAATATGTTTTTATATATAAAAGGTATAAATACTTTGTACGATTTCATACTCACTTGGTTCCCCAATTTAGATTCTTCCCACTAATAAAATTTTTAAATAGGAACTTTTTATCAATTTTTTTTGAAAAATTAAGCTGCTAAAATTACAACTTTGACTCTTAGGGTTGCAATAATCTATTCCCTAAGACAGTAAATTATTCAGCACTCTTCCCATTTTTCTTTCTTTTCGCGTCAGAAGCGATGAAAAATCAATTTGGAGAAGTTACCTGTAGGGGGACACAAACGCGTAAGTAAGTTCTTTTATTTGCTTTTCTGGGCCAACTCGTAAGCAAGTAAGCTTTAGGATTCAAAAAATATGCAGATAATTTTTTTTTTATGTACTTACTTTATGCATCGTAGAATGTACTTCTGAGATTATGATTTACAAGACATTATAATTTTTATCTAAACGCACCTACAAGACATTATACCGGGCCAGGCCGGATAGTACATTTATCAAGGGGGCATGCTAAGTATTCAATGCTATATTGCCCTCATTAAGTATTCACTTCTACAGTTTCTGGTTTTTAATATAAGAACTTGTTTGATTTTTATTTTAGTCATAAATATAAAACCCAAATCTATTTTATCTATCATATTTATATATATTTTCAAAGTAATCATTCTAACAACGGTAATTCTAGATAACAAACTTCATAAGGAATGATATTTTAGGAAGAACAATACTTATTCATTACAAATAACTAACTTAACTAAATTATTTAATCTCTCCAAATTAGTTAACTAGGTCTTACAATTAGCACTAGAGGTGGTATTACAGAAAATTCCATGTCATTAATTATTTTTTGTTTATATGTGTATATATCTTTTAGTCATTTTAGAAGCCTAAGAGACAGTGGTCATTATCAGTAAAATAATATTAGTAAAATGGCAGCCTAAGTCTCTTTCCTATCATGCTTGTGTTCGTAATGATCTACTTCTCCCCAGTGAACAATGCCCCGGCTTCGACATAACAACCCTCCTGTTGTCATCAGGTATCTCGATCCTCCCTTTTTTTATTTTCCTCTCCTTTTTTTCTTACATATAAAACATACAATTATTCTAACTGGGAACAACATGAGAAAAGATATGAGCATAAATGATAGTGTACCCTGTTTTTTATCTTTCGTCGTGGAACCATGGGAGGCCATCAGTTCTGGTTGCTAGCTAAGTGGATTTTGCCCCACCACGAGCCCCTGTCCATGTTCTGAATCCTATAAATACACAACGTTAGCGGTGCTGGGCAGCCAACTTACTCAAAGCCGCAAATTTTGGTTTTGGAAAGCAAGAAAAGGAAGAGAGAAACACTTTCTAGTACAGAGAAGTGGGGTGCCAATAATATTCTTACTGTTGTCTGTTTTCCAAGAAAAGGAGGAGGGATGAGTTGGGGTTCAGATAGTAAGACGGAGGTCATGAAGAAGAAGAGAAGTAGTGGGTCTGTTCGATCCATTTTCATGCACGCCGATTCCCAAGACTGGTTTTTGATGGCGCTTGGTGTGTTGGGGTCTTTCGGTGACGGCTTCACCGGTCCTATTGTGTTGTTTATCAGTAGCCGCTTGATCAACAATATTGGAGGGGCCTCGTCTCGGATGGATGTAACTGCCTTTGTTCATAACTCTAATGAGGTTCTTCTCTTTCCTTCTCTCTCAGTACACTCACTAATGCCCACATACAGATCATAATTTGGCTTTGTTGATGATGCAGAATGCGGTGGCTTTATTATATTTGGCTTGTGGGTCATTCTTAGCGTGCTTCCTCGGTAAGTTAATTCCACCTATTGCTGTGATTTTCGCTTTTTATACTGTCTTTCATAAACAGAAGAATCCTGATTTTGTTCTCTTGGCTCTTGGGAATTCAACGTTCAGAGGGATATTGTTGGACGAGGACAGGAGAGAGACAAGCAGCGAGAATGAGATCCAGGTACTTGAAAGCAATGCTGAGACAAGAAGTTGCATACTTTGATTTACGAGTCACAACCACGTCCGAGGTTACCACCAGCGTCTCTAACGATAGCATCGTAATTCAAGATTTTCTTAGCGAAAAGGTCATGTAGAAAGATAATCAGAAATTTAATTTGTTTCTTTGACTTTGTTTTTGTTATGATATTGTAAAATTCTATGATTCTATGACGTTGACAGTGTCTTGCCAAAATATAGGTTCCAAATTTGCTGACAAATCTCTCTATGTTCGTTGCGAGCTACGTTGTGGCCTTTTCAATGTTCTGGAGATTGGCTATCGTAGCCTTACCTTTCGTAGTTCTTCTAGTAATCCCTGGTTTAATTTACGGAAGGACTTTAACGGGGCTGGCTAGCAAGATTAGGGACGAGTACAACCAGGCCGGTGCAATAGCAGAGCAAGCAATATGTTCCATCAGAACCGTCTATTCCTTTGTTGGGGAAACCAAAACCACAGCTGCTTTCTCCTCTGCATTACAGGGTTCAGTCAAGCTAGGTCTAAAACAAGGCTTGGCTAAAGGCTTAGCCATAGGAAGCAACAGTATTGTGTTCGTCATATGGTCCTTCATTTGCTATTATGGTAGCAGACTCGTCATGTACCATGGCGCTCAAGGTGGCACCGTTTTCACCGTTGGAGCAGCCATGGCTCTCGGAGGATTGTAATCAATAAAAACCTAACCTTTTTTCTCATTTATCAGTCAGGGTAGTCATATTCCTGATGTTGGTTGTAATTTCTTTGGGAAACAGATCGCTGGGAGCTGGTTTATCCAACGTGAAGTACCTCTCGGAAGCAAGTTCGGCAGGGGAACGAATAATGGAGGTGATAAAGAGAATCCCCAAGATTGATTCAGAGAACACGGGAGGTGAGATTCTGGACAGAATTCACGGGGAAGTGGAGTTCGATCGCGTAGAGTTTGCATACCCGTCGAGGCCGGACAGCATTATCCTGAAGGATTTCAGTGTGAAGATTCCGGCGGGGAAGACGGCAGCACTGGTGGGCGGGAGTGGGTCAGGGAAGTCGACGGTGATATCACTTTTGCAGAGATTTTACGACCCAATGGGAGGAGAAATACGGGTGGACGGGGTGGGAATTAAGAGGTTGAACCTAAAGTGGATGAGATCGCAGATGGGACTGGTGAGCCAAGAGCCGACACTGTTCGCGACAAGCATTAAAGAGAACATACTATTTGGGAAAGAGGACGCTACTGAAAATGACATTGTGGAGGCTGCCAAAGCTTCCAATGCTCATGATTTCATTTCTCAGTTGCCTCTGGGATACGATACCCAGGTTAGTGCTGCTTATCATATATCCATTTCTATAGTTGATTACACAATAACTAGCCACCGTCTAGCAATTCTTCAACAACACACTCACCATTATCAATAGTGCATTCTCCACTCCAGCCCTTACACGTGCATGTTTAGATTTTTCTTTGCTCATTCTGACTGGTTCGGATTCCTGTTCCAAATTTTGCCTTAAGACGTGGATAAGTCCATCACCCTCCAAGATTCCAGGTGCGTCATATAATTATTTGCTACTCTAAATGGCCCAGAGACGACACATTGCCCAGATGTCGTAGCGTGAGTGGCTTTAAGAATTAAGGGGTTCCTCTCTTTGGGCACTGATAATACGTCATTCCAAATTGGCCATTCCCTTGAAGAAACAAAATCCCTGTTTCCCCGTGGAGCTACTGTTTGATGTCCTGGTGTCTTTCGTCTGTAACCAAAAAAAAAATCCCCGTTATCACAGTTTTACCACTCTCGTCATTTGACTTGACCACGTGGCAGATCCTTGTTCACAGTGCCATAGGGGACTAGGAAAGTGTGTTTTAAAATTTTATTCCTTCCCATCACAGCCAAGCCAACAAAGAAATTTTGTTTCGATCAAGATTTTAGTTTAATTTATTTTATAAATTTATAATTTTTTTTAAATTTTCTGAATAATTCCACATGCTATGATTTTTCTATGAAGACGTAATTCCCGATGCAAATTATTAAAACTGGTATTCCAAAAAATTTAACAAACTTTTTTAACAAATAACTAATTTAATTAATTTTTTAATCTCAAAAAATTAGTTGTCAAGCTCATCGTTTAGGATTGGGGAATTACAGTAAAAATATTTTCTATTATATCTTCTACGTTATTCAAAATAAAATATCTGTATATATATGCATATATCATAAATATTTAATTGCACAACCCTTAAAAAGAGGACCACGTTTTTAAAAAGAGCAAGAGATGGAAGTCATATTCAGTCGTTATTTTCAAGTCAACAAATAGTATAACTTTCTCGCCTTGGTCTGACTTCTGAGTAAAAAAGTTTCTTGAATTGGGGGTTTCACTGTTTTCTCATGCCACAAAACGGGCCTAATTTGTTGTTTCCGTTTCCGGGACCCATAGCCCATGCTCCTAGTGGAGATTCCAAAATTAGTCACATGCTGTCTTCTTCCGGGGGTGAGAATTTGGTCCCGTCCACATATCCAAATAAAATTCCCAAAAGGATAAAGTAAACTCTCCCATTTATAAACTAAAGACAAGAGGTGTAGAAGCTTGAAAGTTCTACCCCATCCCATCGACAGTATTTAAAATCATTAAACAATGTAGAATAATATACTTACAGTAGATGCGAATGGGTTAGTCAATTTGGTAGCGTAACTTTGACTGGTACATGGACTATACATTAATTACAAGAGTGTAATAACATTACATGAACAGGTGGGGGAACAAGGGATTCAAATGTCAGGAGGACAAAAACAGAGGATTGCTATTGCGCGAGCAATTATCAGAAAACCACAAATCCTCCTCCTCGATGAAGCAACAAGTGCTCTAGACACTGAGTCTGAACGAGTTGTCCAAGAAGCTCTAGGCAATGTAATTGGACGCACTACCATCATCATTGCTCATCGCCTGTCCGCCATTCGGAATGCTGACGTGATTGTCGTTCTCCAAAATGGGAGCCTTATGGAAATGGGATCACATGATGAGCTCATGAAAAATGAAAATGGGCTTTACACCTCTCTAGTTCGCCTCCACCAAACAGAGAAGTCTAGAATGACTCAAGAAGATGCTGCCACCTCTACCTCTTCTGCTGTATCAGATAGGGACATAAACAATACTAGCAGTCGAAGACTATCTCTTATGACTCAATCTAACTCTACGAATTCATTAGTACAAGGTCGAGTTTCCAATGCCGATGAAGAAACCGATGCTGCTGCAGAAGAGAAGAGACCCCCTATTCCCTCTTTTCGAAGGTTGCTTGCCCTAAATCTCCCAGAATGGAAGCAAGCTACTTTAGGGTGTTTTAGTGCGTTTCTGTTTGGTGCAATTTACCCATTATTCTCATTCTCAATGGGGTCCATGGTTTCTACATTTTTTTTGACAGACCATGACGAGATCAAAAAGAAGATGAAGGTTTATGCGTTTTGTTATCTGGGTTTATTAGCGTTCTCAATGATTACCAGCATAATCCAGCATTATAATTTTGCTTACATGGGAGAATACTTAACCAAAAGGATAAGAGAGATAACATTTTCAAAGATACTCACATTTGAAGTTGGTTGGTTCGATCAACCTGAAAATACAAGTGGTGCGGTTTGGTCTAGACTGGCAAAAGATGCTAGTGCGGTATGTTTTCCTTCATCTTTTTCATAATTTCCCTAACACTGGATAAGCTCATTTAGCATTGATCTTATTTTTTTTAATTAATTTCCCTATCAAAGTGAACACATTTTTTAACATTGATAGTGATATTTGACAGGTGAGGTCTCTAATAGGAGACAGAATATCCCTGCTGATACAGACTTTCTCCACGGTTATAATTGCTTGCACAATGAGCCTGGTGATTTCATGGAGGTTTGCCATTGTTATCATAGCCGTTCAACCCCTTATTGTGGTCAGCTACTACACTAGGAAGGTCTTACTCAAGAGCATGACCAAGAAGGCCACTAAGGCGCAGGATGAATGTAGCAAGCTAGCTGCAGAAGCTGTTTCGAACCTTCGTATTGTTGCAGCCTTCTCTTCCCATGACCGGATCCTCAAAATGCTTGAAAAATCCCAAGAAGGCCCAAGGCAGGAGAATCTTAGACAATCTTGGTTTGCTGGTATTGGCCTTGCTTTCTCTCAAAGCGTCACAGCTTGTACTTGGGCCTTAGACTTTTGGTATGGGGGAAAGCTGATGTCCATTGGTCTTATCAAAGCTGAAGCACTATTTCAAACGTTCATGGTACTAATGGGCACAAGCCGTGTCATTGCAGATGCAGGAAGCATGACATCTGACCTTGCCAGAGGTGCAGATTCTTTGGGCTCCCTTTTTGCAATTCTCGATCGCTCCACAAAAATTGATCCGGATTATCAAAACGGGTATAAGCCCGATAAACTCACTGGCCTCATAGAACTTCGCGATATTCATTTTGCATACCCAGCTAGGCCGAACGACATGATCTTTCAAGGGTTTTCAATGAGAATGGAAGCAGGGAAATCAACGGCATTAGTGGGCCAGAGTGGGTCTGGAAAGTCAACCATCATAGGATTAATTGAGAGATTCTACGATCCATCAAAGGGGGTAGTGAGCATAGATGGGAGAAACATAAAGTCATACCACCTGAGGAGCCTTAGAGAACAAATAGCATTGGTGAGCCAAGAGCCGACATTATTTGCAGGCAGCATGAAAGAGAACATCGCATATGGAGCTAAGGATAAGGTTGACGAAGCAGAGATCATAGAGGCAGCTAAGGTAGCAAATGCACATGATTTCATATCAAGCTTGAGAGATGGATATGAGACATGGTGTGGGGAGAGAGGAGTACAATTATCAGGGGGCCAAAAGCAAAGAATAGCAATAGCAAGAGCAATAATGAAGAACCCTGGGGTGTTGCTACTAGACGAGGCAACAAGTGCACTGGATAACCAATCGGAGAGGGCAGTGCAAGAAGCACTAGAGCGTGTTATGGTTGGGAGAACCAGTGTGGTGGTGGCACATAGATTGAGCACCGTTCAGAAGTGTGATGTGATAGCTGTCTTGGAAAAGGGAAAGGTGGTGGAGAAAGGCACACACTCGTCTTTGCTTGCCAAGGGACCAGGTGGGGCTTATTATGCTCTGCTTACTCTTCAAAGGAGGCACTCCAATTCCATTAACCAACCCAGTTGACAAATATGTGATTGCAGAGAGGCTTTCGACACGATTGTCTCTTTTCTTGTTCGCATCTCATGTGCTAATGCCTATTTCCTAATACCTTGCATCCTTTGCTTAAGTGTGTGAATACAGGGATGCGTGGCACAACTGTTTCTTTTTACCATGAGTGTTTCGGATAATGCATGATTCCTTTAGATTATACATTCCCAGAGAGATGGTATTCTTTCGTCTCTCCTACTTTTATGTGTGCCTTTGACACGCACTTACAGCGCAACTGAGTGTTGTTTTGCCGTAACAAAAGATTTGTGATATTCACTTCCTGCTGTAATGAATTGTTGAAGTAAGATGGACAGATAAGCATGAAATCACGCACACATAACCATGTTGAAATATAGATTTTGGCATGCATGCATATTTGAGGTTAACAAAAGAGGTGATTTTGCAATGATATGTTGCCTCAAAACTAGAAGATGCACAATGCGTATCTGTTTTGACTTTAGAGTTAAGAATTACTTGTTCCCATATACTCCTGACCTACATCATTGCCCACGGCATGGTTTCCATTTTGGGATTGCAATTTTTCAGTTGTTTCTTTTCTAAATAACACAATGCAAGTTGCCCAGTGCAGTTTTCCGGGGTTCAAATTTTTTAATGAATAAGACAAGACAAACAAAACTATACGAGTAATTAAAAAAAACATAAGAAAAAAAAAATCCATTCACGGAAATTTCTTCGTCTTTACTGCATGTTGAGCGGCATTGGCTGCTTTTCAATGGTCCCAAGTCCAGCTAGTTAAATGTGTCTGCTCCCACTTGGTTCAAGTTAGCCCAGGAACGAAAACTGATTACCGTTTGTCGAATTGGGCTGGGCTGGGAATCAAATGGTGTGGACCAACCCTCGTCCAAGCCTGCTCTTTCCCCCTTCTTTTAAAGGGTTTTAAATTTAAATGTGAGTTTTTATCATAATTTGATGTCACCAAAACCAATATCAACACATCACTATTTAAATTTTTTTTAATTAGGATAATCCTAATTCAATATCAGTTCAATTAGGCATCTTGCATATATTTCAATTTTATACTTATTAAATTCACTCCACTTGAGTCATAAATATTTCTCTCCATCGTATACATGCGTAAAAATAAAATTTTTTTGGCTCTTATATATCCTATAAGTTTATTTTCCTACAAAAATATTCTGGTCGTTATCCATCGTTAAATTTGACAATTAAATTATACAGTTTGACCAATATTTTTAATAATTAAATTTAATGGTGGATAACAGTTTAGAGCAGAAATACTATGAAATAAAATTTTTAGGATATATAAAAGCACAAAAAGCTTTTCAATGTTGGGCATTCCCCCGTACATACTTGGGACTATTTAATTACCTTATTCTTTAAAATAAATATAAAAATATAATAATCGTTGTAAATCCAGTACTCAACAAAACACCTCAACGATAAAGGTTTCATCTTTCGTGCGGCCGAAGAAAAAGGGCACATCTTTTGGAATCGGTATGAAAATCGCGGAAGATACCGCCAGAAAAACCACGGGCCTGGAAAATAAAGGGTGCGTATAACCCAAACCTCGCAGGACAAAACCCAAAAAACCAACGGGCTCAGTGATGGATCGTGTTTAAACCCACGCATTTAGGGCGCTCGGCTTCCCGCATGGGAGTGGAAGACAAGTACTCGTAAAATTCTAAAATTGGAACAACTTCAACACGAGGGATTGCTCATCAGTTTTCGAAAATTTACTTGTCTCCAAAATGAGTTTCAGCTCCTCGTACCACAGCTTTCTCTCAACATAAATTTTCCTTGCACCTCTAATGAATCTTTCCTGGCTGTCTGTCCCAATTCTTCTCTCTGACATACAAAGCAAGGGAAGAATTATTACCAGGTAAACCCAAAGGCGATCAGGCTCTTCACTGTTTTTTTCTTTTTTCCCAGTGATTCGCTTGCTCTTTCCGCAGCATATTTCCTGAGAAAATCTACCAACTGCAAGGTACCTTATGCATGTTTTTGCCCCTTTTCTCTTTCTTGCGCGTTGTTGATATGTGCTCCTCTTTATTTCATTCCCTACTGTTTTTTCTTTTTCTAAAAGATTGCTTGTCTTTTTTGTTTTTGTTTCGGGGGCAGATATGAAGAGAACTAGGGACGATACTTATGCTTCTTCTCAATTAAAGCGACCCATGGGTTCTTCACGCGGGGATTCGTATGTCTTTCTCTTACTTTTCTTTCCTTCGCATGCCAATTTCATTTCTCTGTAGAGTTAATTGCTCATCTTTAGCGAGTGTATCTTGTCAAGGCCTTAACACCGCCTCGATGATGAATTGAAGCGTTTCTTGCATTGTTGGGGATTTTGAGTTTTCACCTGAGGTGTCTTGCTAATGCCCGAAGATTATTTATCTTTTTACCTATTGAGGAATTTTTTGTTGAATTGCTGTGGGCTTATCTTTTATTTGACTTAAATTGACTATGGAACGGGTTCTCCGGTGGTAAAATAACATTTGGGAGCAGATGTAGTTGGTTTTTGTCATATCCATAAATCTTACTGAGTAACATCGTTAATGCTCTCAATTGCATTACATTAACTTTATTCTATTGACCAAAAGCTTAGTGAAAATACAAATACACACACACAAACACCCTTTATTCTATTGACCGGAAGCTTAGTGAAAGGAAAAACATGATAATATAATTTCTGGACAATATGACCACCAATTAAGTAGCACATTTATTATATTAGCTTTAAAGTTTTTGATGCTATAAATGTTGATATGCTGGGTATCTGAATTGTAATTATATTCCACTTATGAAGCTATGGCCAATCCCAAATCCCTGGAGGAGGGGGAGGGGGAGGGGGAGGGGGAACGGGAGGAGGAGGGGGAGCTACTTCACAGAAATTGACTACCAATGACGCTTTATCATATCTGAAGGAAGTGAAAGACATGTTTCATGACCAAATAGAAAAATATGACATGTTCTTAGAGGTCATGAAAGATTTCAAGGCTCAACGGTAGACTCTTCACACTTAGTTTTAAACCATGTGATTGTGAAATTTGGTGCTTAAATGATCAGGGGGTCTCAACTTTTTCCCCCCTCCGCAGGACTGACACTGCAGGTGTCATTGCAAGGGTGAAGGAACTATTCAAAGGGCATAATAACTTGATTTTTGGATTTAACACCTTCTTGCCAAAGGGTTATGAGATTACACTTGATGAGGATGAGGCTCCTCCAAAGAAAACAGTTGAATTTGAAGAAGCTATAAGCTTTGTAAACAAGATAAAGGTAAAAGTGATTTTCATTTTACTGCAAGTTCTGCTTCTTGTCCATTAATTGATGGGTTTTGCATATGCAGAAACGATTCCAAAATGATGAGCATGTTTACAAATCATTCTTGGACATTTTGAACATGTACCGCAAAGAGCACAAGGATATTGGTGAGGTCTATAGTGAGGTAAAATGTTCAGCTCGTTTTTGCTATTTGACTCTATTTTTTGGGTTATCTCTTAAAAAGTTTATATTGCAATATTTTCTATATGTCTTTTGATTCATCCTACTTTTTTTTTTTTTTTTTTTAATGCTCTAGGTCGCTACCCTTTTTGAGGATCATCCGGATTTACTTGAGGAGTTTACTAGATTCTTACCAGATACTTCTGCAGCGCCTTCTTCACAGCATGCTCCTTATGGTCGAAATTCATTTCCTCGATTTGGTGAGAGAGGCTCTACAGCACCCATGATACGGCCAATGCAAGTGGACAAGGCAATAAGATTGTTCCTTTCCCTTTACAGTGAGTTTTATGAAATGCTTTATTTATGTTGGGATTCCGGACTTTGACTTTTTACAGCACCGCTATCGACGGGAAAGGCTTAGTTCTCTTGATCGTGATCCAAGTGTTGATCGTCCTGAACTGGATGATGACAAGGCACTAATGAAATCTCACAAGGAGCAGAGGAAGCGTGTTGATAAGGAAAGTAGGGATAGGAAAATTCGTGACCAGGATGAGAGAGAACCTGATCATGATAATAACAGGGATTTCAAACCACGATTTCCTGAGAAAAAGATATCTTCCAAGAAGGCTGAAGGTTTTGGGTTGGCAGCTGATTTTGCTTCATATGATGACAAAGATACCTTAAAGAGTAAGCCATCATGCTATATTTTTGTAGATGGATCAGATTTGATTCTAGATTGTTGCTTATTTAATTTAACATTGCTAGAGTTGTTAGCCAGGGTTAATACGTAGATGTTCATCTGTTCTACTTCCGAAAATAGTTTAATTAGCAGTATATTTGGTGCAAGCACCATCAAAGAGCAAAGGAAGCTTTAATTAGTTACATTGTCCGGTGAAACATTTGCGAAAAGAATGTTTGCCAAAATCAGTTCGCAAGAATGTGTGTGTATATTAATTATGGACATTTTTTCCCTATTGAGGGAAGTAATATTAGAGAGAAAAGGAAGCAATTAGAGTAAGTAGAGTATAAGATATCCAAAAGCAAGCAAAAGAAAAGTGGAAAAAATGTAGAAAGGATAAAAGAAACAAGCAGACCTATATCTCCTCGTATTGGACACTGAGATCTTCACAGTCATTCTCTGGATGCCAATAAGATGAAATCAACACATCCCGGCCCATTTCAAGTGTAGTTGATGATTTAGAATCAAAACCTATGGCTAAAATACAATTAGCTATTTTTTTGGATCTGTTAAAGTTCCCTATATTTGCATGTCTCTCGTATTGTTATTATCTTTCTTGGTTAGGAAGTTAGTGGTTTTTCAATTTAAATATATCATGGGAGGAGAGTGGGATTTGATTTATCATCTTGGTCTGTATGGTTTCGTAACCTCTTCTTTTTGGATTGTTCGACTTTTGCCAGGCATGTATAACCAGGCATTCAGTTTTTGTGAGAAAGTTAAGGAAAAGTTGGGCAGTTCAGATGACTACCAAGCCTTCTTGAAGTGCCTTCATATTTTCAGCAATGGAATAATAAAAAGGAATGATTTGCAGAATTTGGTAAGTGATATTCCCTTGCTTTTGTCAATCCCAGCCTTAGCATCTGGGAGACTGGGAAGACATTACTTCAGTTTTCAGTATCTTGACAATGATGAATCAACCTTTTTACTTTACACTCAAAACTCAACATGTGCGCTTGCTTTTCTGAGAATAATTTGTGGTGTCATCTATTGACTATCAGTTTGTTGTGCTTGTTCAAATTTCATAAGCAATTCCTAGAATGAAAATGCTGCAAGTTATTGCTGAGTCAATGCTTTAGCTGGTATATGCTTTTTTAGACAAATTTGTTGGTGTTTTTAATGGGATCTCTAGTATTTAGACGAAGGGTGTATAAAGCAAAAAAAAAATGAAGGGGCTTGGATATGCTTGAATGATTTCAGGGCGGGCCATTTACTTAATGTAACGGTCATCAAAAGCTGTTAATGAACATTATCATGAGCCATCTATCTACCTTGTAATCTGGTAGGAAGGCATCAATAGATGAAAATTTCGAAGGTAATTTGCCTTTAGTTTTTCAATCTCTGTAGCCAAGTTAGTCCATGTATTCTTGGACTGCTCATGTCATTAGTGGTGGTAAATTTCCAGTTTCCTTTTATTCTGGTCACACAGTTTTAGCCCCAGGGTCAAGATTTTATTTTGAAATGCTTTTCTAGCATGAACTTTATATATAGATTACTAGAGTCAATACCATTGTAAAGGCCTGTGGTTTTGTTTGATTTTGATGCTAGTATACATTTTTGTGTTTATGCTTCATATGTTTAAATTATTTTAATCATTTATAAGCCTCAAATGTTACCAGCACCATACATTTGCCTTTATGAGTAACACTTCAATGCTACTTATAGGTGTAAGCGAGAAGGGAGTTTGTATAGTTTTCCAACTTAGCTTTGGTGCTGTATGTTAGCAGCATTTACGTCTATGCCTTTTGAATTCATTAGAAGATGTGGTTATGTCGAGTCCAATAGATGATCTGGGCCATATCAGACCTTTTTTCTCAGCTCAAACTTAATGAATTTTCGTTTAGGCATTGAGTTTGTTTTCTTTATGGGTTTCTGTTGTCACTATTATTACTCAAGATGACCTCGAGTTCTCATTTCAGGTGACTGACTTACTTGGAAAGTACCCTGATCTGATGGATGAATTCAATGAGTTCTTGGAGCGTTGCGAAAATATTGGTGATTGTTTCTCAACTTTTAGTATTTGGTTTTCTTGTACATTCATATGTTAACGTTGATGGTGTCTCTGACATATTTGTTCTTGTAGATGGGTTCCTTGCTGGTGTCATAAGTAAAAGTAAGTCGTTATATAAATTATTTTAGCTGTCCTCCTTATGGTTACTCTTTTTTGTATCTACTTAACAGTGTATCTTACTTTTTTTATTACATTCTTTAAGTTGAGGAAGGAGGTGATCACATTGGTGGACTGAGTTCTTTATATGATATTAATTTTTACTTATCTCAATTATTTGTTTTAAGGGAAACATTTAGAGTATATTGTTGAATTACGGTGAATGATTTTAGATGTTTTCTTCTTTTCTTGTCTCATCTGTCAATTTTGATGTTGCAAATCTTGTTGATTTCAGAGTCATTAGGTGGTGATGGTCAATTATCCAGAACGTTAAAGTTGGAGGACAAAGACAAAGACCAGAAGCGTGAGATGAATGGAGCTAAAGACAAGGAAAGACACCGGGAGAAATACTGGGGAAAATCCATTCAAGAACTTGACTTAAGTAACTGTCAACTTTGTACTCCAAGCTATCGTCTTCTGCCAGAAGATGTATGAAACTTCTATTACATTTTTGTTCTTCTTGTCCTCATCAATATATTTTCTGTTGTGGAACTTCTTACTGTCTTTAAATTTTGCAGTATCCAATTCCTGTGGCCAGTCAGAGATCTGAGCTTGGTGCTCAAGTATTGAACGATCATTGGGTATCTGTGACTTCAGGAAGTGAGGATTACTCTTTCAAACATATGCGCAGGAATCAGTACGAAGAAAGCTTGTTTCGATGTGAGGATGATAGGTATAGCTTGGGCTGGTTATTTAGCATCCCTTTTAGTCTGATGATTTGGTCACTTTTGACTGTTCTATGATTTTAACCCCTTCCTACTGGATCAATGTTTTACCAATGAAAAACATTTAATATGTGGTAAATGGTGATGATTTTTTGATGTAGATTTGAGCTGGACATGTTATTAGAATCTGTTAGCTCAGCTGCCAAATGTGCAGAGGAGTTGTATAATAGCATTAATGAAAATAAGATCAATATGGAGGCTCCAATCTGTATTGAAGATCACTTTAGCGGTCTGTATCAAAATAATCTCAACCTATAATTTGAATTTGAGGATTTTTTTTGTTCTCTATATCAGAGCTTAATTATCTATTATTCTGTCCATGTGGTGTCATATTTCAGCTCTAAATTTAAGGTGCATTGAACGCCTGTATGGAGATCATGGACTTGATGTTCTGGACATATTACGGAAACATCCAACTCATGCACTTCCTGTGGTATTGACTCGTCTGAAGCAGAAACAAGAGGAGTGGAGTAGGTGTCGATCTGATTTCAATAAGGTTTGGGCTGAAATTTATGCTAAAAACCACTACAAATCACTTGATCATCGGAGCTTCTATTTCAAGCAACAAGATTCAAAGAACCTGAGCACTAAATGTAAGTTTATTTTGAAATCACAATGATTAAATTGTGTGCGTGTGGATTTGACTGCTTTGGCTTGTCATGAGCCATGGATGTGCTTCCATAAGAGAGGAAAGTAGACTAATTTAAAAGTACATGGTCAATCAAGAAATTTCACCATTATAGTTCTGAAGCCAACCTCTGGTAGGTGCTAGGATAGTTATAATGACCAATTTTGTGGTGCTGGGTATAATATATTTGCAGCCAGCAATGGCACAAGCATCTGATCTTCAACTGTCCATGCGTCCTATCTGAGTGTTTGTTATAAGTTAGAAATATGTTTACGCAAAAAAAAAAAAAAAAAAAAAAAAAAACTTAATTGCTTTTGCAAGCTGCAACTTTGGCAACTTCTTATGGAAGCTTGAAATGTGAGGAGCATTTTTATCAGGATGCTAGGGACTTTAAATGCCAGAGTGCTCTCTCTAGGAGTTTTCCCTTGTCTCATAGAACACAGCTTACATTATTGCTGGCATGCTTTCTAGGTGTAGGACAAGTTTTTGATTGTTGCTGATTTCAATATATGAGCTTATATTTGATTTATCCCAACCTTTGGTTAGTTTTCAAATCATTGGTAGATTTAAACTCAGTTCTAATTTTTTTCTCTGTAATTAAATATACAGCTTTGGTGGCTGAAATCAAAGAAAAGAAAGCAAAGCAACAGAAAGAGTATGATATTCTTCACGCTATCGCTGCTGGAAATAGACAGCCTCTAATTCCACATCTAGAGTTTGAATATTCGGATGGTGGGATTCATGAGGACCTATATAAACTTATTCGTTATTCATGTGAGGAAGTCTTCTCGAGTAAAGATATGTCAAATAAAATTATGAGACTTTGGACCACCTTTTTGGAGTTGATTCTTGGTGTTCCCTCTCGTACTCATGGGACAGAAAATTTGGAGGACAGGAAAACTGGGCAACGTGTTGCCCATTTTGTTGCATCAAATACAGGAGGTGATGGAAACTCCCACGGAGACTCTATTCCTTCAAGGTTGCCAAAATCTGATAATGAAGTGGATGGTAGAGTAAATGAGGTGAAGAATGGCCAACAGACTAGCTTAGCCAATGACAAAGAAAATGGACCTGTTGACTGTGACCGTGCTTGTAGAGATGATGATAAAGGGAAGAACAATGCAGATTGTAGTGAAAGAGTCTCTGGGTTTAGTAAACAGATTGCCTCTGATGAGCAATCAATTATCAATAATACCTCAAGTGCAGTTAGAGGAGAAACTAGCATGACCAAGACCAGCTTAGAAATTACTTCAGGTATGTAAGCATGATAGTTGCAACATTAATGCTTTGCATGAATTTGGCTGTTTAATTTTGTTCAGTTATTTATCTTCGTTTATGCTGTAATTACTTAATTTTAGTCCTGGAAAAATTCTAAAACTTGTATGACCTTGGAAAAAAAATTCTAAAACTTGTTTTATTTCAAGGCTGTGTGCTTAATCCAGCAAGATCAACTGCTACACTAGGCGGTGATGATGGTGTTGCCATTTCTCAGGGTGGTAATGGACCTTTGATGGAGGTATGAATCCACAGTGGCGGTGATATTCAACTTGTTTTAACTGAAGTACTTGTATCAGCTTTTAGCTGTTCATCTTTCTCTTACTATCCTTTTTTCTTTAAAAAAATAATTACCCTTATTGTTCCTTTCTAAGTTTACGTTGGTGTGCCTTTCTGATTGTCTTGGACTTGGTGCTTCAGGGTCGTGATATTGCTCCTTCACTTCCATTTGCCAATGGAGTGCTAATTGAAAGCACTAAAGTTAAAAGCCATGAAGAAATAGCTGGACCTTACAAAGCTGAAAAGGAGGAGGGTGAATTATCACCCAATGCTGACTCAGAGGAGGATAATTTTGTTGGGTACGGAGACTCTGGTGGGCAGGCACTGCCCAAGTCAAAGCATAATAGTGAAAGAGGAAATTATAAATCTAGAAATGGGGAGGAAGAATGCTGCCCAGAGGCTGGAGGTGATAATGGTGCAGATGCTGATGATGAGGACAGTGATAATGTTTCTGAAGCTGGTGAAGATGCCTCAGGTAGTGAGTCTGCTGGTGATGCATGCTCTCGAGAAGAGCATGAGGAGGATGAAGATATAGAACGTGATGATGTTGAGGGTAAGGCTGAGAGTGAAGGCGAAGCTGAGGGCATATGTGATGCTCAATCTGCTGGAGGAGAGGGCTTATCATTGCCATTATCAGAAAGGTTCCTTTTGTCTGTAAAGCCTCTCACGAAGCGTGTTTCCGCAGTTTCACTTGTTGAGGAAAGAAATAATTCCAGGGTCTTCTATGGAAATGATGATTTTTTTGTTCTTTTTAGGCTTCATCAAGTAAGGATAATGTTATTACTTTAATGTTTGATATATTAATCTCTTCCTTGGTTAATATAGCATTCACTCTTCGGACTTGGCAGATACTTTATGAAAGGATCTCATTAGCGAAAAAATATTCAATGAGTGCTGAAACAAAATGGAAAACAACAAAGGAGGCTTCTTCACCAGATCCTTATTCAAGGTTTCTTTTGAGATTTTATTTTGATTTCATTTTTGGATAAATTCTTAATGCTTTTATGATTAATTGTCTATCTTCTCTCTAGATTTATGAATGCACTTTACAACTTGCTTGATGGCTCTGCTGACAATGTAAAGTTTGAAGACGAATGTCGAGCAATTATTGGAAACCAGTCTTATATATTATTCACACTGGACAAGTTGATATATAAGTTGGTCAGACAGGTACGTTGGTTTCTTTTTCTTATTTCTCCACGTACTCATGACTTGTTTTTCATCTAAATTTTCTTTTTTCATCTAAGTTTTGAAATTCCGAATTTTATTTCTTCTTTTCAGCTTCAAACAGTTGTAACAGATGAGATAGACAATAAACTTCTCCAATTGTATGAGTATGAAAAGTCTCGGAAACCTGGGAAATTAATCGATTCAGTCTATTATGCAAACGCACGTGTCATCCTTCATGATGAGAATATATATCGTTTTGAATGTGTAGGTCTTCTATGACTTTTCCCCCCTCCACTCCCTAGAAATGGGAAAGAGTGAACCTTTACAAATAAAATGTGGGTTATTGACCTTATATATTACGTTGTTACTTACGGATAATATTATTTTCCAATGTTGTCTTATTGCAGTCATGTACTCCCTCTCGAGTGTTTGTTCAGCTGATGGACACTATGAATGAAAAGCCTGAGGTGTTTGCTGTTTCAATCGATCCAAATTTTTCCTTTTATCTGTATAATGATTTTCTGTCTGTCTCTCCTGGAAAAAAAGAACCTCATGGCATTATCCTGCAAAGGTAGGTACATATGCTTCAACTAATATGTTTTATTCACATTTCACTTTAGCTGTTGTTGAGAACTTAGTTTATCATAACATTAGGTGCTTCAAGATACAGCAATAAGCTATCATTAAATCGAGATGAGGGTAACTATGAGTTAACTTTATGTTAACATATTAGTATATTTGTTGGTTGAGTTTATGAGGCCTACCAGTTGTTAATCCTTAATTTGCTCTTTGGGGCACCATTTTCTGTTGTGAATGTTGTTTGCCTACTTTTACTTCTATAAGTTTACCAGCAGTTGCTTTCAATTAGGTGATGCATAATTTGGTGATGTCAATTGTATATGCAGAAACAAGCGCGGATATGGAGATCTAGATGAACTTACATCTATGTGCTTAGCCATGGAAGGTGTTAAAATTATAAATGGATTGGAATGTAAGATAGCTTGCAACTCGTCCAAGGTATGTTGCTTTCCATTTTTGTTGGCTTTTGCTTCTTGAGACTTTCTTTCTTTCATAACAGTTATTCAATTTAACCAACAAAAATCTGCTAGCGTTGAGTCTTAGCAGGACTACACCATTATAGGTTAGAAAACAAGGGAGAACATAGAAAATGAAAACAGAACGTCCGAACCATACTTCACCTTTTGAGAGGCTGGGCTCACTACAAGTTTGGGCAAGACCGTCACTCTTCTCACCTTGCCAAAAGGACCGCAGCCATATTTCCCCATTTACCTTGCTGGTTTGGATTGAATCAGTTAAGCCCGATTCATTCTTTCTACCTTTTCAGTTTTCAGACATAAGTATTAATGAACCCAGACCCCCATCAAGTTTCCAAATTTGTTCAGTCACAGTGCTTCTTTAGTACTATAGCTTCTCATGACTCTGTTTTTGATATGTTCAACTTTCTTGACCATACCTATTAAAGGAAATATAGAAGAATGCTTGATAAGGGTAACACACCTTTTGTTGGTTCAGCAAATTGACTTGTTATTCTTGCCATTTTGGAGCAAGGGACGACAAACTAGGTGGCTATAGGTTGCTGTTAGCTGTTACCTTTTACTTTAGGGTTATTTTGGTGACTGTGTAGTATATTTTTGTATTAGAGACGTTGGGGGTACAGGAGGAGGGCATGGATTATTTTTGAGTTTTGTGAGGTGAGGAGGGGACTGGCCTCTCGAAAGCTAGGATTGTAACCGTGAGTGTGTCCTTATTTGGCTGTTGTATCGCTTCTCTTATCCTAACAGGGAAGCCTATTTTGAGCATTAATCATAGTCCAGGAACATTTCTCAGTTTATTTTACCTTAGTGTGTATTGTTTGGTATCAGAGCCCGGTTGTTCTTGAGGCTTTTTAAGGGAGATGGCAAGCTCAGAAGACTATCTGCATGAACTGAAAGAAGTCACCGGAGGGTTGAATGGGAAGGTGAAAGGGATCGATGAGAGACTGACGAGGGAGATAGGTGGGGTCAGGGAGATGATCAAAGAGCTGCAAGATGTGATGGCTCTAATATTGGAGAACCAGAGACATCCAATGGAGTCTCACACTGAAGAGCCTCGGGAACAGAATAGAGGAGGGCAACGTGAAGGAAACAGAGTTATAGGGAAAGATTCTGGGAAATATCGAAAGCTAGAGTTACCGGTGTTCACCGGGAAGGACCTACTCGGGTGGTTCTTCAGGGTGGAGAGGTATTTTTGCGTCAACTTTGTAGCTGATTCTGAAAGGTTGGAAGCAGCAATGGTGTGTCTTGAGGGAAGAGCATTAAACTAGTACCAATGATTGGAAGCACGAGCCCTAATTAGAAGTTGGTCTGAGTTTAAACGTGAACTCATTCGGCGATTTCACTCAGCACAGATTGGAGATGAATATGAGATGTTGTTTGTGATTAAACAGGAAGGCTTAGTGGCGGACTTGGTCGAAGAATTTGAATGGTTGTTCGTTCCTCTTCAAGATGCATCGGAAGTGTTTGGTTGAAGCCTTTAGAAGTGCACTTAATCCAGAAATCAGGGTCAAGCTTAAGCTAGTGATTGTGTCATCCTTGCAAGAGGTCATGATCACAGTGATACGCATAGAAGAGAAGAACCTGGTGTTGGATCATGCACAGGAAGGCAGAGCACCCAAAACGCAACGTGTGACTTATGGGTTCAAACCGGATTCGACCCAGACCTCTCAAACCTGAGTGACCCATGTTTTTAAACCCAACAGAACCTATTCGGTTCCCTCACTTAGCCCAAGTTATTCGAAGAAAGCTGAAACCAGAGTATCAAGCCCAAGAACAGGGACGTCTTCAATGAACTTGGCAATGACCAGAGCTGGAGGAAGATCTTATCGACTTTCAGATGCAGACATCGCTTGCAGAAGGGAACTCGGTCTATGTTTCAAATGTGAGGACAAATTTGGCCCCAATCATGTCTGCAAAAATAAAGGCCTACAAGTGATGATTTTAGATATGGAAGAGGAAGGAGATATAGAGGGGGCCGAAGCAACTGGGGAAAGGGACGAAGGTCGGGAGAGCGCTGAGGAAGCCATGCGGATGGAATTATCATTAAATTTTATCGTGGGATTTTGGGACACTCATACTATGAAGGTCCGAGGAAAAATTTGCGACCAAGAGACGATATTCTTGATAGATAGCGGCGCAACTCATAATTTTGTAGCTAAGGAATTATAGAAAGAAGGCCTACCAACAGAAGAGACTGCAGAATGTAGCATCACTGTGGGGGACAGATACATGCTAAGACATAACCAACGTTGCAAGGATTTATCGTTTCAAATACAGGGGTATAACACTAGACAAACCTATCCTTTTCCACTAAGTGGGGTTGATGCCGTCCCGGGAATGGAATGGTTAAAATCATTGGGTGAAGTAAAGGTTAATTGGAGTCAGATGACCATGAAGATTAGTAACCAAGGGGAGTGAATTTGCTTGCAAGGGGATCTAACACTGTCAAAAACCCATATTTCACTCAGGTCACTAGTCAGGTCATAGCAAAAAAATGGGGAAGGGTATTTAATTGAATATTGTGGGATCACCATGGAGGAGGAAAATACAGTGGTGTTCGGTCCCGAAATTGAGAAACTACTTGGTGAATATTCGAAGTTTGCAAGGTGCTCGATGGCTTACCACCACCTCGCTCTCATAATCATGCCATAATGACCAAACCTAGGGAGCAACCACCTAACATTAGACCCTATAGGTACCCCCACTTGCAGAAGAATGAGATTGAGAGTATGGTGAGAGAAATATTGAAGAGTGGGATTATTCAACCAAGTAACAGTCCTTATGCTAGCCTGGTTCTGCTAGTCAAAAAGATAGATGGAAGTTGGAAGTTTTGTGTGGATTATCGAGCATTGAACAAGATTATAGTTTTGGATAAGTTTCCTATACTCGCCATCGATAAATTGCTAGACGAATTGAAGGGGGCTACACTGTTTTCTAAACTGGATCTAAAATTTGGGTACCACCAAATTAGAATCAAAGCTGGAGATGAGCATAAAACTACTTGTCGAACACATGAGGGACACTACGAATTTAAGGTAATGCCCTTTGGGCTCACCAATGCACCATCCACTTTTCAGTCATTGATGAATGAGGTATTCTGCCCATACTTGTGTAAATTCGTATAAGTATTCTTTGATGACATACTTATTTACAATAGTGATCTAACCTCTCATTTGAAGCATTTACATGCTGTTCTAACTTGTTTAAAAGAGAACTAGCTGGTGATCAATTTGTAAAAGTGCAGTTTTGCCCAACCCAGAATTGAATATCTTGGTCACATCATCTCTAAAGAAGGGGTTCAGGCAGATCTGGCAAAAGTGGAAAGCATGGTTAAATGGCCTAAGTCCAAGAATGTGAAATCTTTGAGGGGTTTCCTAGGGCTAACCGGGTATTATTGACGATTTGTAAGGAATTATAGCAATATAGCAAGTTCCCTCACTAATTTGTTAAAGAAAGACGCCTTCCAATGGTCTTTAGAAGCTGCAAATGCATTTGAATAGCTCAAGGCCGTAATGACTAGTCTTCCAGTACTGGCTATGCCATACTTTTTCCAACCTTTTGAGTTGGAAACCGATGCTTTGGGGATGGGAGTAGGTGCTGTATTGATGCAAAATGGCAGACCAATGGCATATTTCAGTCAAAAACTCTCTAACCGGGTACAACAAAGTTCGGTATATGAGAGGGAACTCATGGCAATAGTAATAGCAGTCAACAAGTGGCGACATTACTTGTGGGGGCAGAAATTCACCATCCGAACAGATTAAAAAGCTCTAAAATATCTTTTGGAGCAGCGAATAGTTGATGAGAATCAACAGAAATGGGTCTCTAAATTAATGGGCTTCAAGTTTGAGATTGTTTACAAGTCTGGCAAGGAGAATAGGGTTGTAGATGCACTGTCATGACAAGAAGACCAGATGGAGCTGAGGGGTTGTTCTCTATGGCAGCATGATGAAATCGAAGATTGGGAACAGGAAGTTCAATCTGATCCCAAACTCAACCACATTGTACAGCAGCTGATTATTAAACCAGGCAGTGTAGAGGGGTATAGCTTAGAGAAGGGATGCTTACACTACAAAGGCAGACTGGTTTTGTCAAAGAATTCAACAAGAATTTTGACACTACTCAAAGAGTATCATGACTCTCCTATAGGAGGGCATACTGGCTACTTGCGTACATACAAAAGATTGGCAAGTGTGGTATATTGGGAAGGAATGCTCAGTGCCATTTATAAGTATGTTGTACATTGTGATGTGTGTCAAAGAAACAAATACCAAGCGTTATCACCGAATGGCCTATTACAGCTCCTGCCTATTCTCTGTCATATTTGGGAAGATATCAGTATGGACTTCATTACAGGGCTCCCCAAATTCAAGAGGTATGACACCATCCTGCTGATTGTTGATCGATTCACTAAATATGCCCATTTCCTGCCTCTCTCTCATCCCTTCGCAACTGAGGATGTAGCTGAAATATTTGTACGAGAGATTGACAAGTTACATGGTTTTCCAAAGACAATTGTGTCAGATCAAGATCGAATCTTCATTAGCCAGTTTTGGAAAGAATTGTTCAAACAGGCGAGACTAAGTTGTGTTTAAGTTCTTCCTATCATCCAGAGTCTGATAGACAGATGGAAGTCTTAAATAGGGGACTGGAAACATATTTATGTTGTTTTCCTACACAATGGGCAAAATGGCTTTCTTGGGCCGAATATTGGTATAACACTTCACATCATAGTGCTGCCAATATGACGCCTTTTAAAGCTGTCTGTAGGCGCAACCCCCCATACCTTTCTTAAATTACAAGATGAACCATTAGCGATTGAAGAGGTTAATGAGCAAACTAAGCCTGGAACATGATCATTGCTGCACTTAAATAGAATCTGGCTAAGGGACAACAGATAACGAAGAAGAAAGCTGACAAGCACAAAAGAGATATTCAGTTTCAGGTTGGGGAACAAGTTTATGTTAAGATTAAACCATACCGACTGTGCACATTGGCAAGGCGACTCAATGAGAAACTCAGCCCCTGCTACAATGGCCCGTTCTTGATTATTGAGAAGGTTGCCACAGTGGCCTACCGGCTTGACTTACCACCTACCGCACATGTTCATTCGGTGTTCCAAGTTTCTAATTTAAAGCAGGCCATCCCTTAAGCTATGGTGACTCCCCACATCCCTGCTGCACTTTCTGAAAGTCTGGAATTACAAATTCAGCCAGAGGACATACGCAAGCTTCGCAAGCTCTTGAATGGCAGCTGGGAGTGTTGGTAAAGTGGAAAGATATAGCAGAATTTGAGAACTCATGGGAGGCAGCCGACACCATCTCTAAGCAATTCCCTACTTTTCCCCTTGAGGACAAGGTGAAGCCTTTAGGGGCGGGTAATGATACATTCAACTTCGCTGACCATAACTATAAAAAGGAAATATAGAAGAATGCTTGATAAGGGTAACACACTTTTTGCTGGTTCAGCGAGTTGACTTGGTATTCCTGCCACTTTGGAGCAAGGGACGACATCCTAGGTGGCTGTAGGTTGCTGTTAGCTGTTACCTTTTACTTTAGGGTTATTTTGGTGACTGTGTAGTATATTTTTGTATTAGAGACGTTGGGGGTACAGGAGGAGGGCATGGATTATTTTTGAGTGTTGTGAGGTGAGGAGGGGACTGGCCTCTCGAAAGCCAGGATTGTAACCGTGAGTGTGTCCTTATTTTGCTGTTGTATCGCTTCTCTTATTCTAACAGGGAAGCCTATTTTGAACATTAATCACAGTCCAGGAACATTTCTCAGTTTATTTTACCTTAGTGTGTATCAGTTTCACACACATCTTAACTAAGGCCGGGGGCCATACTGCAAAGTATAATGTGAGATTATGTCCATCTAATAATCCCAGTGCTTTGCGAATTGAAATACTGTACAAGTGTCATGCAAGTGTATCTGTTGCAGAACTTGTACTCTCGACACCATTCAGAGCTTGGATTCTGTAATCTGGATGCTGTATTCATGTCATTTCTATGACGCCCTAAGTGCGTTATATTTTTTATTACGTGTTTATGTTAGACTGGTCAGAATGGCGTCTAAAAGCGTTTAGTCCTTTCATGCTTGTAGTATCATTTGTCCCTGTTGAGCTGTGCCAGTTTGTTACTTGTTTTGCTATATATGTTCACTCTTGTGGAAATTTTGAAGTGCTACGGCCTCATCTCCTGGTCTAACAGCTCTTATAAAGCAATTTGTCTAAGATATACGAACTCTCTCTGCTGTTTTGCTTATTTACCAGTCTCATTTGCAGATCTCGTATGTTCTGGACACGGAAGATTTTTTCTACCGCCCCAAAAGGCAAAGAAGAACGTCATCAGGGACCACATCTTCCTGGTCCCGGCATCATCGGGCTAGACAGGAAAGATTTCTCAGATTCTTATCAGTTTCATAATTTTCTGTCCTCATTGTGACTGGAACCCTCAAGGTAACTACAGGGTTTTAGAGCTGATCTCTCACACCTATTTAACGGTTGAAGAGTTTCCTGTAGCACTTACATATGTTTATAGTAGTCTTCGGTGCTGCAAACCTAGGAATTCTTGGTTTAGCGCCTTATATATGTAAGCCCTTAATACTCCTTTATCTTCAGATGAAAGTGGAGAGGAATAGATGGGTCTGTGCGATATGTTAATGAGGTTTAATGGGTGGGAAGTTGACCGACCCTTGTAAATAATCTGCCTCAATATAGTTGTAGAAATTTGTAACAAAATTGATCAGTGTTCATTAGAAGCATGAGTTTCTTCTTCTTATCCATGCTTAGATTTGTATAATTCATGTATTCTTTTTTCAACTTTATGGCCATGGAGAGTAGATGATCATTACTCGGATATCGCCCAGAGTCTTGTACTAAATACGCCAAATCATGTGATGGATTTTACTCAGTTTATGATTCGCGCACAAATCATCACGTGAAAAGTTAGATAATTAATTTGTTATTATTAAAAAAATTAGTTAAATTAATTATTTATAATAATTAGATATTGTTTTTTTTTACACTAGTCATGTTCGTTGAAATTAACTTTTCATGAAAATTCTATAATTATTATAAGGATTATTTGGAGACAAAATTGATAGATATTGTATATAAAAGAGATTAGAGTTTTTTTAATTTATGGTCAAATTGAAACTCATACTCTTATATTGAGGACTGAAAATGGCATGCTTGCTTACCGGATCCTCACGCAAGTGGTGGTCTAGGGGATTTTTTTCTTCTGTTGTTAGTATGACTGCTCTTACTGTTGTTCTGGATAGAATTGAGCTCATATTTGGTTCAACTAATTAATCACCAACTTGCCTCCTTAGATGAGCGGAGCTAACATTTTAATTTTTATATTATTGCTTAGGATTTAAGTTTGGAGACGTCAGCATGAGCTCGTAATGTTTACTCTCTGGTGGTTTGAAATCTGCATTTTAAATTGAATCCCATTTCTATCTCTCCACTAATTCTTTTTGCCAAGTTTTAGCTTGTTGACATCTCTCTTTCCCCGGTTCTTCAGTAGTGGCGGCCTAACTTCACATTTTGATTTCTCCGCCGAATTTGTTGCGCATGGACTACAATTACGTGTCGGTGACTAACAACGTTAGATGCTTCAATGTTTTGGGCCTTTAAGTTTTGACTTCTTATCAGGCTAACCGTTTGGTTAAGGGGCTGTGGAGGAGAGATTCTAATGAGTTTTTCAAAAAAAAAAAAAAAAAAAGGAACAAGTGGAATTATAAATTTTTTAAAAAAATAAGACGTAAGATAGAGGGATGATAAAAAAAAATGAATTAAAAACTTTTAACTCTATTCTCTCTCTCTCTCTCTTAAATTGGACTAATATTTCACCTCCTTTTCTCCATCGAAGTTCTTTCCTTTGCCACACCATATAATTTTTTTTAATTTGTTTGGTATATCTTTCGGGTGAGTATGGACCATGTGGCAATTTTCTGTGAAGCAAAATGTGACACAGACAAATATCCATGCTTAGAGTTTAGTAAAGAGTTGGCAGCGTTGCTCTCTCTCTCTCTCTCTCTCTCTCACGCCGTTAGTGAAGCCAAATTTTGACCAAACGCTTACCTAATATCCCTAACATACAAAAGAATGCCCCACAAGCAGGTATCAGTATCCAATGTGTTAACGGATTGATGAATTTATAATGAAACTACCAGGCTTTATCTGGGGACATGTACCATAAAATATGTCAGCAAATAACCCAATTTGTATTGAATAAATTTCAGCTTGTATAAAATAAAAAAAAAAAAGAAATGTTAAGCACAAAAACTTGCATGGGATGTTGACGACTTTATTAACTTTCCATTAAATCTAGATGGCGTGGTATTTATCATTTTTTAATGAGTCTTTCAAAACATATATTCGTCGTGAAACTTCCCTCGTAAGCAATAAAATGTTTCTGGATCATTGACTTCAGCACCCATTTCTGGCCCCATGAAAATAACCTTCTATCCATTATGGTCTGCTTTTGTATATATAATCCTTTGTGTCCCATGAGAAGAAACCTTCAAATAATTATTATTTGTAATAATGTATATAATTCCACTATGTAGCAAGGAGAGAGAAACAGCTAAACGCAGTGCCTGCGAACCGTGGGCGTCCATAGCCGTTTTTTATTTTATGTTTTCAAGAAGTTTTGTTTCAGTTCAGTTTACAGCTAACCTTTGCATATTGTGGCAGTTTCTGCTAAAGTATTTTATTTGATATTAGATTGATTTATTTCTTAAATACTAATTAAGTTGGTGTGAGAAAATTCTTCAAGATCCAGAAAAATGAAAATAGCAGTCTCAGAATGTCTCACCAACTGCATATACAATTATAGATAATTAAGAGATTCACTTCATTAAAAAAAAATTGAAAAAAACAAGGACATGTTCAAAGTATGTAGCCATCTTAGGAATATTAATATGAGAGTGTAATAAAAAAGTATTCAAAGCACGTGGTCAGACTCGGATGTCTGTCTTCCTTGACCTTCCATTTCCATGTATGAACATTACAAAGAAAACCGAAAGTGACCTCCGTTAAGCGAACCGAGGCGAAACGTCCATTTAGAATAATTCAAAACGCAGAAACTCAGAAGCCCATGCGAAGGTTCTCAGAGCGGGAGCTACCTCTCTGTCGTGTCACCGCCGCGTTTTCTTTTCCTGTATCACATTTATATTCAACAACGCGTCTTGGGCTTTCCATTTCCTTCATCTTTCCAAAATCTCTGATCTTTCTTCATTGTTCTACACTTTCTTCTTCAAATCTTCAATCACCCTCCTCTGGTCTGCACAGAAAGCTAGTCATGTTTCTTTCTAGACAAGTTCTTTTGGTGCTCCTTTCGGTTTGCCTGCTTCTCTTTCCAATCAATGCAGTTCGATCTTTACCCAACAAAATTTTACAGAGTCGGTATGGAAAACAGGTTGAAGATGAATCGGTTGTGCAATTTTCAGAGGCCCCGGAATACAGAAACCAGCATAAGTGCCCTGTAATTGACAGAAACAATTTGGAAGTGGCATGTGACTTATCATTGGTTCACATTGCCGTGACAATTGATTGGGACTACTTAAGAGGATCAGTTGCCGCAGTCCACTCTGTTCTCAGACATACTTCTTGCCCAGAAAATGTGTTCTTTCATTTCATTGCCTCAGATTCAAGGTCAAAGAACAAGGATGACTTTGAAGGAATAGTTCAGTCCACCTTCCCTGCTCTGAGATTCAAAGTCTACGTGTTCAGAGAAAGTCTCATTAAGGATCTTATATCTCCGACAATACGCCAAGCTCTGGAGAATCCGTTGAATTATGCTCGAAGTTACCTGGCTGAGTTGCTTGATCCCTGCGTTGAACGAGTGATCTATTTGGATTCTGATGTTATTGTTGTTGATGACGTCCAAAAGCTATGGAAGATTTCAATAAGTGGATCAAAAGTCATTGGGGCTCCAGAGTATTGTCACGTGAATTTCACCAGATATTTTAAAAATGAATTTTGGTCCAGTCCCGAGTTCTCAGACGTATTTGCAAAAAGAAGGCCTTGCTATTTCAACACAGGGGTGATGCTAATGGACTTAGCAAAATGGAGAAAGGGAGGCTACACAAAGAAGATTGAGAAGTGGATGGAGATTCAGAAGGAGAGAAGGATGTATGAGTTGGGATCTCTTCCTCCATTTTTGCTGGTTTTTGGTGGAGAAATAGAGGCCATAGAGCATAGATGGAACCAGCATGGGCTTGGAGGAGATAATGTGGTGAGTAGTTGCAGGAGGTTGCATCCTGGTCCAGTTAGTTTGCTCCATTGGAGTGGTAAAGGGAAGCCATGGTCAAGACTTGATGCCAGGAAGCCATGTCCTGTTGACTTTTTGTGGGCACCTTATGATCTCTACAAATCCCATACTCACCCACTTCTGTGACAACCGAAACATCAGTCTGGGACTAATTTTTGTTTTTGTTTGTGATTCATTTATAAATCGCCAAGATTCTTTCATTTGTATATACAGAGAGAGAGGAACATGAAAAGAACGGTATATTATGTATTTTATACTGTTTTTTATGCACCTAGCGGTGTGGCAATTCAGAGAATCACGTGACTCTGTGCTGGATGAATCCTGCATAAACGCGTTATGCACAGAATTTCACTTCACAACTGCGGGAAAAAAATGTTTCAGAAATTTTTTAGTTCACGGGTTCGGTTCTTTTGTTCTAGCACACCTTCTTAAGTACCTCTAGCACGTATTATACAGCCACTTGAAGAGAAATTCGATAGCGTAGAATCCATCAAAGAAACTTGCGTGTCACTAACTTGTCTTACCATAAGTCTTTCAAAGTCCACCAAGTTCGTTGATTATGCTTGGATCACACAAAGTTTCTGAAAGAAAAATTAATTTATTTAACAGATATTTGATTGAAACAAATTCATGCTATCTGATCTTTCAATTAAGAGCCGAAATGAACCATTATGATGGGCGCTTCATTTTTTTCACAAACATTTTTTTTGAGGAATATATATAAATATCTCTTTCTTTTAACGTAAGTTATATCATTGACAAAAATGATTCATAATAAAAAAAATTTAGATATAAATATATAAATTTATTTAAATATCTACCAAATAAAGTAGACATGAAGATAAATTATGCGCATGATTACTTTTAAGATTACGACAAAGATTATATGATCATTGTTGAAATAAGCTACTGAAAGTTTGTTTGGAATGGCTTATAAATAACTTTTCAAAAGTGATTTACAAAATATAAAGTAAGTATATAAAAAGAATTTTATCTTCATTCGTGTCAAAATGCTAAAAGGCACTTTTGCAACGTCCATCCAAACAAGTCCTGAGATCGTAAACAGCGACCAAGAGAAAAACCAGTCACCTACCCATCAAACGGGACAGGGTCCATGATATGTGTCTGGGAATGCTGAATGAATGCCATTTTGGTAGATATAATACTCTACAAAACAATCAGTTCTAGCATTAAACGGGCTGGGCCGTGGGCAAGCTAAATGGAGGCGTATATTTGAGGCATTATTTTTGAATTACCACCCATTCACAATATTCGTTAAGAATCTACACGGTGGCGTGCTTCTTAAAATGAATCAAGATGAAGATGCACAAAGAAGAATATTAAAGATATTATAGAAAATCTGGGAGGAGAAAAATTTGGGGCGGGGGAAGAATATACATGCCTTCCTCCTTTCGCTCTACAACAGTCCTACTGCACAGCTTAGATACAACCTGTTCTCCAAACCCCTCAAGTGATGACCCAATAGCATACACCTGCGAGTGGGAGAAAAAGGAAAAACTAAGAATATTATCTCAGGCATGCCAAAAACAAAGGAGAGATTAGATTAGGAAGGGAAAGAAAGGGACTTAATGAGTGCAACAATGTGTTACTTATAGATATTTATGGCCAGATTTACACATGATTGATTTGCGGATATGACTCAAACTAGACAACTTCTTGAAGCTGTACTGACCAGAAAAGCAACTTGGCAAGGTAATCGCGAGAGGTGCCCGCAGCATCACATAACCTTTTATCATCATTTGAATGATCGTCTATATTTCTTTCCATTGACAATTCCACCGACTTGGAGTTAGCACCATCCCCAATGACTCTCCTCAATATGTTTTGAACAAGTTGGCGAATTATGTCCTCCACTCCTATTGACGGTCGAGCCAGTTCAGTCACCTGTTATAGACAAATTACACGTCAATGACTTACAAAGTATAGTGAAGCTCCAGGACGTACGCGAATCATGGAACAGAAAAGAACATAGATTGAAAGGAAAAAATCTCGAGTCGTTACCATATCAGGGTCCAGGGACCTAAGATATTCCAACAAATTGTTCCTGTTCCCTCTGTCATGTTCTATTTGCATGATTTCCTGTTTCTGGGCATCTAGTTCCTGAAGGAAAAGCAACATTCTGATATCACCTTGCAATATATAACTCAATCTTCTCCCCTCTAAATGGCATGTAAACTGAACAAACTGTATCTTTCAAGGAACAGGAAGCGAAACCAAAGTTAATCTTGAATCAACAGGGTGAATGTTTGTCTACTTTGAGCAAGGGATCATTGATATCCCAAGTTTTTCAAGAAATCCAATCGCAAAGGCTATAAAGCCAATGCCAAGCACATTAACCATTATAGATTGCATATATAGTGATATAGATATAAGTTTTTAGTGAGGTGCTTCCCACAACTTTTGAAGTGATTTGCACTGGGAAGTCAGAACAAACAACAGTCAGGAATAGAAATAATATATTTATCAAAATCAGACAATTCAAAAACTGATAACGCATTGGACAAGTAAGATTATCCACCGAAAAAACTAACTGATATAAGAAGCTTATGTAGCTTCTGAATTGTCAGAAGCCACTATAATGAAGTTTTAAGAAGGCTAAATAAGCTTCTTCTTTTTTCATTGTTGAGGAGACAAACTTTGTATTCGTTGTTGTGCTTGATAATTTTTGAGGCTGTGAAAGCAAACCTTATTATCTAACCTTTCAAACACCCCCCCGATATTCTAAGTTACCAATCTTGGCCAACAGGGGGGAAAACAAGAAGATTTTCGATTGAACAACAACAAACAGTAAAGGAGATTAATGCTATGAACATTGCCACGGATCTAGCTATAACTCTATCGGATAGAAAAGTAGACTAATAAGGAGTCAAAGGATTACCTCCCTCACGTATGTTAATTCAGACTGCAACTGCTGAATGTAATTCAGAGCCTCGGGAGACAAGTCCTCAAGCACGCGAGGACTGCAACTTTCCAAATCTTCGAATCTCACGTCAGAACTGATCTCAATATTCTTATCTTTACCATTCAGATCCTCCGAAGCCTCTGTCTGCGTTGGACAATTCGATTCTTTATTGACACTAGGAGATATATCAAGATTTCTCATCAAGGACATCCTATACTCTGCACTCCACAGAGTGTACCTAAACAACGAAGCAAACAGTTCACCAAAAATATCGAACCTCCAAAGATAATTAAAAAAGAAAACGTAATTCAAAAGAAATCACTACCCAGTGACAATGGATGAGAACAGAAGGCGATTCAGAGGATGCTTGGAAACCGTAACGGTAACGGAGAATTGATCGGAGGGCAACAATCCTAACATCGTGGAAATGGTCTGCTTCATGGAATCCTTGGCTAAATCGGAAACACCCTTGGAGATGACAGTCGCGTCGAGAGGCTCAATTCGCTTGAGCATGTTGGCTATTACAGCGAAGCCACGGTCGAAGGTTGATTTCGGGGTCGAAACAAATTCGTCGGACACTCCTCCGCCGTCAACGCCAGGGATGAGGCAGGAGAGGGATGTAGTGGGTGAGGAGGAACGACGAGGTGTGGCAACTGAAGATAACGAAGAAGGAGGGGTGAGGAAGCGGAAAGGAGGGATTTTGGGATGATGGAGTGAGAAGTCAGCGATGCGAGAGAGGAAGAATGATGGGGCTGAGACCGCCATGAAAGAATTGAGCTGACAAACGAAGCAGGCGCGCGCGCGATGTCTATCCCATCCTACTCGAATGATCTTTACCCACCAATGTTTAGTTCCACTATGAATCTCCCGGGTGTGTGTTTGTTAAGGATGCCCCCTTAAACTTTTGTGCTGATTGCACATTGCATATTCCCCACAAAAACACATTCACCGTCCACAAATAATAACCCCCCCCCCCCCAAAAAAGCTAATTTATTTTTACAAATTAAAAAATTCATTAAGTTTTTTTTATTTTTTAAAAATAATTTTTAAAATTTTTTACATCAGAAATTAACCTATTAATTTCATAAAATTATTTGAACCAAAACAGACCCTTTAACCGACCTGGGCATTTAAGTCATGAGTTGAACATGAAGACCCCCCCCCCCCAAAAAAAATGCTGAATCATACCATAAGTATTTATTTTATGTTCCATCTTTTGATAAGAAGCGCGTAATAGTGCGCACCAGTGGTAGGACCCTTGGCATTTCATATGCACCGTTAACACTCAACTTCAACAGTGTGTGGACCATCCCACCTCAAATTGCAGCCTTCCATGGCACTTCCACACCGCAAATGACCTCATTGTTGCCTCTCTATTTCCAAAACTCACATCATTTCATAATCTCTTTTTGCCAGCTGCTACAAGAAGCTGCCCCTCTATTACGTTCACAAGTACTCATCTTGTTTTGTTTTCTTCCTTCTGATGTAAGTAACTTTAGGTCTGTTTCGTTTGTCTCCCCTTCAACTAGATGAGTTTTTGTTTCAGTTTCAAACATTTGCTCCTAGCTGCTTGGTTCACATTATCCCCTAGACCGTGAAATATATAAGAATTAATGTGTAGTATAACTGTTATGAGCTGACATCTTTCTAAGACTGCCACTTATAAACCACAAGAGTGGTTTGCTGCTGTGAATTATAGAATTTTCTTGCACCTATGAAAAAGGTTTGTCTGGTCCTCTGCTTCTGCTGCATCGCGTTCGGCTTCCCATGCAAGCTTGTGTTGTTGAATCCATCAGAAATAACTGTCACGGGTAGGATTTGCATTGTCAAAAACAATTTTACTCAGCAAATATCGCATGTGCTATAAAAGTGCAGTGTGAAATGTATGGTTTATAGCAGTACTAGTCTGTCACTTGCCTTGTCGCACAAGGTCAGTTGGTCGCTGGGCCCTAAGGTTCGTTGATGGATAACTCGTTCATTACTCGTTAAGTATATAGAGTTTTAAATTCATGTTCAAACATGCAAGCACCGGGAATTTCTTTTGCAATGATTGCAATATTATTTTCTAATGAATACAGGGTGTTCATTTAATTTAAGAATTAAATTATCGAAAAATTGTTACCCAAATGAAAATTTTTTATTTTGGCCAACAGCCAACTAAAAAAGTGAGCTTTCTTATTCTCTCAAAAATTAAGAATTTATTACCTGGGGTTTTTAAGTCTATTTTTAGGATTATATTCAACAAAGGGCTGCGTAGATAATGAAGGCTGCTAAATTATTGTCCTCTTCAACCAATGAACTGGTTTATGAACTGAAAAAATTACAGTGGGCTTGACAAAATTACCAAGCTAGCAAGAGCTTGATTCAATTGGCAGGAGTTGCATTAATTTAATTATATATCTCAAGTTCAAGTCCTAAAAATACAATCCTACTAAATTCTTGAGGGAAGAGATTTGTCACCCTTTAATAGTCTAGATGGATTGGTCTGGATGGTCTAGCTTCCAAGAAAAGAAATTTACCTAGTTACCAGTCACAGGTACCCCACACTGGTGGGCGTGGGAGGATTTGCTGTCGGGAGCGGGATGGTCTATTTCGGACCCACAAGTTACCCTCCTCCTAATTGATCAAGACGGACCAATTTTCTCCGCAAAGACTTCGAATCAAAGACTTAACTTGGTCTTGTTCCTGGCCGTAGATAAGTGGGGATTTTCGTCTTCACCTAGACTTTGCTACATCGAGCCCATCTCAGGATTTATGCTATGAAATTCTAATGAACACTGCGAGTTAGAGGGAGCTGTTTGAACCTCCATCGCAATTTGTAGGAGAAAGATATGGCGTTTTCGTCCTACATTAGCAGAACCAGGCGTGGAGGCTGGGCGCAATCAATCCTTCCATCTTCAAACTCCAAATCTAAGTTCCCCCGAAAATCTCGCAGGAGAACCGCTCTCAAAGAATTTCTCTTTGCGAATTTCTTTGCAGTCGGCCTTTCCTTGTCGTTCTTCGTTTTCCTTGTCATCCTCCTTCGCTGGGAGGTCCCTAAGCCCATCACTTCTCACTTCAATTCCCGTGCAGTTCGCCGTCGGAAGCCCATCTTGACCGAGCATGGGAATTACTCTCTTTTAGCTGCTGACGTCGATATCACGACGAAGGACTTGTATGATAAGATTGAGTTTTTGGATGTGGACGGCGGGGCGTGGAAGCAAGGTTGGAGTGTGACTTATAAAGGGAACGAGTGGGATTCTGAGAAATTGAAGGTTTTTGTGGTGCCTCACTCACACAATGATCCCGGTTGGAAGCTTACAGTGGAGGAGTACTATGATCGGCAGTCTCGCCATATACTTGATACCATTGTTGAAACACTTTCTAAGGTGAAGCTCATTTCTTCATGTTACTCTCATATTAGTTTGTCTGGAGAACATTGGCTGCTCGTAATTTTTCTCGTCACATTGTTATAATTTTTGTTGATGGCTAATATGACGAATGCGCGGGCGCGGGGGTTTGTGAATAATTGCAATTGAAGCTGGTGCATGTTTTCTAGATTAATTTGGTCAACTTGCTATTTTACTGCCGCAACATGATCTAGGTGTTCTGTTTCTGATAAGAAAAGTTGTACGAGTTTAATGGACTAGATATATAGACCGTCGATCCATTTTTTCTTCTTAATTTTTAAGTGTTCTGATATTAAATGAGACCCACAAAAAGAACTTTGAAAGGAGCAAACGTTTTGACTTTAATCCAGTTTATTTGGGACAATTTGATAAATAAGTTAGGTTTGTAGTATTTAATGGGTTATTGGGCTCGGATATGCAGGATTCTCGTCGCAAGTTCATATGGGAAGAGATGTCTTACTTACAGAGATGGTGGAGGGATGCCACAAATACAAAGAAGGAATCATTCATCAATTTAGTAAAAAGTGGGCAGCTAGAAATTGTTGGTGGTGGCTGGGTGATGAATGATGAGGTAATATTGGTCACTTGGTGTTGTACCTCCTAGTCTCTTATCTTTGTTTACAGAATTTCCTGTATGACTGCTTTAGCATCAGATACATTTTTATGCTTGTTTGAGTTTGATGGCTACTCAAGTGGGATGGGAATTCTTCTCCAAAAGCTAGCCATGGAGGTAATTCTCCATCAATTAGCCACCTTGAAGAGCCGACATTGCATCCTATAACACTTTGCTCAAGTAGTCAAGTGGGATGGGAAACTCTCCAAAGGCTAGTTAGTGAGCTGGAAGACGCCATTGAGCATCTCATACTACCTAGGCCTTTATTAGAGTAATCTGAAGTTTTTACTTAAATTGGTGCAATGGAATAAGTTGATTATTTACTTAATATCAAACTTGTTTTGTTGCGTCAGGTTCATGAATTTAAGGCAGTTAAATGTGCACATATTTTTCTTCTTGCTTATGAAGTGCATCATTGAGAAATGTGTCTGCGGAACAGTAATGTCAGAGTATGGACCTCATTAAAGGGAAAAAAAGAGAAAGGAAAGAAAGAAACGGGCCAATACTGCTCGTAACAGTCTATTTGTGTAAATTTGGCTTACTTATAAATTTTCTCTACTTTATGCAGGCCAATTCGCATTATTTTGCAATAATTGAACAGGTAAATGTTTAAGCTTTCTCCATTCTTAGATTTGCATACAGTCCTTTGCTTTTGTTTAGCTACATATTTTTGGTTAATTGTTGTTTAATCTGCGAGGACAGTTTAATTATGTTGACTTTACCCTGTAGAAGTGATTTGGTATACTGAACTATATTTTGTTTGCGTGGTAACTTAGGAAGAATTTATCATTTATCCCTCGGTATACTGAGAGAAATAGTCTTTACTGACTATGAAACATAATCTCCAATGCATAACAAGGAAATTTCTAATATTAGAACAATTTCCTTTGAGCCTGAAAAATGGAACAAGTTTAAATCTATGCAAAATTTTAGAGTGTGTTTTTTAAATTTTAGTGGTATGTGTGTCTAATTGGGAAAGCCACGTGAGAAATTAAAACACCTGAACGATGCAAGACTATTTATTTGGACATAGACGATGATGATTTGTCAAATCGGATCAATGAGCTGAATTTAAATAAGAGGGCAGATTCAGGAGAAGATTAGATCAGTGAATCAATGGGCGTGAAACACTTTCTAAGGTGAAGCTCATTTCTTAATGTTACTCTGATGTTAGTTTTGTTCATTGCAGTTATTATTCAGGGAAATCTTTTCACATTCACAAATATCTTGCTTATATAGTATATGATACTGCAGTTGTGTTGTGTAATTTAGTTTGCCATTCAAAATAGTATTTTGCACGTGTTGTTGGTGCAAGTGGCAACGCCAATTGATGTTATTTATTTTCATCCTTTCATATTGACAATTTAAAGAGCATAAACTCTACTTATCACATCCCAAGTTTCTAACTCAAACATTGATAGAGCTTCTTTCTTTCTCTGTGTATGCTTTTGTATGTATCTGTTGAAAGAGAAGCTTCCTTTCTTATGTTAATTTTTGAAAATTCATTTATCAGATGACCGAAGGAAATGTTTGGTTGAATGACATCATTGGGTTTGTTCCTAAAAATTCATGGGCCATAGATCCATTTGGTTACTCACCTACCATGGCATATCTTTTGCGCCGTATGGGCTTTGATAACATGCTTATCCAGAGGACCCATTATGAGCTGAAGAAGGAACTTGCATGGCATAAGAATTTAGAATACATATGGCGTCAGAGCTGGGATGCTGCAGAAACTACTGATATATTTGTTCATATGATGCCCTTCTATTCATATGATATACCACATACTTGTGGCCCAGAGCCTGCTATCTGCTGCCGGTTTGATTTTGCCCGCATGCAGGGTTCTGTTTATGAACTATGCCCATGGGGACAACATCCTGAGGACATCAATCAAGAAAATGTGCAAGAACTGGCACTCAAATTACTGGATCAGTACAAGAAGAAGTCTACTTTGTACCGAACAAATACACTCCTCATTCCTCTTGGTGATGATTTTCGCTATGTTAGCATCAATGAAGCAGAAGCCCAGTTCAAAAATTACCAATTGTTATTTGATTATATCAATTCAAACCCCAGTTTGAATGCAGAGGCTAAGTTTGGTACTTTGGAAGACTACTTTCAAACCCTTCGTGAGGAAGCCGACCGAATAAATTATTCATATCCTGGTGAAATAGGATCTGGTGTTGTAGGAGGTTTTCCTTCTCTGTCAGGTGACTTCTTTACTTATGCTGATCGGGAACGTGACTACTGGAGTGGCTATTATGTTTCACGGCCCTTTTTCAAGGCTGTTGACAGGGTACTAGAGCAGACACTTCGTGCCACAGAAATGATGATGGCTCTAATACTTGGGTTTTGTCGGAGGTCACAATGTGAGAAGTTCACAGTGGGTTTTTCCCATAAGCTGACTGCTGCTAGAAGGAATTTGGCCCTTTTTCAGCATCATGATGGGGTAACTGGTACTGCAAAAGATCATGTGGTTATGGACTATGGAACTCGGATGCATATTTCTTTGCAGGACTTGCAGATTTATATGTCCAAAGCAATTGAAGCACTCCTTGGAATGCGGTTTGAGAAACTAGATCAAAGTCCTTCCCACTTCGAGCCATCACTGATGAGATCAAAATATGATGCTCAGCCCGTGCATAAAGTAATCAGCATTCAAAAGGGGACTTATCAATCAGTGGTCTTTTTTAATCCTTTAGAGCAAACCAGAAAAGAAGTTGTTGTGGTTGTTGTTGATAATCCTGACATTTCCGTAGTTGACTCCAACTGGAAATGTGTTCAAAGCCAAATTTCTCCTGAATTGCAGCATCAGAAACGCGAGCTCTTTACTGGGAGGCATCGAGTGCACTGGGTGGTTTCTGTTCCTGCAATGGGGTTGCAGACGTATTATATTGCTAATGGTCTTGCTGATTGTGAAAAGGCCAGGCCTGCAAAGTTGAAGTTTTCCTCCAAATCCACTCTGCTTCGTTGTCCACCTCCATATTCTTGCGAGAAACTAGAAGCCAGTGTGGCTGAAATTGAGAATCAGCATAAAAAACTAAGTTTTGATGTAAGATATGGTTTGTTACAGAAGATAACCTTGAAAAATAGACTCCCAAATATTGTGAGTGAGGAAATCGGTATGTATCATAGTTCAGGTAGTGGAGCATACTTATTCAAGCCCAATGGTGATGCTCAGTCTATTATTGAAGAAGGGGGGCAGTTGTTGATCTCAGAGGGCCTCTTGATGCAGGAAGTGTACTCTTATCCAGGGACAGCATGGGAGAATGCCCCCATCTCTCATAGCACCCGTATATACAATGGTGAGAACACTATCCAGGAATTTGTCGTGGAAAAGGAATACCACGTTGAGCTTCTTGGTCATGATTTCAATGACAGGGAATTAATAGTAAGATATAAAACAGATACTGATAACAAAAGGATCTTCTATTCTGATGTGAATGGGTTTCAGATGATCCGAAGAGAAACTTATGATAAGATTCCTCTTCAAGGCAATTACTACCCTATGCCTTCTCTTGCCTTTATACAAGGATCCAATGGTCAGCGCTTTTCTGTCCATTCTCGGCAATCATTGGGTGTGGCTAGCCTTAAAGATGGGCATCTAGAAATTATGCTTGACCGTCGTTTGGTAAGAGATGACGGACGAGGTCTGGGCCAAGGAGTGATGGATAATCGTGTAATGAATGTTGTCTTCCATATCACTCTGGAGACCAATGTTTCCTCTCTTTCAAATTTGGTTCCCAGCTCTTTACCATTTAGTCCATCTCTCTTCTCCCACAACGTAGGTGCTCACTTGAACTATCCATTACATGCATTTATTGCCAAGAAGCCACAGGAATTATCAGTGAAGCCACCGCCCAGATCCTTCTCTCCTTTAGCTGCTCCGCTTCCTTGCGACTTGCATATTGTGAACTTTAAGGTGCCCAGGCCTTCAAAATTTTTTCAGGAACCACCTGAAAATCTTAGATTTGCTTTAATTGTGCACAGGCGACATTGGGATTCTTCTTACTGTCGGAAGGGGAGATCACAATGCACCAAGCTGGCTGACGAGCCCCTAAATCTGTTCTCCATGTTCAAGGATGTTGCAGTATCGAAAGTTAAAGCAGCATCTTTAAATCTTTTGCATGAAGACCCAGAAATACTGGGATTAACAAAGACATTTGGTGATCTTGCACAAGAAGGGCACGTTGCCATATCTCCTATGGAAATTCAGGCCTACAAGTTGGAGTTGCAGCCCCCACATTGAAATACTCGTCACTTAATTATTTCTGCTGATTTAAACTGGGCTGATTGCAGACAAATGAATTTTACTCGCTTCTGTTATAGAGGCGAACTATTCTTGGATTACTTCCTCGTTTAGGTATGGAGTTTAAGGTTGTTCGGGGAAGACAACTTGGAGAAAGAAATGCCTATACTCGGTGATCGTGAGAGCAGTCCCCCCGGTCAACGAAGGGTAACACCATAGACGCATATTACTGCCATGTAAAACTTGGATGAGCTTTTCGGCATCAGCGGCTTAATTGTTCAATTAGTGAATACTGTGGATCTGTTTCCATCTTACTCAATTTAAAGAGTAGAATACATGATAAATTTTGGTTTGTTCGCAAATACGTGAAGGGATCCGTAAACACGCAAATGAGATATGGAACCGTGTATAGTTTTGTTACTTTTGAAGTCGTGTATGACCAGTTTTTTTTTAAAAAAAAATTATTTTATTTGTCTAAGCAATAGTTGGTAAGTGACAAAATTATCACATCTTGATAATAATAATAATAATGTCCTCAAAAACCAAAATTGAGTAAAAAAAAGTGTTTTAGTGTGTTCTTCATCCTCCAATAATAATATCAACCCATCTCAGTTTTTTTAAGATTAGGAAAATCTTTTGATTTTAGAGACATCTGATGAAATTGTAGTCAAGTAAGATTTCATAGTTGGTAAAACTTCTTTTGATTCATCTTAGGTAAATATTGTTTTTGCTTAGCTTTTGTACATATCTTGTGCTGGTTTTTATAAAGTAGCATTAACTCGTATGGTAAAATAAAGTTTCATTATGATTTACATAACTCTATTGTTTACCAAAGATAATAAGGTTAATCAGTAAGAGTTAGTTTAATTGGTAAGGAATGAGCTTATAACCTGATTCAATTAATAAGAAATGAGTTCATAATCTACAAGGTGTTAGTGAGTGATCTGTAAGTATCTTTGTAGGAACTCTCTAAGTTTGAAAACATATCTTAACCCTAGTGAACCAACTCACCAAAACTTTTCTTGACCAGAAAAAAAAAAAAAAAGATGACGTGGAAGATGTAAACCAGAAAGCGACTGATTCAGAGATCTCTCAATTACGGAGAGGGTGAAAGTTAGGTCCTGATCATACATCAGATAGGATGGGCATATAATTTCTGCCTGGGTAGATGATAAAATCAGAAAATTCAATTTATATGTGAAATTCAAGTACGTATATGAAAGCCAACAATTCCGGGCATTAGCTGTACAAGGTGGTCTGAAAAAAGAAGGGAAAAAAGGCATACGACCCTTTTTTTTTTTTTTCTGTTTTTCGTAAAAGGCCAGGAAGGCATACTGCGTTCTTGCTGTACCTAAACTTCAATATTTCATTCATGTGGGAAGAAGAAAAGAAAAGAAAAATTAGAGATAAAAAAAGGGCAAAGAAAATATGAAAACCCTTTTGAAGACCCCTTCTCTTTTCTCAGAGTTCCCAGTAAAACTTTCTCTTCCCAGTATTATAAGATGATTTCCTCTTGTACACTGACATTCAGAGTCTTATTGGGAAGAACAATGCTATTGGTCACAACAACCTGATCCTCGACTGTTACAGCTTCTCCTGTAAGAGGAGGAAAAAGGGAATGAATGCCAGTGCTGAGAATTGATTTAGGATGTAAGATTTAGATAACCAATACTCGAAAATACTTCAAGGGAGACCAAGTAGAGGTTTGTATACCGAGGATGGTAATTCCAAGCTTGGCATTGTAGTCTCCTTCAGCCTGCACCATTAACTATTGGTTAGCCACAGTAGGCACGTTGAATACAGCCCACAAACAGTCAAAAAGTTTTGCCAATTAGAGTTGCAAGCCTCCAGGACTTAAATATCTGCTCTGATGATGCATAATTCTCTATTTACTCACAATCATTCTTTAGGTTTTTGCTTCATCTTGGAACTCAAACATTATTACTTTTTTTTGGTACAAGTCAAACGTTATTACTAGTTATGAATATCACGGACTGAACTTGCCTGCACCCGTGACCATCTTCCAATTGACGATTTCCATCCAATGATAGAATTTATGACCACAGCATTTTCCTGTGAGGAGGAACAACGGATTACTTGCAAATTAAAAATTACCCACTAAACACATCTAGTTCTTGCTGTCAGCAAAGAATAAAATTGGTATTTTAGAAAGGAAAAGTCACACTAAACACATCCAGTTCCTTACCTTGATTTCAACGTCATCTGAGATAATACAACTTATCAGCCTAACACCAGCCCCCACGCGAACATTTGCTGAAACAGAAACATTGGGACCAACCTGCTCAACAAAGAAAAGAAGAAATTTATTTTAAATTTCCCAGCAGATACTCGGGTCACAAAGAACAAGTGAACTTTGGTGTTTTATTTTAAATGAGCAGCCGATGAATCTATAAATGCTATAGCCAATATATCATTTGATGGAACACAAATGATTCTTGCAACTCATACAACAGCGCCTTTAGCATCAGATCAAAATAACTTCTCTTTTTTTTACCCAAAAGAAGAGCTTTTACAACAAAACGGCTTTTAAAAGTCTGTAATCGGAGCCTTAACATAGTCTCCGAGGGTTTTAACACTACACAGTCATCAAATTAACAGATAAGACTTCAACTTCAATACAACAGCTTTTTATTTGCTTCTGTAAAAAGGGAAGTTATATCCTCTATAGACACAAATGGAACTACCTTTGCAGTTGGATGTACTTTCGCAGATGGATGAATATATACATCACCAACAATTGTAGCACTTTTTTTACCATATCCACTGGCCAGAAGATTGGGTGAAGTAAAGCGGAATTGAGCAAGATACAACTCTGAGCATTTTAGAGACATTCTGTTCATGTCAAGTAGATTCAATTAGGTGGAGCCCGATCATGGTCCTAGGTTAAAGCTCAAGCAATACAAGGCAATCCTACCCTGGAGTTTTAATTTGCTCCCAAAATTCCATTGTCTGATATGTATACAATTGTTTCTTTCCAGCCAGAGGCGACAAAATATCTTGATCCAGTCTTACAAAATCTGTAGGAAGAGTCCTGCAGAACAATTATGCACCTTTGAGCTTGATGAAAGTGCAGATTTGAAAAGGAAAAGGCAAAGGATGGATGCGGTGGAAAGATGTGAAAGAGATATCTTAATATTTGTTAAATAATTGAGAATTAGAAGGATGAAAAAGCAACAGAGATAAGATATTCTGTATGACAAATAAAAGAATTGCTACCATAGCTTATAGAGAAAATTCAGGCAGTCATGGGTAGAGACTATCACACATGTGACCCAAATCTGAGCAATTAGGGAGTTAGGATACATGTGTAAGCTGTTAAAAAATGGCCTTTGTTTTGCTTTAAGAAAATAAAGTTAACGGTGTTAGGCCAACCTGGTGGGAAATTGGAGCGCTTCAAAGCTGGAGACTCGACGTAAATTAGCTGCAATCAACAAAATTAAGTTGGTTTCCAACAGTGAAAGCTTTTTTTTTTTCCCAATAAAAGGAACTCACTCTGAGATCAGACCAACGTTAAGTCCACATTGCAATTAATTTTAACTTCAACTAAAATCTTCATTCAACTGATAGCCTAAACAGGGAAAATAGTCTGTTGTCTTATGGCATCGTCCCAATATTTGATGTTCATTCATCCCTTAATTGGTGAGGGTTTTCAAGAAATGAGAAGCTGACCCCATATTATAATTTATCTTTGCTCAAGAAATGTAATAAAAAACAGAAGCTCAGAATCTGAAAGGTAAATTGTCCGTCTTCACCAAAAAATTAGCTTGACATCAAATATGTTTCCTCTGAGAGAAAGTAAGAGAGAGCTACAGAAACAAAGAAGAAAGTCTACTATTTTACGTGATAACTATCTCTTATCAATCATCATGTAATTGAAGGCAATGACCAAAATATGTTCGTGGAATTACGGATTATCATGCATACGCTCTTGATTTCAAGTACGTTAAAATACAAATAATGATCCAATCTAGTGTATTTACAAACAATATCATGGAACACAAAACCTTTTATTCTCTAGGCTAGTAAAATTATGATAAGCTAGACCAACCTCTGTCTTCACGATTAGTGGATACATTTTGTATGGCACGAAATATGTCAGGGGTGAATACATAAACACCACAATTTATCAAATCACTAACCTGCAGGTTAGGAAATGGTAAATCTTCCATGAGGAAAGCCAAAACCATAAAAATATAAGTTTACCCAATCAAACTAAAACATAGGATGCTTTTCTAGAGGGGAAAAATAGTGAAACAGGTTAGAGCTAGCGAACTAAATACTCACAAAAGTCTCAGGTTTCTCTGTATAATGCAGCAATTCATTAGTGACAGGATCAGCCACTAACTCACCAAACTGGCTAGCAGATTCAGGAGAAACCTACATATGGGGGAAAAACAGATAGAAGTATTGTGACAAAGTTTTTCAGCGGCAAACAATCCATATGCACAAACATGGTAATTCTTTTAGAAGCACCAACCTTGATTACTAACATAGTCCCCATTCCACCATATCTTTTATGGGCATCTGCGAAAGGAAACATAGTGATTAGCAGCGCAGTACTTATAAAAATCCACCACATGTTTATTGTGAACAACTTACCAAGCATGGCTGGCAAAGGGAAACTACAGCAAACATCACAATTGAGAAGAAAGATATGTGACTGCAATCAAAACAGAAGAACTTCAGATATAACGAGTTCTACATTTTTTTTTTTTTTTGGGTTAAAACAAAACAGTTACGAGGGCCGTGTTTCTAACTGGGTTGTCTTCCATGATAGTATCTCTGAAGCAGTAGAAGCCACCAGCTGAACCATGTGGTTTTTCTTCCTTCAAATATCTAGGACCGACAAGATTTGTAGCACATTAAAGTAAGATCCAGCAGTGACGCTATTGACACGCATACTTTAAAGACGAAGAGGACTACATAAAGCAGTAGTCACCTTACTGGCAATTTCATCTCACTTGAAATCGAAGAAACATAAAGTGCAAATTCTCGCTCCTCATAGAATCCTATCAGATATATTTGAGCCAGATTGGGTATCTGTGAGTAAAAGAAACTAATGAGTCCGAATTGATTTTCACACAGCGGAGAACGAGCACGAAGAATCAGTGAACATTGAGGAACCCAAGGTTCCAAAAAAACATGCAAGCAAATGAAAATTCAAATTGAAGTTTCCTTCCGGTGTTCATAATCAGCTTAGGAACCATGTAAAATGTGAAAGTTAACTGAGAGGAAAAGGAGCAAACCCTTTTACAAGCAGAAATGGGATGATGAACCATTGGCTGCCCAGCCAGAGGGAAAAGGGGTTTAGGAACATTAAATGAAAGAGGCCGGAATCTTGTCCCTGCAGATATAATTGAATAGTCATAGTGAAGGGCAACCCTAAATCACACAGGAAGAAAACAGAGAAGTTAAATCAGAAGCAGAAGCAACCTTTGGTGGGTCCGCCCACCATAATCACAGCAACCACCTTGTCCGAGCTCTCCATGGTCAAAGCGCAGATCTTCGGCTCAAAAACCTACAATTGGCTTCGATTTGGGGGCCTGAGGAAGTGAAAAGGATTGCAATATCAAAATGAGCAATTTGCAGGGAAGGCTTTCAGTGCCGCAATTTTTAAAATCAGGTTTCCCACAGATAATTAGGGGGTGTTTGGCAAAACCAAAACCTAGGTTTCAGAATCACTTTTCCGCAAAACGAGGTAACCTCCTCCACATATTTACTTCGTAATCCGTAAAAGCACTTCTGAAACCATGATTTGGTTTCTATCCAAACATTAGTTGGCTGCCGGCCTTTTCATGAGTCTTACGTGGCAATATCACGACGGTTACGTAAACTTGGCTTCAAGCCATCAGATACATGCTGCATAGCATTTTTTTTTTGGGACCAAAAGCTGCATAACTGGAACTGGCAAATGGCAACTCGTAAGGGGAAATAAAAAGCTAATTTTGTAAATAATTACAATTAAATGTTAAATAACAGTAGTAGTTTAAAAAAAAAAAAAAGGTGTTTCGTATCTCAACTTTGATACATGCATATTTCTTTCTTTTCTCTTCTTGCAAGGGCATCAAATGCAGCCTCAAATTATAAAATCAATTTTACTAACTATATATAATACGTGGGTTTATATAGGGCGAATAATTTTTATAACTCTTACAGGAAAATTATTAACATTAAAAGTTATCATATAATATGTTATCTCAAATTTGTATAGTCAATTATTTCACAGAGCCAAAATGTTAATAATTTTCTTGACGACTCAAACATCATTTTCCCTTGTATATACTATATGAAGTCACATGACATGAATGAAGTGCACCTCATAACTCCTTTTAAATTTAATATTTTATATAGAGTATTGAGGATTGGTATTTATGACTGAATTCTTTTGCAACTTTACGTTACCTGATGTTATAAAATATTAATTTAAATTCATGTAAATTAAATTTTAGAAAAAATGATAAAAATGATAAAAAAATTAAAAATTACTAAATGTCAAATAAAGAATGCCATTTTATGGTTTTTTAGGCACTAAAAAAAATAATAAATGAATAATGAATTGGTCCATCTTGTTCAGCGGATTACTCAATATATGAGGGGTTTGCCAGGACTGTCACATGTCAGAACCATGAGCTGACAAGTGAAGCGCATCCTAGTCCTTAAAGTAGAAGTACAGAACAATAGCATTGATAGAAAATGCAGCACATTATGGATTCCAGAATTCTTATCAGCTTTTTAGGGTTGATAAAAATAAGATTTTTGGCCGTAGACTATCAGCAAAATGCAGACCTTCTCAAGTGTAAAATCTCCAAATGAGATGGTTCAAACTCAAGTTGAATGTATCCCCTTCAACTTTCAACCATAACAAAGAAAAGACCCGGAAATAAAGTGCAGAAATCTGTCTAAACTAGAATATTCTAAGCGCAAATGTTCATTCAAGTGCCTCTGCTTGTTTATGTACATAATATACATAACTCTATCAATCAAGGTAATCACTTCTCCGCCAGTCGTTTGATCGACCCCTCAACGATGAGAGCAGAGAGTGGCAGAAAAAATATCAGCCATCAAATTAAATTAGAATCAATGTTGTTTCAACGACCAAAAATTCATATTCTGGCCAAAAAGAAAAATACTTAGAAATCATCTCATTTTCAATGACAATGCAGCATCAAGAAACTTGCATATTTCTGCCAAATCGCATATCTCAACTCACCAGCATCCTTCTTCAGCAATCGTAGTAAGGGATAATAACTTGATGAAAAGCATGTTCAAAGATATTACCCCACATATTCCACCTGCAATGTTAAATCCTTGACACCAGCATCATGTAATTTATTAGAAACCTGAGACTTAACGGATGCTTTATCAGCATCTGTAGATAGATGGAGGTGCAGTGTCCCAACAACATCTGTGTTTGTGAAGCTCCATACGTTAAACCTTTCAATGCCACAAACACCCCTAATCTTCAGAACATCCTTTAGGGCGTCCTTCAACTCTTTCTCATGCGCCTTAGGCACTCTTTGGAGCAAAATTTCGGCAGAGTTTCTGAGCAAAGGTATCACTGAGGACACGATCAAAATTGAAATAAATATTGAGCATGCTGGATCGGCTATAAGCCATCCCTTGTACTTAATTAAAAGGGTAGATATAACAACTCCAACACTTCCCATCGTATCAGCAAGGACATGCAGGAATATTCCTTCCATATTGTGATCAATATGAAAATGACCATGCGCTTGAAGCTTTTTCGCATCATCAGTAGATGCATTTATCAGTTTAGAATCACAGTTTCCAACCGAAGAACAAACTCCCTCACTATGAGACTTGGTAAACGCATCAAATTTGAGTGAGTTTTTGTGAACGTGGTGATCAGCATCATGGTGGTGGTGGTGGTTATCATGATCATGGTGATCACCATGGCCATGATTGTCTTGATGGCAAGCATGACCATCGTGGGAATAATGATGGTGTTGTTCGCTATCATGATCATGATGATGATCACTATGGTTATGGTTGACATGCTGCTGGTCATGACCACGGTTTTCATGATGACATTGGTGGTTGTGACCCATGGGACTCTGAGCAATGTGATCTTCTGCATTAGAGTCAACTTTCTTGTGATGACTGCAGGGAATGTGGTCGTGAGGATGTCGGTCATGACCACGAGAACATAAATTTCCTTGGTGATCACTCGAAACAGAAATAATATCCCCATGCATTCCATGGGCTTCATTATTATGTTCCCCATGGCAATGCAGATCATGATGGTGATGGTGGTCATGGTGACTATGGGAGTGTGCATGAGAATGTGAGCATGATCCAGAGCCTCCATGGGCATGATGATGTTCCTCGTGAAAGAATATCAAGCCAATTACATTGACGACAAGCCCTCCTATAGACACAACTAACAAACTATTAGTTGATATTTCTTGAGGGTCTAAAATTCTCTCAAATGACTCCAATACTATCAATGCTCCCACAAGAACCAAGAAAACAGCATTAGCATATCCTGAAAGAACTTCAAATCTACCACGACCATAGTTATACTGGTGATTTGCAGGTAAACGTGATATATATGAAGCATATAGCCCAATTGCCAAAGCAGCACAATCAAACAACATGTGACATGCATCGGATATCAACCCAAGACTATTGCTCATAAACCCGCCAACAAACTCTACAACCATGTAGCAAGCGTTGATGAAAAGAAAAAGAGCAATTTTACGGGACTTCCTCTCACTTAAAATATGTCTGATGGGCTTCATAATCATGCCAGTAAATGAGTCTGAATATACTTCTCCTGTTCCGTGATGATTCAAGCGAAGAGGATCCAAATCTCTAACAGCTATATAGAGCAAGAAACCACAGAGCAATAAACCCCAGAGAGAAAGCTCAGGAAAATAGAAAAGCTCCAAAACTACAGTACAGGCAAAAGTAACCAAAAACTCCCTCTGGGAGTCTTCCGATCTTACTATCTTCTCATTACTGTAATTTTCACTCAATAGTACACCAAAAACAACAGTATTAACAAGAGGCCAAGCTAATTCTGTGAAGGAAACACTTTCTTCTTCAGTTTCAAATAGTAGAAAACTGATGACGGCAGGAACAAAAAGCACAATCGTAGTGAAGAAAAGGGAAATTAGCCGAACCCGTTGAAGACCAAGTTGCTTAATTGTTCCCCAATCCATTGACTTACGCTCGTAACAACCCAAAAATCCAGATAGAAAAGGAAGCAACATGGGCCAAATCCTCACACAATTCTCTCGCGCGAAAAGAGCATATCTCCGTTTGTCAGCGAATGTAGTAGAAAAGGGTAAGCAGTCAACCCGATCCCAACTGAAAGATAGTAGAAACAATCCAATAGACAATGCTAGAAACCCACGAACCTTTGGGGATCGACGACGAATTTGATTCCCCCCCTCAGCAGCGAACCGAGCAGCTACGGTCCCAGTCAACTCAGCGAGGATCATCGCAGCGGTTCCACAGTATCGAAGCGCTTGAAATCGAAGGAGAAACACCAAAGCCAGGAGAACTGATTTGGCGACCAAAAGCTTCTGCTGAGATTGTGTAATTGAATTTAAAGCAAAAATGGGTTGGTTTGCCTTTTTTTGGCCAAATGGGTCTCTGGAAGTGGATGAGGAAGAATACGAAGAAAACAGAGAAAAACAGAGGGTTAGAAGGAAAGAAAGAAGTGATACAAGGAAAGAAAACGGGAACAGTGAAAAGGAAGGAGAGGAGCGAAGAAAAGGGAGTAGCGAATAAAAGGATCGTAAAGAGAGCAGGAGGAGGAAGAGGAAGGAAAGGGAAGATTTATCCGAGGATTGGGAATTAAACGAAGAAACCGAAGAAAGGCGGTGTTTTGAGGGAGTTGGAGTCGGGGTTGAAGATGTATAAGGATACATAGGATATGGTCTGGGCGTGGTGGAGAAGGTGGCGGACGCGGTGGCGCGAAGTGGAACGGAGAGGCGCTGCGGGCGATGTTGGTGGTGGTGGTGAAGGTGATCGGCCATGCTGGGTGGACTAAGGATTCAAGGAGGAGGAAGAAAGCCAGTACACAAATTATGAAAATTGAATCTTGGAAGCCCAGGCCGAAAACATAAAATCCCGGGAGCTCAGAAAAGATGAAAGACGAGAAAGTCTTTACTGAGAGAAGACTTGCTCCGCCCATCGCCAAGGAACAAAGACTCTAATCATCTGTTCGTTCACGCTTCACAGGTGTGATCCGCACCGTCCGTTTTGGGACCCAAACTGAAAAAACCGTACAGTAATAATTTAGAAGCAGTTCGATTGATCCGGTTTAACTTGGACTATTTTTGCCACAATAATCTCGTTAAAAGATTATAAAGGATAACCAAGATACGCGTATAGGTCTCGGAGCAGATACGACAACTAAGTATAGACAATTGTAAAATTAGAAAGTAATAAACATTAATTCCTTCCAAATTCCAATCCTATTACTAACTCCTTTTTCATCTGGGGCCAAGGGAATCTCCCTTTTAAATATAGGCTAAAGACCTTAATTCCATATTAGACATTGGAAAAAGGATGCTTATAGTCGATAGTTCAATTCCAAACCAACGCCTTTTGTTACCAGAGGCAAGAATGTTGTATTTTAATGAGGATAACAGTAGATCGTGGGGACACTGGACGGCTTCTGCATCAATGGAACTTCATGCCACATATGACTATGAGACTTGTGAAGCTACACAGGAATGCGGAGTTGTCGAAAGAATGTCGAAAGGATACCACCTTTATTTTTTTTTTTTTTTTGGGGTGCAGATCCCTCCAATATACTTCTTGGCTGTTGGCTGCTATTTTAATTGCCGAATTGGATTGTCTGGATGGCTTAAATATTATTTTCATTTTTTATATTTGTATTTTCAAAGAAAGTTAGAAGCAGCATATAAAATAAAAACAACTTTTCAAAGTGCAAAATTCTTGAAAAATAGTAAACTAGAATCATAAAATTCACACCCCCCAAATTTGCCATTGTTGTTATTTTGCAGTTGTATACAGACTAGGTCTGACACAAGTAACAGCAACACACCTAAGATTTTTTACTACAAGTATGCTAATATTGATTTGAAATCCATGGCAATATGCAAATATTGATCTTTATTTAGAAGAAATCGGATAAAAGCAGCAAAGTGGTTGGAGCATCCTGCTTATCATGATCAAGTACTTTTGTGCAGTGCTAGTAAGGAAGCATAGGCTCCGCCTTTTTTGAGCAAAGTTTTATGGTTTCCCCTCTCTGCAATGACTCCATTTTGAACCACTGCAATTAAATCTGCATTCTTCACTGTGGATAACCTATGAGCCACAACAATTGTGGTTCTATCCACTATCACACGATCCAACGCATCTTGAACCACTTTTTCAGATTCAGCATCAAGAGCACTGGTGGCTTCATCTAGTAGTAATATCTTAGGATTCTTCACTATGGCTCTTGCAATTGCCACTCGTTGCTTTTGTCCCCCAGATAATTGAAATCCTCGCTCTCCCACAATTGTGTCATACCCCTACATATATGGTATGCAATTAGCTAGTAATTTGTTCAGAATTGTACATTTTGTACAAGTCTTTAGACAGATTTAGGTGTTTGAATATTGAAAAGTTTTACCTGATACAAGCTGCTAATGAACTTGTGAGCATTTGCCAGTTCTGCAGCAGCTATAATTTCTGCTTCTGTTGCGTCTCCTTCCTTTCCGTATGCAATATTAGTTCGAATGGTGTCATTAAACAACATAGGCTCCTGGCTTACTAAGCCCATTTGTTGCCTTAACCATTTGATCTGTAGCTTTTGAATTTCGATTCCATCTAATGTAATGTGACCTGAGTTTGGATCATAGAATCTTTGTAGCAACGAGATCACAGTCGACTTTCCACTTCCACTTTCTCCCACTAGTGCAACAGTCTGTTTTTTTTTTTTAATCAGCGTGATAGGATTGTTAGAAGATTATATGGCCAATTATTTTTCTATCATGCATGCGACTTATGCTTCAAATTAATGTTTAAATTGGTGAATTACCTTTCCTGAATGAATGGTCAAGCAGAGATCTCTAAATATTTGAACATCAGGCCTGGTGGGATACTTGAAAGCAACATGGCGAAACTCAACTTCTCCCTTCAAATCTTGCAATGTCAATCCAGAGACATCGGTAGAGTCTATTTTTGATTTCTGATCAAGAATATCAAATATAGAAGCAACAGAATCGGTTGCTTTGCTTGCACTTGGGGCCATTAGACCAGATTGAGACAGTGCTACAGCGGCCATAGTGAGAACGAAGAAGACCTAAATTTTTTGCAAACCACATTATCAATGTTAAGTGGATGTAATTCCTAATTCAGCTCTGGAACGAACTGCTCTTCTGTAATTATAGGACAAGTAACTACTGCTTTGTCAAAAATAACCAAGAGAAGTGAAAAAAGGATAATATATCTGGCATGGTGAACAAGACAGACAATAACTTACTCGAAAAACTTGGGAGAATGATATTTTTCCATCTTGAACAAGTCGAGCACCCGCATAAAAGCTGCATCCATAGACAGAATACAAGACAAGGAACGATACACCTAAACCAGTTCCGCTGATTAATCCTTGCCTTATACCTGCTTTTATTGGTCCTTCACATTTCTTATGGTATAACTCCATCACCTTCTCTTCAGCACAGAAAGCAGCCACTGTTCTAATACTCCCTACTGCATCATTCGCAACTTGACTTGCTTCCTCATATTGTTTCTGTTGGAAATTTTCGAATATAACAACATTGGTTGTTTAAATATTTGCATTAGCACAATATAGCCTAGACAAAGTTTTACTCATTCAGCCATTGATCTGTGCTCATGATGTTTGTTTGTTTACTTTCTATTTCATGACAATGTTATGACAGCTGGAGACTAACCTTTGCATCTGCACTGAATCCTCGCATGGATTTAATGTGCACCTGAGCATTTACTACCACCAGTAAAGGTAGCATAGCAAGAATGATCAACGAAAGCTCCCAGCTTGACTCAAAGCCAATTACTAGGGCAGAGATTGCAGTAGATATATCTTGAATCAGCAAGCCTAGTGCATCCCCAACCACAGCTCGAATAGCAGCAGCATCAGTAGCAAGTCTTGCTCCAAGTGATCCACTTGAATTCTCAGTTTTGTCAAACCAACCTATTTCCATGTGAACTATTTTCTCAAAACACAATAGACGAATCCTTTTTATCAATTTGCAACCGGCTACACCAAAATAGTAGGACCTTATGGAATTCACAAAGAAGGCTGCCGCAGCAAGTGCAACGAACACATATGCCCAGAATTTTGAATCTTTACGGAGTTTATCTTCAGGCTCAAAGAAAGTATGCACCATGCCAGATAGCAGGAGCCCAAAAAGGGGGGATACTGCTCCATTCAGTGTTGCGGCCAAAGTAGCCAAGAGTAACACTGGGAATTCAGGCTTGTTAAAACGAGCAAGGCGGAGAAGTGAGACTTTGGCAGGGTTGTGTGATGCGTCAGAATCTCCTGCTGCTGTAGAAGCGAGACTTGAGAAAGAGTGACGACTGCTGTTTCCTTTTCCAGATGATCCTTGGCTTGTTGATCGAACGAAAGAAAATCGTTGACTTGAAGGTCGTGCGGAGTCCTGAAAGCTTTCAGACTTATCCTTGTAATTTGCATTATTTTGTTCTTGATCTCTGTTAGTTTCTTGCAATCTAATGAGCTGGCTATAGGCTCCATCTGGATCCCCTGTGAGCTCTGCATGTGACCCTAACCGATCGAAAGAGATAACAAAGAAGTGAGTCATAAATAACAGAAGTAGGTTGTCATGGTGTTGTTCATGCATGACAGGATAATATGCATACCTTTTTCTACTATCTTTCCTTGATGAATAACAGCTATTATATCTGCGTTCCTTATAGTACTTAAGCGGTGGGCTACGATCACCGTGGTCCTGCTGATCATAATTCTGTCCAATGCCTCCTGCACTACTCTCTCAGATTCGGCATCCAGGGCACTGGTGGCTTCATCAAGAAGTAAAATTTTTGGGTCTTTCAAGATTGCTCTTGCGATTGCAATTCTCTGCTTTTGACCCCCAGAGAGCTGGGTTCCATGATCTCCCACCATTGTGTCTAGTCCCTATTTCATGAGTTAAAGGACCATTTAGTTGGAACATGTATTTAACTACTTTTCCCTTGTCTGGTGGAGTATCGAATAGAAGATAATCTCATCAAATTAAATCATTCAATTTTGAAGATCAGGGTTCACCTGAGGAAATTTATCAATAAATTTAGTAGCATTAGCAAGTTCTGCTGCAGCTCTGATTTCTTCATCGGTTGCACCATCTCGGCCATAAGCAATGTTCTCTCTAATGCTACAAGCGAAGAGAATTGGTTCCTGGCTGACAAGGCCTATTTTCCCTCTAATCCATTTCAAGTTAAACTCTCTGAGATTGATATTGTCAATGAGAACTTCACCAGATTGTGGATCATAAAACCTTTCTATCAAACTGATAACAGTTGATTTCCCGCTCCCACTTTGCCCTACCAAGGCAGTAGTAGTGCCGCTTGGTATTGATAGAGAAAATCCGTTGAATATTAGTTCATTTGGTCTTGTAGGATAGCTAAAGCAAACCTCCTTTAGTTCTATATCTCCATTAAGATCATCCAACTTCTGACCAGAAGTGTCATAAGCATCAATTCCTGGTTTCCTCTTGATTGTTTCAAGCATTTTAACAGCTGCAGCTTGTCCCGCAGCAAATGCAACCAAATTGGGAGATGACTGCCCTAGAAGCCTGGTAATTGTTACAAGTTAGACAAATTTGTGGTGTTATTTCTATGATACACACACACACATATAAATATTAAATAGCAGAAGCCAGACTCACAGGGAGCAAGTAGATATTGCAAAAAAGATACTCATGACTTGCCCTCCTGTGTATCCTTTCTCTAGTACCATCTTCCCTCCGTACCATGCGCCCAAAGCATGACTGGAGAACATAAAGAAACGAGCTGCACCAAAGCCGCAACCAGAAGCAGCCCCCTCTACCACACCAGCACGGTAAGCTTTTATTAAAGATTTATCATACTGGGTTATAGCTTGCTTCTCCCCTGTGAATGATGCAACCTGTGCAGATCAGCCAATACCATGTTCATGTCAGGGCATTTTCAATCTAAAAGTTTGAATGTCTCGCGAATAACTTCATTAATAGATATTCAAAAAATCAGAGAAAGAAATGATGAATAGGCTTAAGTTCATCCTGCAAATAGGCTTACAGTTCGAATGGAACTGATTGTCTGTTCCACCACATTTGCTGCTGTGGAATAGGCTGCTAATCCTTTAGATGCCATCTTTGCAGCGACGAAGCTCATCAAGGCACCAGAGAGGATGTAAAGTGGAAGAAAAGATAACAGGACAAGGGTGAGAAGCCAACCCTTGGAAAATGATATGACCACTCCTCCCACAAATGCTGTCACATGCTGTATGAACTTTCCTACCTGATATCACCCAAAAGGTGTCAGGAGTCGTCAAAGAAAATGGTTCTTTACTAAATGGCAAAGAAGATCAAGTGGCGAAGAACAATACTTTCTCTCCCATGGCATCTTGAATGAGAACCGTGTCACCTGACATCCTTGTAATAACCTCTCCGGTGCTGGTTTCCCTATCAAAGAAGCTTACTTCTTGTCTCAAAATTGCTTCAAGGTATAAGCTTCTTATCCTTGCAGACTGTCTCTCTCCAGTGACCATCCAGCAAGTCACCTCTATCAAATAGCATGCACACGTTTTTTTTTTTCTCTTTCATATTTATGTCAAATAAATATATTTTGCAAGTTGAATTGTAAGCGTCTATTAGCAGAAAATTTGATATGCTTACGCAAAAATGAAGATACAAAAGTACCCATAGCCAAGTATACAAAGTCAAGAGACGCCTGAAAATAAAAGTAATCATTATGAAATCAAAATTGGAAAACTTAAAATGAAGTGGTGCTACTAGTCACTAATTATTGCATTACCTTGGAGACATTATGACCCATTTCTTTGGCGTCACTAGCTTCTCCAAATGCATCAAAGACATTTCCAAAAATGATCATCAATAGAGGGACAGTCATTCCATTAGCAACAGCCGCTGTTGTCCCAACAAACATGAGAAGACGATCAAAAGCATCTGCATATGAGAAAAGCTTGTAGAAGGGAACTGTTTTATGGCTTTCTTTTTTGGCATTGCTCTTCTTTGAATCTTGTTGCTGCCCATCTGTGTTTGTTTGGGTTATTTCATGTCCTTCGTTTGGGGGATGACTTGCTGATCCTGTTGCATCAGATGTCGCAATTTCCCCGTCCAGGTTTGTGTCTCTTGCCATTTCTCTCCAGTGAGATCTCTGTTGCTTACCAATTACAACGCATAACATGTTATGTTTCAGAAGTTGCGGCTTTATAGTTGCAAGATCCGATAACGAAATTTCCCATCTTCTTTATTCTCATGTAGTTAACTTACTGAGAAGACAACGCGTTCAGGAGTTTCAAAGCTTTTACTTTTTGTCCAACATAGTCCTAACTCCTAAGTAAGTGGGAATGAAAAACAATCATTTTCTCTTCAAATTGCAGCTAAATTGGTCCCGGAACTCAACAAAAGTATAAGCGAGTAGCAGCATTGTGATCTAGTTTTCCAACAATATTGTTAAGGTCCAAGAAACTTCAAAATATCTTCATTAAATAAGGTAAAATTGAAGATACTAGCCTAATACAAGACAAGAGGCCCCAACTTAAGTTTCTCTTATTTAAGAATTCCCACTCAAATGGGCATTTTTAACCATGCATTAGATTTCGAGGCATGGAATTGTCCAAAAACGATGAGCTTTAATTCCACGACAAATTAGATGACAATCAACACAGGATCTTGTGAGGCTTCATGTGTGTCATTATTATGCCAAATACTAACTCTGGTTTTTAATATAAGAACTCATTTGATTTTTATTTTGGTTCTAAATATAGGACTCCAATCTATTTTGTCTCTCATATTTATCTTTTTTTTTCCCAAAATAATTCTTATAATAATAGTAGTTCTAACCAATACACTTAATTAGTAAAGATATTTTAAGAGAGACAACACCTATTTATTATAAATAACTAATTTAACTAATTTTCTTAATCTTTCAAATTAGTCAACTAGCTCTTATATGAAAGACCGAAGTTAGTAATTGATTAAAGATTTCAACAAATCAAATAGCACTTGATAATACTTTGCCCATTCTCTATTAAAATTCTTCAAACGTGAATCTTCACAAAATAATCAAAATAATAGTCGCATAATAATGTTCCATGAAATATGATCCAATGCACCAAAAATGAAATTTTGCAAATTAGTGTACGGATTAATCAAAATTTCTGAAAGCTCAAGGGACCCAACTGAAATTCTTGTACAATCACTTAGGTCGAAACAGAATTTCAGAAAACGCAAGGGACAAAATAAGCTTCATTAATTTCTGGTTGTGAACATGGCATGTGTGACGTCAGGGCTAAAATGGGATTCCAAAACGTGGGTTAATAACAGTAATTGATTAAGGGGCAAAATATATTTTCTAGTAACTTAGTTTATTGGCCCAAACTAAGAATAATAATGTTTATATATGGCTACACCCCAAATCTGGTCGCCGCTTAAAACAGATCGGCCTAATATAAAATACTTAAGCCCACTAATGCAAGCCCGTGGCAAAATAGCCCAGATAGTTTTTCTTGGCCCAAGTTTTTTGGGTACATTCTTGGCCCAATTTTAAACGATCTAGAAGAAATAAAAGATGTCCAGTTAAGTAGAGGCCCAAAACTAACGAGGGTTAGGTTTAACAAAAGGAGCTAGTCCCTCACGAACCAAGGTTCGAATTACTACTAGAGCAGGTATTTACATTTAGTGTCTGACGGTGCTTTGAATAGAATTACCTCCTATAAGAAGACTCTTATGCTTTAGGGGGAAAAAATGTAGAGGCCCAAAACTCATAGGAATAAGGAACCAAAAAGGTAGTTATGAAAGTACCTGACAAGATTTTTATTTTTTATTTTTTAAAAAAAAGAAAGTGCTAAAGTACATAGGGAGATTGAAGTTTTCGACTTGATCATGTGACTTCTATAATAGAAAATCAAGAGTTTAATTTCATTTATAATTTAACCCAAAAAAAATGAAGGAAATTCTGAAGCTATGCCATAAAGCTGAGTTTGCGAGGGCAGCTCAAACGTCAAACCGCGCAACTAGCCAGCTTTGAAGCGTACTGCCAAACCAATATTTAATTATATCCTTTCTTTTATTTATTTGTGTTTTTCGCACCACCTCAAATACCAAGGAATGCAAGGGCTTCGTTCAGATGCCAAAGTGCATCTTCTTCTTCCTTAAGCTCGAACGATGGCCGAACCCGCCATGGATTGAGCCGTCCAAGCTCAAAACACGTGATTTCAAACCTTTCCGGCACCATAAAACCAATACCTAAGTCTCCCCAAACCATAAACACACTCAAAAACTGCAAGAACCGAAGCTTGAAATCTTTCAGAAATCTGAGATTCGATCTGTGAAACCGACAGTTTTTCTAATCGATCGTACACAAGGAAAACGCCCCACACGCCGTGTTTTACACATGTACAAGAGTCAAGGACGAATGATGCAGTTTCTATTGAAAAACAGTCGATAATTAATGTGATGTCCAGTTTTTTTTATTCCCATGCAGTTAATTTGCTGGGAAGAAAATGGGGTTCAGGAGTTTAAAAGTTTATACTTTTTTGACCAACAAAGTTAGGCCGGAGTAAGTGGCAATGAAAACCAGTAATTTTGTCTTCAAGCTGCAGCTTAACTGGTCCTACTAAAACTCTCTGAAAATCTAAGTCAAATATAGCAGCAATGTGAGTAATAAGTTTTCCAATTCACGCATGTACAAGTTTTGAATATGTCAGTAGTTTCAGCAACAGAGAGAGAGGCTACGTAAAATAGCAGCTAACTATAGTTGACTCAGAGCAAATTCAAGTAAAGTGCAAAAGGAAGAAATAGTTACCAGTTAAGAGCAAAAGAAGAGAGAAAGCTATATAGAATGAATGGGAGGCGGTGCAGCTTGAAAACCAACAATAAAACTTAGGTATTGAAGATGGTGGTGTGGCATGTTGTAGTTTGTGGTGGGTATTATATGAAGAAATGAAAAGAGAAAAAGCAGAAACGAACCTTAAGAAACTTGAGGTAGGAGGCTTGGGAGATGAGAAAGAGAAGAAGAGAGAGAGAGGAGGGAGAATGAGAGAATGAAGAGAAGGAGATGGTGGGGGTTAGTGTAGTAGAGCAAGGTAGCTGGGTTTCCTTTTAATGATGACATACCAAAGCTAAAGAAGGAGATCAGATGCTCATGACCTAAACAAATAATTAATCAAAGGTTTTAAATGTAGATATTATATTATATATTCTCCTTATTACCTCAGCAGCGTAGTCATCATATATATATATATATATATATGTATGTATGTATGTATATTTGCCCTTTCTTTCACTATCTCCATGTATAATCCTTGGACTGAACCTGCTGTTTTCTTTCCCTTTTTCCCTTAGCCAGATAGTGATAGTGGAGCTAGTGTTACTTAATTAGCATCACTGTCATAAACCGCTTATGAACGGATCTAAACAGATGATCATTGCTGTCAAAATTGATCTGTAACTTTATAAAATTATTGGGTTATTAATGGCTGAGAGCTGATTCAGACTTTAAATTTTTAGTTCTTGTTTATGAATTCTTTATAAGTTGACAGTAAAAATATAACAGCACATGTTCATGATAAGTTGTTCTTTTTCTTGCTATTTGGATAATAATACATAGAAGCGTTATTCTTGTATAGCGACGGACTTTTAGTTTATTAGTTTGAGTCATGGATAAATGTAAGTTATTCGTATTATTTGAATTTTAAGTTGATATATTGTATTTTAATGTATAAAATTAAAAATATGCTCGTTGGCAAGGAAAAAATAAAAATATATGCTTATCTTGTTACTACAAATACCTTAAGTCCTTGCCAATTTAGTAATCAGTTGGTTTTTTTTGGGGGGGGGGGGGGAAGGTTAAATGGAGATATAACAAGACAATTTTTAAAGTTTTGTTATTAAGAAAAATCCTTTCTTCTAATAAAGAAACAGTGTAATTATAAAGGGCGTCGCCACCCAAAAAAAAAAAAACCTCTGAATAAACGTATCCAGAATATACAGGCGCATTGGATAAAAATGCACTGAATAAAAACATTAAATACCAACAGCAAATAACTCTCGTCTATTTTAATTACTTTCAATTGTTGACGGAGCGGGGGATTAAGTGAAAATAAATAAATAAATCTTGGCGGTAAAATAAAAACAGTATTCTATTAAAGAGATAAAAGGAGAAAAGTACAAGTAGAAAAAATGAACTTCTTACGTATGGCCAAAAAAATTCCTCAAGTAATATGGTTCTTTCATGTCATTTTAACTAATGATGCAAAGAATAATCTAATACTACTCCGGTCCTAATTATAAGACCCAGTTGTTGATTTATTTGAGGAGATTAAGGAAGTAAGTTAAGTTAGTTATTTATAATAAATAAGTGTTGTCATTCCTAAAAATCCATACTAATTAAGTATATTGGCTAGAACTATCATTATTAGAAGGATTATCTTGGAAAAAAATGCATAAATATGGGAGAGAAAATGGATTTGGGTCTTATAATTAGGACCAACCAAAAGTCAAACGGGGTCTTATAATAAGGACCGGAGATAGTACTACCATTTAACCTTGCTAATCAAGTTAACTACTATTGTTAGAAAGATTACTTTGAAAAAAATACATAAATATAAGAAACAAAGTGGTAAAGTGGATTAGGATCTTATATTTAAGATATAAAAATCAAATAATATATTATATTAAAACAGGAGGTAGTATAGAATAGGCGTGTTAGGGCTCTGGAGAACTTTCTTTCGCGAAGGGTTCTGAGAGAAAACATTAAGAGATATTCCAAGATTATAAATAAATAATAATATATATTACAAAAGCTAACAGCCGGCCATTCAAAAATAATACTAGGCCGCCTTAGGTAATACACTCGTAGTACATAAGCAATTAATGACATTATTTACATTTTTCAAATAATACATTGATTTTGTTTTAAAAAATGGGCATGGAAATATATCATGAGCTCATCATATCAAAAAAAAATATTAAATTATCTGTTTTCTGATATATAATATTTTTGAGTAAAAATAAAATGTAAAAATATTTTCCAATAATAAATATGTTTACGGATTTATGCATGTGGTAAATCTGAATCTTCGAAGACTAAAGCGTCTGTAATTTGCACAGACACACTATTTATATTATTCTCATGTTTTCCTACCCTTAATCATTGTACTAATTGTTCCCATTTTTAAAAGCGTTGGCCGTTGATTGAATGAGATTTCAAATAACTGGGATTTTTTTTTTTTTTTGGCTTTTTGAATGGGCAGAAGAATCCAAATAAATGGTTGACAAAGCAAAAATAAACAAGCAAATAAGCAAAATAATTATAGTATTATTAATATAATTTTTGGAGTGGTCCTAAGTTATGCTACCCTGTCTGGCTGCAATTCATTGGGCTCAAGGAACCTGCGGGACCACTTGACTTGTGACAATAGGAAGTAGGAACCATCCCCCTCGAATTGATCCCGCCACATAATTACAGATTCATACGTTGGGGACATCTCACTAAACCCAATATGATATCATTGTTGGTACGACCCTGCTTTATTTTAAAACCGTACGAATCTCATTTCCTTAATTATAAAATTATGCATTTTGGAAACTCAGGGATCAAAATCACGTGAACAGTAAACCGTAAAATTTAAAATTATATTTTTAAAAAAAAGGATATGACCTCAAACAACGTATACTGAAATTTTGATTAATATTTAAAAATAAAACACTTATACGCAGCTTCCTTATTTTATCTCTATTTCAGCCTTTTTTAAAATTGGAAAATACTTAATCGCTTATGATAATAGCATTCGAACGTAGAACCTCAAAAATAATACTTTCTGCCGTTTACCATTGGAAAAACGTACCCGTCTGGTCAAAAATTAGTATATTTTTGAGTTTTAACTGAAATAAAATGCTGTGAATTCCTTATGAAAATAATATATTTATGAGCTGAGTGGAGGGTGAAAAATAAAATCAAAGTATATACGTTTTATTACCATGACATCTAAAATATAAAGGAAAGTACATGTTTATCAAAGAGAATTAATATTATTTAAAGTTTGTGCAAAAAATCAACAAACACTGATTCGCAAAATATTTTGGACCCGAAAAAGAGGTATTCAATAAACCTACAGCCATTTAATCGAATGAACCCCAGAATATGCCTGGGAGCCGAGTCACGTATTCTTTTTAAAAAAAAAAAATAGCGGCCCTTGGAGAGTAGTTGTGATTTAATCTGTAAAAAAAACTAAAAATTTGATTAGCGATAAATGCACGTATTTATACACAGAAAATATCACTATTCTACAAATATCGACATTTCAAGTTAGCTGTTTCCCCAGATTGTTTTAATCTGGCCCATGCTCAAACATAGTACATTAAAATAACATATAGAAATTAACAAAAAAAAAAGCTGGCAAGAAGGAATATAGATATTAGCGAGGGAAAAGGGAAGAGGCTGGGGGGACAAAAAGTGTTGGGGAGGGGGGTGACAGAAACGAAGGTTTTTGGGGGGGGGGGGGGGGGGGGTTAAATTGGCGGTATCGGGTTTCCTTAAAGCCACTAGCCCCACGATAAGAAAGCAGGCTCGTGTTGTGGAGACAGTTAATTAAATTAGAGAGGCATGGCATTTAACAAAGTGAGCAGTCACATGCTCCCGCCCCACTTAATTGAACCAATTAATCACAGAATTAATTCAAGTGGCGATAGAACACGATCCCATAATCATTTCTGAAGGAAGGAACACATGCCTCTAGATAACAATTGAATTTGAATTGGCTTCTCAAGGGCCGCGAAAGGCAAGAATCGAGCAAAGCCGCGAGAACCGCCAGCGTTATTATAATTAGTTTTTTTTTTTTTGGGGTCAAAAGCGTTATTATAATTAGTTAATTACAAATCATATATTATGCCGCTGCGCTTCTTATTCCTCCGATGTGGTGCACTATTCCTGATGCACATTAAAGCTCCCTGATTTGTGGCCCCATTTCATGCCCTTTCTTACTAGTATATTATTTATTTATGCCCCTTCTTATTAATTACGCCAACATCAAGTCAAAAGAACAACGATGAAAGCTACAAGTATAGAAAAAAGAAGAAGCATATATTCAATCAAAAGAATAAAAATACTATATTCAGTCCGATCCTAATTATAAGACTTTGTTTATAGACTACAGACGAAATCTTATAATTAGGACAGGAAGTAGTAAAAATTAGGTGATGACAAACATGAAATCAGCTAGTTGATAATGATAACAACAATATTGAAAATAAATTAAATTATTAAAGAAGTCCAAGTGATCGTAGCTTTTTTGAGAAAAACGTTAGCAATATTTGTACAAATGGGAGAATTTTGTATGCGGCTATAAATTCTAATAATAATAATATTAATAAGCGAGGGGGAGATAGTGAATTATTTAGAGGAAGTTCATGTGAGATGGAAGGGAGGGGAGCCTATAGGAAGGGATTTACATGCGCAGTGGAATAATAGTACACTGAGTTGGCAGTTGGCATTACCATTCGTAGCTCACCCGCTAAATATATTTAAAAATCAACGTAAATTTGACGCCTCATTTGCTTGAAATTATAATTAGACAAAAATTTAAAAATGAAATTTTAATTCTAATTTTATTTATCATGTGTAATTTTACTTCTCTCTTTTTTTTTTATGTACAATTTCATCGTGATCCTTTTTTCAGGGCAACCTAAAAACTCAGATCAATGTTAAAATTGCACAATTAAAGATATTAGGAATAAGATTACAGTTAAGAAATAAGATTATTGCTTTTTTTTCAGCAAAAAGAAATAAGATTATTGCTTTTGGCCGAAAATAAGATTATTGTTAAGATTGCACTTTTATCCTTTAATTAACTATTTTTTGGTGGGACTGTGGCCCAAAAGGGGACCATTGGAAGACGGAACAATAAGAAGTGTCAAAATGAATAGCAATGGATTGGGTCAGCTGGGCAGGCTCTGTATCATAGTTTAGCCTTTTGGTCCACTCTGAACCCAAAACAATCTTGCACCAAACTCACAACAATATCAGTCGCTAGTGTAGCCTTCCCTGTGTTCGAACGAAGGGGATGCTCAACCATACTTAGGAGATATTTGGATAGAATCGAAATCATAATTTTAAACGTATTTTATGATATACGAAATAAATATGTGAAAGAATTTATCTTGATTTGCGATTAGTAAAGTGCTTTTGAGAAGCATTTTTTATGTGTCCAAACACCTCCTTAATTTTTAAACATAAAACTAATTTATAACATAATTTGTACAATTAATTAGTTTTTATATTTAGGACTAAAAGTAGTATTCCTCCTCTTCTAAATATAAGGCCCATTTTATAGTGTAATATGCACTACAAATGGGTCTTATATTTAAGACCGAAGGAGTATTACTTATAAATAAATAAGATCTAAGCTAACTACTTCACATACATTACATATATTCATTAAGTTGATTCTTTTATATTATTATTTAAAAAAATTTATGTTATTCTTTTTTCTTTAATGAGCGTGTAAAATATAAGAGACAAAGAAGGGGCGGACGCGGACCAAATTTATGTGATAGCGGATACTGGATTTGAAGATTTCGAGAGAGAGCTCTACTTCTTCTTCTTTTTCCCCTTTCAAATAAAATATCAAAAGATTTTGAAACTTATAATTATAAAATGACATTTTGAGTTATGATTGCTTCCATCTATAAATTTATCCTCCGCATAAAAATTGATCACATAATTCAATCACCACTCGCGCGCGTTCCTTCTTCTTTTGTTTTTCAAAAGAATGTTTTTGCTTGATTTTTTAGTAAATTTAAAATGATTGAAAGACTGTAATTGACCGATTAAATTGAAATCGACGAGGTAATGAAAAGGGACTGCCATAAAACCGTTTTCCTGCTCTCAAACACCTGTTAGTCTTTGGTGCAGCCGAGTCGCCATTCTCACTTTGAAAGCGAGTTGCGATTCAACCCTTTAATTTATTCTCCTGCCCTCCCAAGGTTATTATATACTACTATTTCCGATCTTTAATATAAGGTCTTGTTTAACTTTTATCCTAGTTCTAAATATGAGAACCAATCCATTTTGTCTTTCATACTACCTTATAAGAGCCAGTTGACTAATTTGAAGAAATTAAGAAAGTAAGTTGAGTTAGTTTTGTCCTAAATAGGTGTTGTCTTTCCTAAAATATCCTTACTAATCAAGTGTATTGACTAGAACTATCATTGTTAGAAAGGCTACTTTGAAAAAAATGTATAAATATGTGAGACAAAGTGGATTAGGATCTTATATTTAGAATCAATATTTAGGACCAAAATAAAAGTCAAACAGGTGTCTTATATTAAGGACCGGAGGTAGTATTTATATATATTTTTCAAGATAGTTCTTCTAACCATGATAATTCTAGCCAACACATTTAATTAGTAAGGATATTTTACGAAAAACAATATCTATTTATTACAAATAACTAACTTAATTTTTTTTTCAATCTTCTCAAATTAGTCTACTAACTTTTATAATTAGGACTAGAGGTAGTATTAATTTTATTTACTTAATTGGGACTTCAATATAATAATAAAGGCTAAAGTATACATTTGGTTTTTTAACTTTGTACAAGGTTTCAATTTGATCTCTTAACTTTAAAAAGTATATTTTTAGTCTTTTAATCCTGAATTTTTTTTAAAAAAATGATGACATTAAGATCTTAAATGTTGATAAAATATTTTCAAAGACTAACATATTAAGTTTAATTTTTAAAAAATCCATGATTGTTACCACAAATCATCATTTAACCCTAATGATTTTAGGGTTAAAGGACCAAATGTATGCTTTTTAAAGTTAAAAAACTAAATTAAAATTTTGTACAAAGTTAAATAACCAAATGTATACTTTAGTCTAATAATAAATGTTTACTCGTGCGTGGTTTTTAAATTTTCTTTATAAAAAAAGAAGGGAAAAAAAAGGTAACAAAAGAGGCGTTTGAACTATTCTAACGAGCTTCAAGCCTCCCCTGAGATGATCTAGGAAGTAACAGATTCAGATTTCAACGCTGTATCTGCCATGCCATGTTAAAATTAACAAAGGGCTTTCTTCCTCGAATGCTGTTTAACTGCACATTGGTTGTGGAAACCAGAGGACATGTTCTATCCAAATGGAGCACTAAGTGGTAATGTCTTCTTTCATTTCGAAAAGATTATGTCATATCATCCCCTGCGTTAATTTATTAATTAATTAGCGCCCCTTAATTTCCCTTCATCTTTCTGGTTCATTCGCTTAATTTCAACCTTCTCTGAAAACACCCAGAGATAAATCCCGTTACATGTCGAATTTATTATATGCATGCACCTACTACATTATGATTATATGTTGGCCACTTCTGGAATAATAATCCACTCGAAGATAGAGAGAACCAATCCACAAAATCTGATCTTGTCCCTCGAATAAGGAACCAAGTCAGAGACAGACACACTGAAAATTAAAAGCTGGTCTTTTTTTAATATAACTTCTCATTACCCTCATTAACATAATCGCACTGCACCCACCTGATCATCACCTTCTGAATCGCAAAAGCCTCCTCCCTCCTCATCGAATCGCTTCATGCTTCGACATCAAGAGAGAAGTAACAGTCTTATGACAAGATAAATAGATAGACAATGGGAAAATGGTAATTGCACCAGTTTTGCACGCAATTGACACATGATTCCCTTAGAATTCACGTGCCTTCTTTAACCTTTGTTCATGTTGGAATCCAAAATGTATAGATTCCGTATAAAGTCAAGTGGCAAAAGGGAAAAAAAGTTAAATATTTGCCATTTGAGTAGTGACCCTATATATACAAATTATGAATAAAAATCCCATAAGTTGGCTTGGAGCTTGAAGATCTTGTTAGGTCTTTGGATGGAAGATTATCTGTGGCACTGTTTGTTTTTTTAATTAAACTCAACAAGCAGGCGCACTCATAGGTCAACTTCGTGCTTTTTGCTGATGTGTCAACTGATGAGCAATTTGAACAACCGCGAGATACAGTGACAGACCATCAAAACATGGCAACCCAGAAAGCCAATAATATATGGCCATGTAAGCAGAGTAATGACCAGTGATTCGTAACAAGAACACCGGAATAGAACAGGCCCACATGGATAGGTCAGCGTAGGAAAAAGAAGGGGAGTGTATTGGCGATTTGGGTCGCCCCACTGTTGAAGAAGCTAAATTCCCCATGATTTAAGACTCTAAAAAACAACACAAGTGGTGTCCATCTCACGGAACCACCCCACGATGAAAAGCGAGATGGTGTCATATGGCACATCGTAAGTCGTAATGCACTGCTGTGACTATCATAAGAGATATCGGTGTTTGGCATATTATTGCCAGCACTTGGGATATTCCTAATCAACTGTTTATTTAACCTCGGATTCTGCTTGCCGTGTGCTTGCTTGTGTTGGCTGTGTGTCTGTTGCGTGCTTGTCCCTCTAAGCATCCTCTTTCTGGACAATTTCGATCGGTTTCAATTCTAACCCGTGACAGTTATAAGACATGTGATTAGTTTTAGTGTTGTTCATCGGTTACATATGAACACATGGTTTAGTAATGAGGGATTGTTGTGAAAATATCAGTCCATGTGCAGAGAGAATAAAGAAAAATGAACACTGATTTATTTAGAAAATTAAAGCCAATCATCAAATACTTAATAATATATAATTACCGTAGCACTAATTAACTCAGATTTTATCGATCTTATTTAAATTTAAATCTACCCATTGCCCCCTCAGATACAACTGATAATTATAACAATAGATAATGGATAGATTGAACTGATTTTACTTTTGCAGCCTGTCGTTCCAACAGGATTATATGCCCAGTCTTCATTCATTCGTTCATTTATTTATCTTATATTCAATGGGGTGCTCAAACAGTGAAACCTATTATATAATCACGTCCATAACTCATGGTTGAGTCGTCCGTCCGTTGCGTGCTTGCCCCTGTATGCTTTGAAAGCTTCTCTTTCTGGACGACTTCGGTTTCAATATTATTACCCGTAACAGTAACCAAAAAAGAGGAACCATGAGTGGGTTTCGCATGAAGGGATCTCACACTTCCTCTGCAGTTGCGATAAGCCGTTTCTAAAATTATGTGTGCTTGAGTTAAGTGGGAAGATAAAGATTACACTGCAAAAAAGTGAAATGGCGATATCATGATGCCATAAAAATGCAGCCGCAAACTATGCAGCAACCTTTTAACAGCTATTGGTTGATGATCGATATATCCTGAGTAGGATGCGGTTTTAGGCTTCTGTCTAACTCAAGAATGGGTTGCTTTATCTTAATAAATTGACAATTTTGTATTTGTTTAAGAAATTAGGGAACTTCCGAGGTAGGGGATACATGGATAAGTTCGTATAAAAATATCTGCATCTGAATGTAACGGTATGTTTGATGGGTCACGTGGCAGGGGTCTTGCAGAGCAAGTGTAAAGCCTGACTCGTGTCACTGAGGGATATCACGGCAGAGGTTGTTAAAAAGAATCCTGATAACGTAGTATATATTTGTAACCACCTCGATAATTCCCTCAATGACTACATATTCTCAACATGAAAGTGCGCTCTCACTTTTCTGCCTTTATTGCTCCATAATTAAACTATACAAAGCAAGGAACCAGAGTTCTTGAGAGTGCATGCGTAGTGGCAATCTAGTGTCGCATTAAGGAACTAGAAGACAAAACCCACCTCCCAATCCTCCAACTATATAAATCTCCCTGAAGCTGTCCAAACTTGAAGCCCAAGGAAAGGTTGGCACAGGGCACAGGGCATGCAGGAACAGAACCCATTTCCCATTGTAACCTTGCTGTTTTGAGAAGGCCTCATATCAGAGATTCACTCTTTGGTTACTTGCCCCGGTTCCCATGGCGCGCGGCCACACAACAACCCAGAGTCTCAACAAGTCGTGGATTCTTCTCGCAGGTAAATCAATATCCATATCTATCTGTATCAGTCATAGCTTGTTGCGGTCGGGTTGATGTACGGTGGTTGAGTATAGAAGGTTGTTTTCTCATATGCATGAGATGGATGCAGCCATTTCTGGGATAGAGAGGTTTGCCTTCAAAGGCGTGGCGTCCAATCTAGTAACATATTTGACCGATGTTATGAACCTCACGAACTCGTCGGCGGCGAAGATAGTGAACAGTTGGTGCGGGCTGACATATATTCTGCCATTGCTGGTGGCACCTGTTGCTGACGCTTATTACCGAAAGTATTCCACCATTACCACCTCCTCTTTCGTCTATCTTGTGGTGAGTCATCCTCCACAATTTTGTTTCCTCTTCTTATCATAACACAATCCTTTCTGCTAGCTCTTTTTTTGCCCCCCCCCCCCTTTAAGGCTCATGGGTTTCTTAATAGTTTGCTTGAAAGGGGATCCGTTATGCTAGTGGAAATGTGAGATTGTGCATCACGGGTCGTTCTTACTTCTTATTCCAACTCACGTTTCTATAATTCTACCCACTATTTTTCTCTGTTTAAATCTCTAGCCACCTCACGTTCATATTTTAATAAACATCAGTATCGGCCTTCAGGTTTTATAATCATTATTACCATATTAAATCATGCCTTGTCAAAATATGTGACTTCTGATTAAGTTTCTTGCGTGTATGCGATAATTCCAGCTACTTCTGATTTTATAAATACATGGGTTGGTAATGTTTCAGCTGGAAAATTTTCTGTCATAATGAGTTTTTGAAAAAAGATCACAGCTTTTAAAACATTGACCATAAAAATCATATTTTCTTTTAATATAAACTTTAAAAAATATAATCACTTCAATTTAACGTCCCACGTAAAAATATGTCCTTAAACATGTATATATCACTTGCATTCAATCAAGTCCATGCTTGCAGCTTGTCCCGAAAGGGGCACGTGTTACAATCAAATGGCAAGCTCGCCCTTCTTGATGATAACTTCCGTTACAACTGCAAAAAGCAATTTCATGAAATGAATTTTCTGCTTTTGACTTCTCATTTATCTTCTCCTCTAGACATGATGAACTATAGCATGAATTTTGATATAGGCAGGATGTTTTAATTGCGTGCTTGTGGCTGTGTTTGTTCATGTGCTCTGTTCAGGGACTTGCGGCATTGACGTCAACAGCAGTAGTAAGGTCAAGGCATGAGGGAAGCAAAAGAATCCCATCTTCTTTTCTCTTTTCGTCTCTCTGTTTGATCTCGTTAGGCCAAGGTGGATACAACCCATCTCTGCAAGCCTTTGGGGCAGATCAAGTTGACGATGACGAAGAATTGCCTTCTAGCAAAGAAGATAATAAGTCCAATAAGAAGACCGTGTTCTTCCAAGGCTGGTACTTTGGCGTTTGCAGTGGAAGTCTGTTAGGTGTCATCATCATGTCCTATATCCAAGATACTTTTGGCTGGGTTTTAGGTTTTGCCATTCCTGCAGTGTCAATGGCTGTGTCTATGTTGGTGTTCTCATGCGGAAGCCCCATATATGTGTATAAAGACAGTGAATCTGAGACAAAGAAGCCCTCGAACAACATAGTTCAATCTATAAAAGCTTATGCATCGAAGTGCTTCTATCCTAAAATTACTCTGCCGAAAGAGGAGTCTGAAGTAGAAGAGATGGAGTAAGTTACCATTTCTCCTTTGGAAAGTTTTGTTCATAATTTACTGTTAAATTAAATTGTGCTTCTTTTTTTCTGGGGTGAAATAGGCTTCAAGAAAAACCTCTCTGCCGTGAAAACAAGGAAAACTTGAGGGAGTTGAATGATAATTCTAAAAGCAACACAGTTATAGTAGCAAACTCCAAGGTTGTGCTGAGGCTAATCCCCATATGGACAATGCTTCTCATGTTCGCAGTAATATTCCAGCAACCTCCGACTTTTTTCACAAAACAAGGCATGACGATGAAGAGAAACATTGGGGAAATCAAGATCCCGCCAGCCACACTTCAAAGTGCTATCACACTGTCCATAATAGTACTGATGCCAATGTATGACAGAATTTTCATACCAATTGCTCAGCTGATCACCCATCAGGACAAAGGCATAAGCGTGACTCAAAGAATGGGAATTGGGATGGCTCTCTCAGTGGTAGCCATGGTGATCGCAGCCATGGTGGAAGTGAAGAGGCTAGAGATTGGAAGGGAAATGAGAGAAGCAGGATCAAGGTCGGAAACCGTGAATTTGAGCATATTCTGGTTGATACCACAGTACGTTCTGCTGGGAGTTTCAGACATCTTCACAGTGGTGGGAATGCAAGAGTTTTTTTACAGTGAAGCTCCAAAAAATATGAAAACGTTGGGGATTGCATTGAATACAAGTGTGTATGGGGTGGGAAGCTTTGTGAGTGCTTTCCTGATCAGTGTGGTTGAAGTAGCGACAAGCTCAAAAGGAAAACCAAGTTGGTTCTCTGATGATATGAACGAGGCTCGCCTTGACAAATACTATTGGCTACTTGCCACCTTATGTGGACTCAGCTTGTTTTTGTATGCATTGTCATGTAAATATTACCTCAACAAAAAGTGATTCTCGTAGTGTATGCATTGTCATGTAAATATTCCATACGTAACTTTTCTCTTCTGTTCACCGAGCCATATCTACACAGGGCATTACCATCTACACGTCCTGTTTCTAGCTAGCGATTTCTATCTTATTAAATTGTAGATCCTCTCTTAAATTCTTCACACACACACACACACACACATCTTCATACTTCTTTGTTATAACCCTAACATTATTTTATTTATACTTTCAGCGTGTAAATAATAAATAAAATAGCCTTTTTCTCGTCCCATGCAGACTCCTTCAAATAGACAAGCAAAAATTAATATTTTAGTACATATATAAAATAAAATTTTTATAAGATAAATGTTATTCAGAAATCATAAATTAAGTGATATGTTTTTTTTTAAAAAAAAAAACTATACAGAACATACTCTTTGCGTTCCGTTTTGTCTAAAACTAGTGAATCACTCGCTTTTTTTAACTGATTTTAATTCTACTCAGGAGATTAGGAATAACTTATAACAAAATACTCCCCTCGGTTCATAATGTAGAATCTAATTTAAGATTTGATATTGATTCTCTATCTAAGACATATTTCATATTTTATCAATTTTTTTCAAATTAACCCATTGATATTTCTTCAATAATAATCAAATAGAAAAAGAAGTGAAGACATTAAAAAAGATTATTTGAATGTTTTTAAAAAAATTATATTAATTAATTTAATTAACATTGTTATTAATTTATTTAAATTAATTAATTAAATCATATACTAGCACCCAATGTGAGATGAGGGACTGTGAATCCATAGGATAGGAAAGCGTGCATGCATGGGTAGGCATCGTGGAGAACTGATAGATCCATGAATGCGGAGGTCAAGTGACACCGCACAAATTTCAGGATGGGGGTGTCACTTGGTGCACCACTTTGATATTCCCTGAATGGAAATATTATATATATATATATATATATATATATGACAAAGAAGGAAAGGTAAACGAATTTGGATTTTCCGAAATAAAAGAATAATTAAAAGATAAAAGAAAAAATGTCATAAGAAAAAGAGAGAAATTAAAGACGTTACCACCAAAATGAAATTGTTATTTTAGGTAGTGATTAGTATGAAGATAATCCTGTTTTCAATAGTTCTCCTGTTGTGGGCGCCAAAGCCGATCACGGAAGCAAGCGCGGTTGCCAAATAAGTCTATAAAGATTTCAGAAAAATCATTATTTGGTTATTATTTTTCTTTTCCCTTTGCATGAAACAAAGTTTGGTTATGAAATGATTTTGAGATGCGGCAATTAATGGATGGTTGAGTTGGGTTGAGTTGGGTTTGAGTCTCCGCCACTACCACCAAACATAAATGGGTGAATTCCAGCTGTGTCGCGGTTGCACCACATACTCAGCTTGCCCTCCACGCTGTCTTCCACTATCCTCTTTTCCTCTTTTTTTCCTTGTTTTCCCACTTCCCTTCCCCTCTTTTTCTCTCCCATTTAATTCCCTTCTTCCTTTCATTTATTATCCCATTCATCCACTTCACCTACCCACCCACCTGTCTTAATTAATGTCCCTTCATCTTGTTATTATCATAAACATAATAATCATATCATCATTTTCTCATCCAGTCCAAATGAAATCCCCAAGTATCAATATCCACCACCCTTGTGCTAACTCTAAATAACACCCAGCACTATCATGTGCTTCAAGTTTGAATTTTTTTCCTTTTTTTTTAATGTTTCTTATTGACCTGATCACCACTCACCGCCACTAACAAAATTTTATTTTGAAAAATCTTTGACATCCCGTAGATCAGTGTTCTATGTTGGTATCTCATTAAAATAATGGAGTTTATTTATATCGGGAAAAAATAATCATAGTAGCAATAATGAGGGAGTAGATAACGTACAATCTTCTGCCTCTCCACCTGTACCCCCTTTCCAAGCGTGTTGGCTGTGGAGGAAGGTTCCCACTTCTCACTTCTCACTATAAATGGGGATTCCACAGTGACAAATACCCAGCATTACTCACATCCTCTGCTGCAATCCTTGTGTTCACCGAAGGATTAGGAAGAAGCAATGGGTGGAGGCAATGGTCAGAAGTCCAAGACGGCTCGTGAGAGGAACATGCAAAAGCAGAAAGCCTCTAAAGGTTCTGCCATATCTTCTTCCTTATGCTTTTCTCTGGATTTTAATTTCCCCGTGGAATTTGGAAACCTTCTTTCATTCTGCTTTGATTTCTCAACAACCCTCTTCTCCTATGCCTGATTTTCTCCTCAATCTCTTGTCTGTGTTTGCAACACGCACGCCTATGACGATTCGAGTTTAATCATGCGCAGCACCCAGATGATGCTTTTTTTTTTTTTTCTCCTTTCAACAGGAAGTCAGCTTGACGCCAACAAGAAAGCCATGTCGATCCAGGTACTAATCCGATTGCTCCTGCTTCCTCCCTTCTCTGTTATCAATTTCTGACTTTTCTGTGTACATCTCTCTCTGGAAAAACTATCGAGCTAGCCGAATCAAATCTTGCATGAGTTTCACTGTTTGAACTGTGAATTTGAAAAGGCATTAGGATTAATCACTGGTTAATCCATTGTGCAGAGCCATCAGCGATACAAATTTATTAAGATCTGCTGGTGAAAAAATATATAAATATATGAAGCGAATCCAAACATCCGTTTTAATTAATGTTAACATATTGGTTGGATTTTCACCCAACTGTGCCTGTGAATTTTGATCTGATTATATATGCATGCTATTAACAAAAATCAAACCAGTTAAAGTAGATATATGTGTGAAATTGTATTTCCACATTGTTATTGCGTGGATTAATGTTACCAACTTGATTGATCTCTTCTTAAAGAAAGAAGTTTGAGATTGGAATTATGAGATGAAGATGTATGGCTGAAAAGGTACAGGATAATGTGTGTGGTTTGAAGTGAACTGATGAATTGGGTATGTGAAATGAAGTGCAAGGTGTGCATGCAAACATTCATTTGCACTACATCAGAAGTGAAGTGCAGGGAACATGCAGAGGCCAAGCACCCCAAGTCTGATGTGTACGCATGTTTCCCCCATCTTAAGAATTCAACCTAACTTCTCTACTCTCTTTGTAATTTTATAGCCCAAAGCTTCCCAGACTGCGATCCTTTATATATGTGGTATGTAATGACTATTACAGATATTCTTTTGATAAACCCGGCTTCCACTGCGTTCACTGGATTATAGATCTGCCTAATTAGTGTTACCTGAAGACTTCTGTGTCCCAGACGCCTCTGAGCTCAATAATATTTTCAGATGGATTCATACATTCTTGCTTCTTCTGCGTCTAGTTATGCTCTACATTGTAATTAATGCTTAATGACTTGCTTCTGCGAGTAAGCCAATTCATGGCTGAGACGATCATTTACTCACTCGCTTGAATTAACGTAACGGATCACTCTCTATACAAGAAGAGGATGAAACAAGTCAATGATGAATTTTATAGAGTATGACTAGATACATGCCTCTGGTCCTGGCTTTTTCTTCATGTTTCGCCACAAAAAACAAAAAAAGAAGGTGCATGCCTCTTTGAACAAGAACCCAGTGGCTTCTCTGTGTGCTTTATTTTGTCTATATTTTCTTTTCTGCCTGATATATAGATTGAGATTACAGATGGATTTAATTTTAATCATGGTCTCACAATAGCGTAAATCTTATAATGATTGATAAATCTATCTCGATCTTCTTGAGAATACGTGGCTTTTAGGGACCAAGGGAATTGGGAAAAATGTTTCGCTCGCCAGCATGATTTCTTCGTGAAAAATTGTTTATCTTCCAATTAAAATTAAAAGAATATATATAATAAAATCTAGGGCAAACGTGGAGAAATTATAATAGAAAATCTATTCTAGTTTGAGCCCAGCAAAGGATCCATCTGATCTAATGTGGTTCATTCCCTAATCCCCCATGTGAACTAAAGCAGGACATAAAACTGTCTTGTTATATCTATTACTACTAATGGTTATGTTAAACTAGATGTGAGACTATGTATTCATGCAAGTTCCAGAATAAATTCCCCTGATGGATACAGATTATAACTTTTATGGACGTAATGATTGATGATATATTTAATTAGCCATTAAATTGCATGAGTTATCGATAGGCAATGGCAAAAAAAGAACAAGAAAATAATGAGTTATGGGCAACAATTGAATTCGGAAACTTTTGAAGGGCTTTCTTTTTCTTTTTCTTTCCCTTTATCAAATGTTGAAAGTTTGAATTCTGGAATATCCTGTTGGATCATTCCTAAAATCTTGGGGCTGAGAGGGCAAGAACTCGAAGGGTGCATTTGTGGTTGGGCTTGAAAATCTGGGAAAAAGGAAAAGGGGGACATGCATGGCCGATGAAATCCAGAATCCAAAAAGTGAACACCAATCATTATATTCCACGTGTTCTTACTCCACATCAACGCTTCCTTCTTCCCTTATTTATCCTGCGGATCTTTTCAGACGTGAACTTTCTTGGAGGAGGACCAACAAAAACGAGGGTGCGCATATTCTGGACACAAGCTTCGTCTCATACTCTCATCCTCACTTGGTCGCTCTCTCACCCTTTATCTATAGGATATCGGTTCCTTCCTTTTTTCCCCCATTTTTATTACCATCGTCGCCATCTTTTCAAGAGTTTCATACAATGTTTACGGTTAACATCGATTTTTTGAAGCCGCTTTGTTTTATACTTTTATATCTACAGAGTGGTGTTGGATCAGACATTGGTGAGGCGGTGATCTGGTGAGGGAACCTCCTCTCGCCGAAGCCGATGAAGTGGCGTGACAAGATGATGGATCCCCTGCGAAGGGCTTACTCTAACGTCACTACTCGCTTCGGCATTCGCAAATCCAGTTAAGGTTTTTTTTGTTTTTTTTGGGGATTCTGTGTTTTGTCGGGCATCCTCCATAAGTGTCATTTGTTTCGTTGAGTTCGACAATGATACATGTTTGACGATTCTCACACTGCATTCCTCTGGTTTCATTTTAGGGGTTCTGTTTATGGGAACCCTGTGTTGCGAGGAATAATGCGAATTATTAACCGAAGATGGTCTCTTGATGGATAATGTGCAGGGTTACTCAAACTTCAACATGATGTGAGGGCCTGTGACTATGAGGATATACAAATAATGTGGGAGATGTTGCAGAGAAGTGAAGGCGAGCTTGCTGACTCTGCTTTGAAGCACAAGAAGAAGAACAATGAGAAGATGTTCAAGTGTGCTAGGTGTGCTTCCTTCAGTTCTGTCTCTAGTTGACAATGTGCCCACATGGGCTTCCCTCCTGTTATGTGCATTTTGTGTAAATAAATTAGGAGAAGGAATTAAGAGTTGAGATGATTCCATGTATATCCCATGGCTTCCTCTGAATCAAGCCAACCCTCTGTGGATATAAGATATTAGCAGCCCCACATCCATGTTCATTTCTTGTCTTGTGGCGCATTTTCACCAGTACCTATATGCTCTACCAAATAAAATGGTATATTACTTATTATGCATATCTTCTGTTCTTTGTCTTTTTATCAAATTGTCGTCCTCGTTCCAAACCCTTTAATGTTGTTTTATCATTATTTTGCATCCACTGGTTATTAATCACGAAGCGCTGGCAAAGTGTTCAACAGGTGATTCTAAGTGAAGGCAAAGTTAGATCGATATTGCTTGTTGCGATGTGCAATATGTCATTTTATTGGGTATTTCTGCCTTGCTAATTCCTATTTCGGTTTTTTTCTCAACCTACAAAAAAAATATCCCTCTTTACTTTTGAGATTAACAATGTGGGGTGCTTGGTTTCCCACAGAAATGCTTTTTAAAAGTTTTCTTTTTTAAATCGAGATAAACTTTTTATATATTTACTTAATATACCTGATATGTCATAAAATTATTTTAAAATCATGATTTAATTTCTATCCAAATATCTTCATAATATGATTTTCAAGGTATTGGCTTTTAATCAAATGGTAGACGTTGTTGCATGCCATACTGAAAATTTTTATTTTCTTTTGCCCATTTACGAATTTCAATTGTCCTGCAACATATCTTATTGTTTGATTATTCCAATCAATTTTTTGAACCCATGCAACGGCTAACATCATTCCTTTATATGAACGATCGCTAAAAAAATGAAAAGTACGTCAATAAAAAATAAGCTAATTCAATTATTCATGCCCATTATTAAAACCCAGTTTGATCAATTGTCGTCTTCACTGAAAGAATCTATAATCTTTAGTATGATTAAAATAACAGTGGTGGTTATTGAGTATATCACATGGCTTTTCTGCAAATCATGTAGAAGCCAAATTCTCAAAAAAGGAAGGTGGAAACCCAACATCTACCATTTCCTCGCAGAATTGCCAAAAGATGAAAATGTGATGATCAGAGCAGTGAGGACTACTTTTTCTTTTTTTTGGTTGTTAATTACTTGAGTACTTGTTGCTGCACCACCAAAACAGATGCTGAACTTTCAAAATCTGGTGAGGCAAGCAAATCTCCAATGACACCCAACTCCTCAAACTCACACCAATCTTTAAGTCCCGTAGTTACGCTACTGTCAACATCATGCCTCCTCCCGACTATAAAGAAGTCATGATCATCCACCAGATCACGAATAACTGAGGCAATATCTGCTCCAATCTCTGTTCTAATTTCCCTGTAACTCACGCGTGAACCAAAATGTCCTTCCGTAACATCCTTGAGCACAGCATTGTCCAATAATTTCTCCAAGGTGGACGATTTTGGGTTGTCTTTCTCAGGAATATGGTACACAACTAGCCTAATGTGAGGGTTTAAGCATGCTCGTTTGGCTAAGCACAAGGCCTCTCGATCATCTTTCCCCCCGAAAAAGATAACAGCCAAATGCAATGACATGTGTGGGTCACTTGGAAGGGATGCACGGTTTACAAGGATCCCAACTGAGCAAGGAGCTCTCTCTAGGACACTACAATTCAAAGACCTGATATTCTTGTCTTCAGATTCAATGGAGCCATCAATGGACCATCTTCGATGGAATGGAAGTATTATCATGGATGCAAGTTTGTCCAGTGCAAGGTAACAAACATCTTCATGCATGTAGCTAAAAGGAGATATGGCTGTGTAAGTGTTAGCTGATACAGCACCTGGGCTCTTCCCATGTTCATAATTCTGAAAAGACATGAACACATTCTCAGAGTACGAATTTGTCAGGCCCATGTCTGCATCTCTTTGACGTTGATGGGAGATAAATATGGGTTGGCAGCGCCCAACTAGCTCGATCAAGTGCAAGGCATCCACAACAATGGGATAGTCGTGTGCTGGATAACAAAGATCAAGGAAATGCATGATACCAGAGAGGTGGTATTGTTTATGAATACAAACAAGCAAACGAAGGTCTGAGTTAGGTTTCAAATTCATGATGTTCCTTTTCTGAAAGCCGGCATACTTTCTTGCAGGATCATACAGACATTTCACAGATATTTGCGCAATGGTTGCCATAACCATTACACTAATCATCATCACGCCATAAGTTTGGGCGTGTATTTGCTGCTCATATCATTAAGTTAAAAAAGACTTGGTTAGTGATATAGAAAAGTCAAAAATTAAAGACAATGGTTATATGGAAAAGGGTGGTCTGGGGAGAGAATGAAGTACCTTTCTATCGTAAATGGAATTGTAATTGCCTACATCCACCACACCTTTGCAATTCAAGATAAGAGCAAGAGCCAAAGCATCATTGAAGGGCATCTTGCAATAGAGTGAAGGTGCCATGCATGCACATATTTTGATAAAATGGACTACAATGACGGAAGAGCCAATAATAAAAAATGACCATAATGTATTATCCAATGAGAGATCAGCTTTCATCACACTGGTAGTCACAAAGATGGGTAAGAGGAATGATTTCCCAATCAATTCGAGTTGGGTAACCAGTGCAGATCCTAATGGGGGTCCCTCTGGCACAGACAAGCCCAAGATAAAAGCTCCCAAAGCAAAGGCTTGATCTGATCTTGACAAAAGCCAACATAATGCAAATAGCAATGCAACGATGTTATAAATGTAAACTTGCTTCACGGGTCTACCCTCTGGTGTATGCCTTACGATCCAGAACAATGCTGGACGAAATACCAGTGGAATGAATATAATTGCTGCAAACAAGGAGCCCAAGGTTGCATAGATCTTTGTCCTACCCATGATGCTACTGACAATGGCCGTGGCAAAGCTCGTAAAGCTCGTACTCAGCACGTCACTCACCAATGCTGAGGATAATGCTAGCCTACCAAGCTCTGAATTTAGGATTTTAAGATCATTGAGGAAGGCTGCAATAACTGAAAATGAAGTTACGCTGTGTGACACAAAGACAACAGGCAAGCTTGGATAATGGTCTCCAAGAGCAGCTACTAATGGCTTCTTTAAGATGACAAAATGTAGCAAATATCCCATGCCAATAGGCATGATTAATCCGGTAAAGCCAACGATCCATGACTTTCTTCCTGTTCTTCGTATCATGGTAAAATCCATTTGTACTCCGTACAGAAAGATGAACAGTGCATAACCAAGTGATGAAATTGTTGCAAGAGTATCTTGACTCCCATAAGGAAACAATAATTTCTTGTACTTGTCTAATGGCTCAAAATGAATCGAAGGTCCCAAAATAAAGCCAGCCTACAAAACAAAGAGAGATAATTTTGTCATCCTCGCATTTTATGAGATTATTCGTTTTGGTGATCATCATTTTCACGATATTATAGAGAGAACAGGGGAAAAAAAGAAACAGAGAGACGGGTGCTTCTGATGTGAGTATTTAAATTTTGGCTTCAACAACATAACATCAAACGGAAGCAATGAGAAAAAGGACTCACCATCATTTGCGAGAAGAAGAGGGGAAATCCCAGGCGTTTGAAGAAGAAATGACATGCATGAGTGATTGCAAAAATCACAATCACCTGTAACTCAAAAATTGGATAAGAAGATTTTAACGGGGAGGCAGAATGTTGGTGGCTTCCCCATATCCCATCAGAAGAAATTCGAGGTGGAATATTAATGCAAACATTATATATTGTATGATTAGGGGACGAGAAGAGCACATCAACTTGAGAGAATAATGTATCATTGGGATTCATATTCGAAATGCCCCGATTCTCCCTCCAGAAGGAGGGGAGGGAGAAGGGGGAGAAGAGAGATTATGCAACAATACGAAGAACAAAACCTGACTTTTGAAATTGCAGGTAAGCAAAAAGAATATATAAAGCCGTTGATTCTGAAAGATCACCCAAAGATCCATAACAAATTTTGTTTTGAGTGGATATTGTGTGCCGTTTCAATATGTGACAGCCAATATAATTACTTGTTTTAGCTGATCTCTTCTGGATTATTTTGTCTGCAAAAAATAAAAGCATTCCTGATCTCCAGAATGTATTTGCTTAATTAAGCATTATTTTGCTAATTAATTCCTAACAACTTGGTGATTTTGGGTTCAAGTTATAGCTAAACATCAATCAAATATTCCCCCAGTCATTTTTTGTCGTCGTATAAAAATATTCCTGTTTTATTTGAGATTGCCGAGGAAATTAATATTCATAATTTATTTATATCATATTTAATGAAAAAAATAAATGTTATGATATTTTTCTTGCCCCAAAAATTCCTGGTTTTCTCTCAGGTAACTATTTAATCAAGAGATAGATGAAACAAAAGAGAAAAAAAAAAAACTAAAATGAATGTGATTATAAGATTAGGAATTTATTTTTATTTCTTGCTGGGCCATTCTTAGCTCCACCAACAAAGAAATAGTTGTGTTGCTGGTTGGGCTTAGGAGATATAGGCCACTTTCTTACGTGTAAATATTATATAAGCACATGATTTAGGGTTTATAGAGGCGCTGTGCAGGAACGATTGGAAGAGAAGCTGTGCCTGGATCCGCTAAGTGAATCATGGGACATTCAAACGTCTGGAACTCCCATCCGAAAAACTACGGTCCCGGTTCTCGGACTTGGTTTGTTTTCCATCTTCACTATCCAATTTATTTCTCCCTTTCTTCCTTCAAATTTGGCCCATAATATGCCTAGGTTTCCAATTTCTTTTGTCAATATTATTTGGAAGATCATGATGTTGACTCATTGAAATCATTGCTCTGTTTGTTTTTGAGCAAGATGGAACTTTCTATTACTAAATTTCTAAAATTCATTTTCACTATTTACTGCCCACTCATGGATTGTATGCTTCAGGTGAATTCTATGGTTCTCAATGTCCTTCTCATTTGTTGAGAAGCAAAGTAAAATTATTCGCTGGTAGATTATCAGCTGCCTCCTCTTGGGACATATAGTATCCTTGTGCTAGCATAACTATGAAGTTCTAGCAGGGGTACTTCAAATGTCATGTTTAATGCTTTCAACTTTGGTTCAATTTTGGGCCGGGTCAGGTTCAGTTGGGTTTAGGATTTTAGAGTAAACTTATTTATACTTGCATTCTCATAATCTCTAAGTCTTTGCGTATTTTCTCTTAAATGGTTCAAATCTGTAATCCCACACTAAATAATCTTTCGCAAACTCGGAGTTAAGAACTCAGCTATACTGACGAGTCACTAACCCCTTAATTTCGTTACAAACAAAAAATCTAGCCCAGGACCCAGAGTCTCAGATAAATGCATGATGACAGCTGCAAACAAGAAGTCACTTTCTAACACATGCTGTTGATTCTTATTGAATAGTGTTGATTGGAAAAAAATCTGCAAAACTTTCAAAATCAATATATAAGGTATAATATAATTTTTCATCTGTTTTCTTTGAATTTGGTTAGATGGGGAAAATATGTACAGATGGTATGTGCTAGAAAGTCGAAACATCTGTCAGAAGTTTCCTAATCAAGCAGTGGTTTTGTTGCTGATATTGACACATCTTCATGACAATTTGATTGCGTGTGACTGCTCCATTGAAAATCCTGTTCCCGCTTTGGTTTGGCTTTGGTTCCATTCAAACGGAGCCAAACCATTAAAGACTGATAGTCCCACTGATTAGGTTGTTTACGACGTGTGAAATACCAATTCGGACCTATATATTTTGGTTTTGATTTATTTTAGTTCAGTTTGGTCCGCATCATTTGAGATGCTATTTTGAGATATCGCACTTTTGATGTCACTAATATGTGAGAATTTGTTACTGTGCAGCCGAGTCTGTGGGAACCCCCATGGGTTGATCAGGAAATATGGCCTGATGTGCTGCAGGCAGTGCTTCCGTAGCAATGCAAAGGAAATTGGGTTCATCAAGGTATGCTCATACTGGGGATGTTGGTGGTTATATTGAGGTGTAATTTTGTGAATCATCTGATCTGCATGGTTTGGTCTTTCTGGTATTTCTCTATTGTGTGAGAACAGTCCAGTTGATTGGATTGTGCGGATCTTTCTGACGTGTATATGATTGATTTATTTTCAGTATCGCTGAAGTTTGATCGCATCAGAGGGGGGTAATTTAGGTACAATCTGAGTTATGGTTAGGAGGAGCTGCTGGCTTTTTGATTGTGTCCATTTGGAGTAATTTCCCTTTTTTTTTTCCAAGTGTTTACGAGATTTTAGTTTCTCGAGGGATTAATTAGGATTTATATTATCTTGTTTGGATTATAGGGCATATGGAAATTTGTCTTATTTATTTAAGGTGTGGGCCATGGTCCATGACAAAATATAGACATAATGGTTCATGACATGCATAATGGTCAAATATGACAATATTGCCCTTTTCCTCCATTTTTTTGGAGTTTAATTTCCCCTTCTTATTTGTGTTTACAGGGCAATGATTTCCCTCTTTTAAATTATTTAGTTTATTCAGCATGTTAGACTGGCCAAAGTTTCTCCCAAACAAATTATTTGATGAATAGTCAAGTTCCTTTACTCTGCTTTTATGAAGTATAGATAGGCTTATTATTATTTATAGCAATTCAGATTTGAGCACAGTGACAGTATGTTAGAAACAGGATTTCTCACTGCTCGAGAGAGAGAGAAGACAAGGGCGCGGGGACTAGTCCTTCAAGCTCAATGGAACCCACCTTATCTCTGGATCTGTTTCATCTCCTGTTTCTTTCCATCCACCTCTCTCTTCAATTATTCTGTTCGCCTGATCAGTTGATCCTGGCTTCGATTTCTCAAGCCATACTCGTGAAGTAATCTCTCACGCCCAATCAATACTTATTTTGAGATTAAAATTCGATGGGAATCAAGTGTGATCGTGTTGACTTGTCGATAAGAAGATATGCACGGTTTGGATTGTGAAAGTAAAACAAGATAAAAGCATGGAAAGTTAACCGGTAAAATGAAGCCGAAATATCTAGAATTTAAAATGGCGGCAACGGGTGGAATTAAAATTATGTAGAATGTGCAGGTCTCGCTACTGCCATAAAAGGAACAACTTCTGAGGTGCATGAATTGGAAACTTGGGACGGATCAGGGGGAAACATTGAGCGATGTTTAATTTGGGGCTCGCGAAGCGAAGAAAGCTAAGAAAAATAACTAGGCCGCGATTTGAGATTTTACTACACGTTGTACTTAATATAGAAACTTGTTTGATTTTTATCTGGTTCTAAATATAAGACTTTAATTCACTTTATTTTATATTTATATATTTTTTGTTTAAGACAATCCTTCTAACAATGATGATTCTAGCCAATACACTTTATTAGTAAGGATATTTTAGAAAAGACAATATCTATTTATTACAAATAATTAACTTAATTTATTTCTTTAATTTTTTTTAAATTAGTTAATTTACTTTTATAATTAGAATTGGAAGTAGTAGTGTTTTACATTATTTTTTTGGTGGGAGGTTCAGCAACAGGGCAAAGTCGTTTTCTGCTTTCCAGTCACTCTGTCATTTGGACACGTAACTTTATTTGGTATTTGTTGTTTTCACCCACTTCCCAGTTCCCACCTTGTGTTTAAATTTTTGCTTGTTTTGGACGTGTTTGCGCCCATAACTGTACGCTATCAATAATTGTTTCTCCAATCTACATGCAATATCTGTATTTGTAGATATCATATTATATTGAATTTTAGTGCAATGAATAAAAATAATATTAATTTGGCGACAAAAATAAAAATAATATTAAATATTACTAAAATTTTATAATGAATTTAATATTTTTAGCTATTTCTATTCATACGTTGAATTAGTTAAAAATAATTGATAGAGTATATAAATTATTTATTTGTTCTAAGAAGAGTTTAATACATAAAGGTCGAAGAAAAGTGTTTAATATAATATATTACTCCAGTTTTAAATATAAGATCTAATTAACTAATTTGAGTAGATTAATAATATTAGTTAAGTTAGTTAACATGATTTTTTTTAAACATCCTAAGCACTTTTTTAATTTCTTTCTTTTCTTTTCTATTTGATTATTGTTAGAAGAATATCAATAAGTTAATTTTTAAAAAAAATTATAAACATATAAAATAAATATTATATATAGGATTAATATTAATTTTTTAATTAGTTTTTATATTAAGGCGTGGAGGAGTAACATCGGGGGAGGGTAAAGGGGGGTAAACTGGGAAAACAAAGCAATGATTGAACGGATGGGGAGGAAGCGGAGAAAGAAGATGCGTTGGGTTGAAGCGGAAGAGGGGGTAAAAGGATAAAAAAGGACAAAGAAAGAGAAATGGCTCGTGAACGAAGAATGAAGCTCCCCGAAGCCTTGTGTGTAGTGTGAGAAAGGGAGAGCGCGCATAATGCCATGATAACCTTAAATCTCTCGCCTTCCTTTTTGTTTGAACTCCGAAAAGTAATCATGATGACCTCCAGCCTGCGTCGCCTTCTCCGCCGCCATCACTGCTTCTCCCCGTCAACCAAAACGACATGGCTTTTGCCTTCCCGGGCAGCTTGGACATGTCACCTGCACATCAAGCAGCGCCCCCACCCATCGCCTCCTCCTCTCACCACCTTCCTCACTCCTCAACCCTAGCTAGCTCCCATCTTCTCTTCCATCCATGTCCTCCTGGGGAATCAAGCGTCCTGGTCCGATCATATAATACATTCTTCTTCTAGCTACTTTCTGTTTTCTTCCTTTTGTAAGCCAGCTTGTCCGTTACTGATGCTATATCTCCAATGAAAATCTGGGTGTCTTAATTTCTTTCTTGTGTGATTCTGTCTCTGTCTACTAGCTATCAGAGAGAGCCTCCTTTGAGCCACTCGACTGTTGTGTTTTTTTCACCAGCTTGTCTGTATCTGAACTTTTAATATGGATATTTCTGTGCTGCTCATGTACACATCTCATCCAAGTTTTGTGCCTTTTTACATATGTATCGAAATATATAGTTGATTTGTGAGAATTCAGAAGCTAATATATATATATATATATATGTGGCTAGTTCTGCTTCTGCCTTAATTACTTACTCTGTTTTGCTTCGACTTGAAATGATTCTCCGGAAATTAATTACTTCTCAGGAGAGATAACAAGGAGTGAGTATGTATGGGTATCATCTATTTGTGTGTGTGTAGCCACAGCAAACTTTGCTTTTATTAATTCCCTTGGCTCTTCAATTCTACACACACTGGATCAATATGAATAATATCTCATTAGAAGGATATGTGTTTTGAAAACCCAGACCCCAGCGGAGTTCGAATTTCTTATTTTGATTATATGCATTGATCTCCTTTTTTTAACTGGGGCTTATTAGGCGCACATATATATTAGTTACTAAGATGAGCATCTAAACTGGTCCTGCATGCCAAATTATGACCATCAATTTACTATCACTCGTAATATTCTCTCTGGTTTTTTTTTTTTTTTTTGTTAAGCGTTGGAGCTGAATAATGAATGTGCAGAAATTAAAATATTGTTGTCCAAATACATCCTCAGAGCGTTAGGACGATTAGGTGCAGCTTTTTCCGCATGGCGCGAAGACCAAAAGGTTGTCATCATCGATATATTGAAAGGACAGTTACGTGATTAACTTCCCCTCTTATATTTGTCAATGTTCAAATTTGGAACAGTTCTATGAAGCCCTAATACCGACTATTTACATAAATATGCAACCGGGGCATTCCCTTTCTTCATATTTTTCCAACAACCATTGATTTCGTAAATAGTGCACCTAATATTTTGAACTTATCATGAAATACAGCACCCTGTTTGACTGACATTAGTATAAAAGCTTGTTTGGCAATTCGGTGGCAGTGCATTTTGTTTGAGTAACATAAAATAGTTGAATATTATTTGTAGTCGTATCACGTTATATTATTAAATATTAATAATTACCGAAGCCCTTGTAAATAAACTTTGATTTTTGACTAAATGGTAAGTAATTAGTATGTCTTTTGGATAAAAAATAGAAAAAAGGGGAAAAAAAACTACAAAATCCCAAATCAGAAATTCTCACAAAAAATATGTTGTTATTTGTTAACTGTTGTCAAGACTTATTAAAATATTAGAATTGTTAAAGACAAAAGTCAATCTCAGTCCAATATTTTTGGCCATGTGTTAGAATGGGCACAATATACGCAAGGATCCTTAAGGTCTCTTTTAATATGAAGTATTAAAAATGAAAGGTAAGGATTAAGACTGAGATTAGAAAAAAAAACTATCAAAAAGCATTTAATATGAGTAATTTCTTGTTATGCTGGATTAGGCATTGCATGCAAGTGGGATTGGGAAATACCACCTCCCTTTATAGTATTCTCAAATCCTACATATATGAGTTTGACTAATCCTAAATAATAAGTAATTTTTCATACTAAACACTATTTAACATATTTTTCTAATTGCAACTATAATATTTATTTTTTATTTTTAGTGCTTCGTACTAAACAGGACCTAAGTATTTTGATTTGAACGTATCAAATAAACCACAGCACTGGGGCAACCGGAGAGAAGGACACTAAAGACTTGGGCTTATGGCTTAACAATGGCATAACCATTTATTTTATGGCCCGTTGCCTCTTTCTCCCATTTGTAAGTCAGTCAGTTTAGTTTATGCGGCCTGGCCTGCCAATTTAAAGCTGGTTTATCAGGGAGTTCACGGACGTAATTTCGCAACAGACCTGTTCTCTAATTTATTGTCAAAAATTTGATGCCGAAACCTTTCGCAAAATTGAGAACACAGTTTCTGGCAGTTGAATTGCTGCAAAATGAACAGAATCTACCAAGTCGATCGAAGCACGGTTAAACTACAGGAAATGATTGGTGCCACAGAACTGTAAACTTCAAAATTTCCTTAAACTTGCTCTGTAAGCCTGGAAAACACTTAGTGCCATGTATATATATACTCGTCTAATTCTAAATATAAGACTCTTATAGTAATATGTATAAAGGTCTTATATTTAGGACCAGAGGAGTATATTAAAACAAAACCGAAGGCAAAGAAGAATTCAATATATATTGAGTTCTATGAACGTAATTATTAGCATTCCAAACATATGTTGAATGCATTTTGAAAAGGAATTGTTATTCCCTGCCATCAAATTGTACAATAATGACTAAGCACCTATGGTAGACATCACATCCGATAAGCACATACAATACAAGTATGATCTTACTGCGTCCTCAGAAGATTTTAACAAACGGAGTACTAGAAGATGAGGTGCTTTGTGCCCTGCCTTGGGAACATTGCTGTCCATTAGTTCTCCAAGGCAGAGCAGCCAAGAATCGATCCTTCCAACTCCCATTTGAAGGAGCTTCAGGTGATGACAAAGAAGAAGAGGTTCCTCCTTTACATGCGTGGTCCGCAGGAAAGCGATGCCTGAGGCACACCTTCAGGTGGCAATTTTTACAAGTGCAGGTATTAGAAAACGTCAAAACCTCCTTGCATCTTCTTACAGAACAAGTGGGCTTCTTCTTCTTGCTGGGGTCACACATTCCAGATCTGTCATGCTTCTGCAATATAGCCTTCTCGTCGTCTTCATTATAACCAGTGGTCTCAATTGACATGGAACATGTTGGACAAACCACAACCTTCCTGCTCCGATGGTGTGATTTAGGGCAATTGTGGGACTTGTAAGATCTATGTTCCAAACAGAAAACCTGCGATTAAAAAGGGGAGGAAAATGTGAGGACGCCGAGAATTGAAGGGATGGAAATTAAGGGAGGGATTTTTCTTGGAGGGAAACCTGAGAGCAAGCGTCGCATGTGAAAGGGAGAAAATCGAGTTGATTGCAATCAACGTGATGGCAGTGTGATCCCAAATCCGGGAAGGCTTCGGTTCCACCTGCCATGGCAGGTTGATTGCTTCGAGGACGAATGAGTTATGAGAGGGGGGATGAAAGGAAGGCGTTCGTATCATTTATATGTTTGGGGAAGGGCTTGGGGCCTAAGGCATGTCCAGGCTGCCTGGCTGGCCAAGGCGCGTCAATGCAACCTTCAATCCTCCATGAATTTCTCTGTTTGGTTGAGACTTCAGAGATCAGTTTATCATTTTATCCATTCTCTTCCATCTTTTATATTTTTTCTAAATTTTTTGCCAACATATTTTTTCAGATTAAAACAATAAAACATGATAAATAAACATTTTTTAAATAATAAAGTGATTGATATATTTTTTAAAAATTTACAATAAAAAATTGATTAATTTTATGTTAATGCTTCCATTAACATGGGCCTTCTAGATTCCCCATACTTTTTATGTTTTCTTTTAAGTATCACTAGTTTTTTTGGGCTAATTATTAATTTCTTAATTAAAAATATTAATTTAGATTAAGTTCCTTTAAATGCGGGCGTGCAAGTATGCAGGAGGCATAAAGTAAGGGATAGACGTTAAAAAAAATAGCAAGAGAAGAAAAGTGATCTGTCGATAAATTGAAAGAATATAAAAGTGAGAAAGACATAAATTTTTTTAAAAAAAAAAAACTGGAGATAATGAATTATTTCTATTAAAGTAAATTACAATGACACATACCTGTGCATTAGAGGTAATTGATTGTTTGGATTTTGGGAGGCAAACAGAGATGCTTTTATTTTCGGGTCACAGGGAAGGCTGGGTCTTCAACCTCATTTGGGCAACCATAAGGAATCTTCTTTCCCGCCCTCACTTTAACCGGCTTCTTTGCCCTGTGAATTAAGGAGAAATGAAGGCCGCATCGTTGGGAAGTCCAAATGATTGATAAAAAAGTTGCATATAATGATACAGGAGGTGTTTGAGAAGCTGTAAAAATACTTCTCAAAAGTATTTTTTTACAAGTCAAGATAAACACCTTCACGTATTTATTTCGTATATCATAAAATTACTTCTAAAACCATAATTTTATTTTTATCCAAACACCCCCATAACATAGGACAGCTGATGCTTTATTTTTGGGTTAAACTATTTTTAAAAGGAGCATCCAATGTCAGCGTTAGACCTGGGAAAGCAGGCTGGCGGTGCGGATACGGGCCAGCCCGCCGCGGTGCGGGCCAAATGCGGTGCGGGCTGAAGTAGCCCGCACCTTGGCGGGCTGGCATTTTGCCAACCCGAGCCCGCCTAAATTTTTTTTTTAAAATTTATTATATTAGTATGAGTTAAGCCTAATTTAAAATGTTGAAATTAGGCTCCGAGTTTTAAACTTGAGTAATGGATCCTAATAAAAAAAAGAGAGAATTAATTTATAATATTAGAAGAAATTTAAGAAAAACTAACATATATATTTTTTATAAATAATTAATTTAACTAGTTTTCTTATCCAAATTAATTAAGTAAATCTTTTATGTGTGTGTATGTATGACTATATGAAAATCACATATTTATCTAATCTTATGAAGCCGTGCATACTAACGACAAATAGATATAAAAATAAAAGATGGATAGTGCTCTTCATATAACCATACATATATATGAAGTGCTTAATTAATTATATATATAATGATATGGATGAGGTAGTGTCCATATGAAATTTAATGGTCAAAATCATCTAACTATATCATATAATGTATTAAAAATCAGAAAAAGTAAAAAAAAAAAAAACGGGCTGGCGGGCTGGCCCGCCAACTAGCGGGTTAGCCCGCGGCAGAGCGGGCCAAAAGCGGTGCGGGCTAGAGTAGCCCGCACCGTGACGGGCTGGGAAAACATCAACCCAAGCCCGCCTTTTATTTTGGCGGGCTGGCGGGCTGGGCCCGCGGGCCCAGCCCGTATTACCAGCTCTAGTCAGCGTCTCTTTTAAGCAGGGCAGTGTTGTCCTTATCGTTAAAATATATTTTTTTAAACTGTTTTATTTTTTATATTTAATTTGGATACCGCCCATTTGGGAACTTGAGATTATAAATTCACTTAAAGCAATGAGATGAGAAGACAACTGAAAAATGAATCGTGGGGCATCAAGACTCATAAAAGAAAAAGAAGCATCACCCTGACATGGGCGCTTGCCCTGGGGATTATCAAAAGGGTCTCAAGATTCCTAACCCGCCATCACAAAATTCCACTCTAACTCACCATTCTGACCTTCAACAAAACTCATCACGGATCATGCACCAATTAGTATTACACCTACATTGCTCTTACCGGCAAACAAGACAGGAAAAAGAAGCGATTAATTAACATCATGCGTAATGACTACACAGACCTTCGTTTGATTCATGCGTGAGCTTTGAAAACCAGCTCTTTACAAACACCAATTCTCAGACGCCCAAAGCGGTGAAGTTCAACCTACTCGCAATCGCACAGGCAGTATATTCTCAAACCAAAATTCGGATTACTAAATTTTCTCCATCGTCTTGTTCCCATCATTTAGGCGCAGTTACTCGTCTCAGTATGAAGATTTAATATATATGGTGGTTTGCATCAATCACGCAGAATCATTGACAGTCAACCCAAATCCCAACTTTTAGGATCCACACGAGCAGGGAAAAGAGGGCTTTATTGGACTTCATGACAGTTGGAGATGATCGAAAAGCATTTAAAGACCAACAGCTTAAACCGGCTCACACTAAGTAACTACGTATGTGGATGTATAATTGATCCTTCTAGAAATATCAACTTCACAGATAGATATATGAATGAGAACATAATTATCACCGTCTGACGCTCGCAACCAAGGATTAATTTCGAAACTAACAATATTACTCTCCCCGCATACCCATGGCTTCAACTCAAACATCAGTTCACTTGATCGCATCTTCGCCTGATCTCTCCTTTCCGTCCGGTCTTCACTCCCAAGAGACTCAGTTTCTGCATTGCCTGTCCAAACGCCTGAAGGAACTTGTTCTCATCCGCTGCGAACTGTTCCACAAACGGCCGCGTTCTCGGGTCGTTGTACAGCCCGTGATCCGATTTCAAAACCCCCAGACCCTTTGGGAGGTTCTGGAAGTACATATTATCGAACTTATTGGGGGTCATTATGTCATTGAACACAGATAACGTGGGATTCTTCTTGTAATCTGAGCATGCCTGCTGCAACCCCTGCGCGAATCGAGGGTTGTAGTTAGGATCGTAAAGGGAAGAGGTGCTGTAGTTGTAGATATCTCTGCTGATTTCGCTGCAATGGGAGAATCCAATGGTGTGGGCTCCGCTCAGGGCCACCATTTCTTGGACGGAGAATCCTCTGGAGGAGAAGATCTCGATGATCTGCGACATTGGCATGGTTGGTCTGGGGAGATTGCCCTCGATAGTGGAAGCCATGGAAACGCGGCCGTCCCTGCGACCAAGGTAGACATTGTAGTAGGGGCCGCCGAGCATGGTAACGAGGTCGCGAGTGGCGACGGCGAGGATGTCGGCGCAGGAGACAGTGTTGGGGCAAGCGAGCTCGAGAGCGGTCTTGGCGCGGACAATGACATCGAAGCCGTCGCCGGGGAGGGAGAGGTTGATGTCGGCGTCGCGCTCAGCCCTGTTGAAGGGAGTGGAGGAGATGAGGACGGAGGCGTCACAGCCGTTGGGGAGGCAGTCGTGAAGGAAGAGGCGGAGGGTGGCGCCGGCGGTGGTAGGGCTGGTGATCTGCTTGTTGGTAATGGTATCCTGGATGATGTGAGGGAACTGGGGGCAGGATTTGCTGTAATAGTCCAAGGAGAGTTTGGAGTGGGAGGGAAGAAGAAGTAAAGAGAGAGAAGCGAGGAATAAAAAGAGAATGGAGGCGGCCATAGGGGGAGGTAACAGCAGTGACAGAAGAGGAAGCTCCCAAGAAGTAATGGGGGAAGGAGGGCGGAGAGGAGGAAAATAATTAGCTGGGGCAGGGAGGGGGAAACGCGCTCTCTGCACAGCATCCGCATCTTGCTCAATGCTCATTAGCTGGATATCGGCGCATTTTTCCAAAATCAATCAATGCCATCCATGTAAATAAACAATATGGCAGCTGGTCACCCCAAAAAAAAAAAAAAAAAACAATAGGGCAACTCCAAAGAGTACCAAAGTTCGGCCCCTGCATATCTCTGCCCACATTTTAGGCTTTTACTCTGAACCAACGCCCCTTGACACCGCCTTTGCGGCAAAAAAAAAAAAAAAAAAGGTCGCTCAATGCTAGTACGCCCGGCATACTTTTTATATGACCTAAGAAATTGTAAATAAATATTTGGCCTGAAGAACTTTAAAATAAATTATCATATTCATGATTACATCTCAAGACCCATATATATGTGGTGTCAAAACTAAGTGCCGGGTTGCATTGATTTTAAAAGAAATATTTTCGTTGTAAAATATTTATAAGATGAGTTTTATCTTATGAGGCGCAAAAATACTTTTCTAATAGATCCCATTATTATAGTTTTTATAATAAGATGTAATTTTCCTTTTTCTTTTTTTCTTTTTTAAATCAATTTACATTGATTTATTTTTTCAGTGGTTTTATAGAAAATTCGTTCGAGTTATTGATCATGAAACTATGAGCCCCATTTTTTACCGTATCCATGACAAGGTTGACGTTTCCATGTTGCCATTGAGCATTACATTAACGCCTGTGAGATTAATGTATAAGCTGCTTAGTTGCTTTTATATTTCCATATATCAATTTCTATTTGAAAAATAAAAATACTGAAAAAATAAAAGTTGTTTGGATTTGCCCAAGAAGTTACAAAGAAAGTGTAAGGTTCGGGCTTCCGAAAGCTAAGTATCATTTTCCTACGTATTAAAAAATGCCCTTCACTATTTTATAAGAAGTTCAATTTTTTGTCTTTTACCCTGGATTATCCAACATGAAAATTAAACAAGGAAAGTAAGATATGAAGTCATATTAAGAAATATACATGTTTAAGACATTAAAATTGTTTTGCATAAATTAGGGAATTTATGGATCCGTGATTTTGAAATTTTCAAATATTTTTTTTTTTCCAAAAAAGAGAGAGAGAGAATGAGGCAGAGGGGGCACAGGACAGCACATGGATTTACAATCACTGTACAGAAAAGAAAAGGGAATGAAGGATGAATTCGTAGGGGGGAGCACTGATCACGGGGGACGCGGTTTTCGGTGCTGGAGTTCCGCGGGCGGTGGGTCTCTCCTCTGTACCCATTCTTGCCCACTCCACACCAATATGATTCATGCCTAATGCCTAAATTAAATTACATCCTATTTTTAATTTAATTCACTTTTACTATATTTAATATCTCCCATTTGACGCGCCCTTTTTATTTTACATCTAATCGCACAACAAAAATAATTACATCTTAATTTTTTTTAATAAAACATGATTGAAAACTCTTTTTACCAGAAGTGTGACCAATGTAATAAGTGCAAGGTATGATCCGAGAAAATTTTGGACCTGTTTATTCATGGGAGATGGGATGTCGGAGTGGAAAAGCATAGCTTTTGTAAAAACCATGACAAAATGTACAAAATTTAAAAGAGGATGATAATTTTTTTCACACACACATATATAGGCGTACGATGAATGTGACGGAATTAAGAGGGTGACATGAATCATGATGAGAGTGGGTTCCATTATGGTTCTGCTGGGCTTATTATATTTCAGTTATCACCAACGTTAGTGAATAGCAATAACTAAGGTACGTGTTTTTTTAGTAATAATAATAATACATCTGTCAAAAAGCTATTGAAGAGAGTTGCTTCTGCCAAAATTAGAGGGGTTTTATTTTTGACAAACGTGATCCTAAATACATCCTACCCCTCTCTGCATGCATCAATAATTTCTTGAATAGCCAATCCTCAAATCATTCTCCTTCCAGCATCCTAACTGCCATTCTTCCTTTGATCACTTCATATCATATATCACATTCTATAATAATAACACTTTGTTATAGATAAACTTGAATATATTAAATTACAAGGTCCACATATAAAACGATTCTACATTTTTTTTGGGCCTTGGGCTTTCTGGATCCATGATTCACAGCAGACAACCCCCCCCCCCCCAAAAAAAATGAAGAGCATAGGGTTTTCTCCTGCCCTCGGACTGTCACTGATGTTCTTAGCTTCTATGCTGTCACAATTGCCATTAACCGTGAAGCCCATGAACACATCTTTTTGCACCGTCTTCGCATTCTCTACTATTAATCACTGACTCCTTGCTTTAACCTTCAACAAAGACGCCGCCCTCCTATACTTTCTTCTCTATATAGCATACCAAAATAATTTTGGTCGGGGTATGGAATTATTCAATCAAAGCAGACAATGACACACACCCACACACAGGAAGATCCCTCAGTCTAACATACCATAAATATCACCTTAAAACCACCGGAAGAAATAAGGAATACGACATAAGTTCAAAGTGGAATGAGGTGAGCGATCCCAGTTGATTTTGAAGCCGGTTACTCAAGGGAGAAATCGTATTCACCCTTCTCATACGCAGCATGTTTCTTCATGAAGTTGGCCAGTCGGGAGTCATATGAAGCTCCCTTGAATGTTTTGTAATCTTTCCACCAGCGCATATAGCTGCTATCCTCCAAGAAAATCTCCGGCGACACTGTATAATTCTTCAGCAACCCATACACATACTCCTCAAACTCCTCCAACCTCTTCATCGCCTCTTGCTTCTCTGCCACACTGGACCCTGCAGCCTTGCATTTTCGCAGCGAAATGAGAGCTTCTTCCACGTGTGCCCAGAAGCACGAATCCATCGTCAATATAGATTGCACATTCTTTCTATTTATCGACTCTGCTTTCTTATCTTCTTCCTTCCACTTCTGTAGCTGTTTGTAATGCTCTGATCTTCCTTTGTTTATGTAGTCTTCTCCTCCCTCCTTGTAGTACTTGGCTATGTCCAATGGTTCCACCATTCTCCTGTAATTAGTCCCAGCATAGAGCCATCGGGTACGAAAAACTCCAACTTCTTTCTGGGGCTTCTTCTCTACCTCTTCAACCATATCTTTCCAGTAATTGTTGAGGATCTTGACGAACATGAGAACGTCCTGGTCCCTTGGAAACCAATCGTTCTTGTAACTGTCATAGTACCCTGTTCTCCGATTCTTGGAAATTTTCTTGTACCACTCCAGTTGGGCCATATACGTTTTCATTTCATCCAGCCTCTTGTCAGGGATAAACCGTTTCCTCTTATTCAGAGTCAGCAGCAGCTCGTGCCTCTCCAAATCTTTCACCAGATCGTTCTGACACATCCAATTTGACAAAGAAACACCCGGTTAGATTCAAACTGGATTTTTTTTTTGAATGATAATTGGAAAACACGTAACAATTACAAGAGTACAACCCAAACTAACATGCCTTACTCTCCTTGATCACCATCCGCCTCAGAAACAGTGGGAGGAGGGCAATCAAAGAGGCAAAATTGCCATCAAAAACTGGATTTTCTTTACATCATTCTTTCATTCAGTTTATCTCACTTTTTAATATTCAAGTCCAGTATTTTTTCTCAAGAAAGAAAAGAGATAAGATCTTCTAAAAGTGCACGATACATTATATTTCCAGTACAGATTCGGGTTGCGATACCTGCGACAAATGTGAGTTTGAAAATCCCAAAGCCTGCAACTGCGAAGCGAGGCTCGCCTGTAGTAAATTTTGAGCCATGTTGGGAACATCAGAGTCCTTGCAAATCGCCTTACTACTGAGCCTCTCCACAATATTTCCATATCCTGGGATTTGCGGTCCTTGATTCTGGGTACTCATTTCCTTCAGAAGCCTCGAAATAGAATCGGGGTTCTCAGAACAAGTAGAACCGCAATCAGAACACAAGAGGAATGTTCCGAAGGGCCTGTACGAATCGTTGGAAATGAAGGAGGAATCCAGTGGGTCACGGTGAGAGGCTACATGCAGAAAGCAAGAGTTCCAACTGCTGCTTCGTGATATGGCTTCTTGCAGGTGTTTGTCTCCGATAAGTGGAGAACCAAAGGTGATGCAGAGTGGACGCTTGTCCGATAAACCCATCTTCTCTATCAGCCACAGAGTGAAAAGAGAAGCAACTGATCCTCCAACACCAAGCCCAGTGACAATCACCGGTTTCTCGAGATCGATCTGCATTCAGCAAAAACCCAGACACCTAACTATCAATCTCAGTAGTCACTTTTGCTCGAGTTCGGCATCGTTTTATTTGTTTGACTAGTTCAGTTGTCTAGTATGAAAGTCAACGCGCTGAAAAAAAATCTTCATAACTCCTCAGGGATCCACGGGCTATTGACGAAATGAAGGAGAAGTACGTACCTCTGATTTTAGTTGACCAAGACTCGGTCGATGATCATTGAAGAGGGACATTGCGGGTTGATTAAGCGAGAAGTAGGGGTTTTTCTTGGAACAGAGAAATTCGAAGGGGTTATCCATCATGTCCGAAGAGCAAAGCAAATCAGGTCCGACACGGTTTTGGGCAGTCCCAAACGCTATAATCGTCGAATCTGATTCATTGCTACGCTTTTTCCAGAATAGATTCTCGTTTGGATGGGTTTCTGCGTTCAGGTCGGCGATAAGATTCCATGGAGCGGAGAGAAGACCAGAGCTGGCCACAAACGATGCAGTCTCAAATCCGCTGCTAAATCTGCAACCGAAAGACAAGAAAGAGTAAGAAGCAGAAGTGATTCTTGAGAATAAAAATGAATCAAAAAGCTCATATTCACATACAATTGAGTTGTGCCTTGCGTCATCCTCAATCTTCAGTAATGTTCAAGAGCAATTCGCAAGAGACGACTACTCAGCTGTCCGAGATGACGATATATAATCAGCTAACAACTGCACACGAAATTTCCTGGAAGACACGCAGAAATGAAGTGCAAGATTCGGTGACTTTCCAAGTCAATACGCGCCTCAAAGTCGTCGAAGGCAATTTTTTTTTTTTTAACCCAATTGAGATGGGGATAAACAAACAAAAAGCGAATACCAGGATCCTTGGGGCAGGCAGACATGGCAAACTCTCGAAAGACTCTTGTTCTCGTTGCCGGATTCGGTCCACTGTTTACAAGCAACGCCAGTTATGTCCTGTGATGTTTTATTTATAATTTGCCTGGGTGTTGTTCGTTAACGAAATAAATTCCATAATAGTTCGGTAGGCGTTGGTAATCCTCTAGAAAAGGAATATAAAGTCATTTTTGGAAAGAATTCAAGGCTGCAAAATTACGCGTGATTTCCCAATCTTCCGCTAATAACTTCTTTAAGGAGAGGCAACTGTTTCTTGTCATGTATTGCCAAATTCTTATTATAAGTTTCAAATAACTAATTTATAAATAATAAATAATTAGTTAAAAATTATAAATAGGTTAGAAATATATTTTTATTTTTAAATATATTCTTGTAATAAATGAGAAAAAAATGAAAGAGGATATATAAAAAAGGTGATAAGAGAAAAATAATTAAAAGTAACATTAAAAAATACATTAAATATTAAGACAAATTTAAATTAAAACTTATAGAATAAACCACGTACTTTTATGAATTTGAAGGTTATAAATAGAATTACATGGAGTATAATTCACATGCTCCTACATGAGCATGTTACCATGTAAAAGGTTGGCCCAAAAAAAAAAAAAAAGTTACCATGTGAAAAGAATTAAGTTTCTTTCCACAACTACAAGAAACCGAGAGTCAGATACATAAAAGTGAAAAAGTGTCTGTATAGTCAACAGTTATAGTGGATACAAATTTTTTTTTTTCACTTTCTTATATCTTCTACATAAGTCTTGCTGAATTGACTTACTATAATAAATCAAGCTAGGTTTTTATGAAAAATGTAAAATTTTCATTTTCCCCCTCCTCTCTGGCAAGGATAACCACATGAACTGGGCCTTCTTGACTACTTCACGCCAGGAAGCAGCGTAAACTACTGAATCAAAGCTTTCCCCTTTCTACCAAAAGAAAAGGCCTTTCCCGTGCTTCACCCTTTTTCTTTTGGGCCACCATGCAACATTTCAGGCTCCAAAAAACTTCATGCCCCAAATGTTCCAACCCATTGATCCAGTGTTCTCAGACTATAATTTTTGTTCAATAATAAAAAAGAAGCTTCAATATTTATATCAGCTGTAATTATTTCATTGAAGACGCTGCATTATTAAGTTGCACAATTTTTTCCCCGAAAGGAAACTAGACTTCCAAAGAAATCTCACATGATGTGGCAGAGCAGAGAAATGTTCCCGATGCTTCTCAGAGTCAACAACTTCACAAAAACGGAGAATTGTGGGAGATAAGGGAAGTTTCCAAGCAGAGTAATAAATTAAATTGGCCTCGAAAAATTTAGTGCTTCTGGACGATATCTGAGAACAATGGGGATATGGACAACACAGGGAGTGTTGACCTTAAATAATACAGTACAGCCGGTAAAGAACCTGGTGCTTTCTCAGTAATTGAAGGCGAAGAAAAGCACTGGAAAAATCATTAATAATGAGAACAACATAGTATGTAGTTGAAAAGGAAAGAGCTGAGGAAAATATGGAATGTAATATAAAACTAAGGGCACTTGGGTCTGTTGCCGTGGGTGAGCATATCAGTGTAACACTTGCCACAGACTTCACGGTTGCCGAAAGTACCAGGTGGGACACATTTGCAGCGTTCACAGCATGTCGTGCATGCTCTCATACAAACTCTTTTCCTCGAGTGCACTTGGCATCTATACTCACAAAGCGGCACGCAGTCTGCCCATGAACCAGTTTCAATAATTATCATATCAATTTACGTACTTGCACACACTCACAACTAATAATATCAACGATTGCTCATGGCTTCATACGTATGTTTGTGTGTGTGTGTGTGTGTTATTTCGGTTACTGGTATTTACCCTTGTTTGATTTGACTATCGGAGCTGCAGGTGGAGCTGGCGCGACCGGCGGCTTCACCGGTGATGGTGGAACTGGGGCCTTCTCCGGCGCCGGAGGACTTGGATATGGGGTCTTTACGACTGGAGGCGGAGGAGTTACTGGCTTCACTGGTTGCGGAGGGGCATGCGCCCCCACAGGTGGGGCATCTGGTGGTGGTGACAGGGGGGATTTCACGTAGTTTATCTGTAGATCAAATAACATCATGTTTTTCTATTATACGTATATTATATACATATCAATTATAAAGATATTGGTAGCTGATACACTCTTCCAGGGATCTGATTAGTTTTCCATTCTTCAACTTTCATCAGTCATACGCAGAGAATCCACTTTCTGTGTTTGGTTTTGCTAAAATTAAAGAGTGAGCACTCAAAGCTGTTTAAGATGTGTGGCGAAAATTTAGTCTTGGGAAAGCCAAAGCAAACCAACAAACAAGTGAATCATATACCTTTATCTTAACTTTGCCATCATGTGAATGAACCTGCAGGGAGAGAAAGGAGGGAAGATTGCCAAAGTTAGTGCACTTAAACCAGTCCCACCCCATCACTTGTTACACAAATCTGTTTCTGGGAGAGTGAAGCATATACCTCTGTTGCGACCACAAGGAAAAGGGCCAGCAGAAGAATGGCAGATTTGGAAGCCATTGTTGTATAGAAGAAGCCAAGAGCGTAGGCAGTGAGTGTTGATCGAAGAGTCAAGTGCCAGTTACAGCAGCTTATATAGAGAGGGAGGATAAAGAGATATAATTTTCAAAGCATATTAAAATATGGTGCACAGAGTCAGTAAGCTATATTTTAGGGAGTGTGTCGCTGTCCCCAAAGCTGAGAGATAGGGTGTGAACCCACATGCTTGTGCTGAACTAGAATATGCATATGTATATATATCATCAAAGTGTGCGTCCGCCAGCAATGAATGGTGCTACACTCGAAGCATGTTCATATGAATGAACTTGAACTAATAATTAACACGCCTCTCCACAGATGAGATCTCATCACTTCTCACCTAATCATCTCCATATATGACGAATTTTGCAGTCAGGTTACTGTATTAAAATGGACCGTTTTATTGCATACCCTCCTGTTCTTAATCATTCATGTCATCTCACAGAGGCTTGGAGATCGAGTAACACACAAACACTGACTCGCAGCAAGTATTGCACATGGGGCAAATATGGGAAGCACGTGGGCCAAATACTGGCTGGCACCGAAGCTTTCCTTTCAAGTCAACTTGAAGGAGGAGGAAAACATGTCTGTAACACAGCTAATGATGTTGTTGTTGGCAAAGCTAATATTTTTGGTATCTGTGCGAGTTTGTCAGTTCGTGATTAAAGCTGAAAAGCATAGGAAAGAGCAATGCAGACAGAAGGACTGCACAACGCACAAGGGCTGGGCTGGTTCCAATGAGCTTCTCCGTCGATTCCAGACTTGAACAAGAAGATATGCCTTTGTCGCCACTGATTGAGTAGTTATATATGATTGAGGTAGGCGTTTAAATATTAATATCTTGATATGGTCCCTTTTTTATTGATCACCGAAATTAATCTTGTTCAAATTAAAGCATTTTATTCTGAAGTTTTTAAAATTTTGAAATAAATATAATGTATGACATTTATTTTCCCTCTTTTTTTAATTTATAAGATTTTAATGGAAAATATTATTTTTGCAGCCAATTCACATCGTAATTGGTGGAATTAGAATGTAGATGCCACGGTAACAAGAATGTACCTTCTCTATGTAGCAAAAAATTTGGTTAAATTGTGACTAATAATTTTTAACTATATTAGTTTAAGGTACTTTTACTATAATTTCTTAAAATTATTTTAAAAAATTTCAAAGGTTTCTGGCAGAAAATTATAATTATTGGAAAAGAAAATTCTTATTGTTAATCTAGAGAAGCCGTCGGTGATCCTCCCGATCTGACAGGGCCAAGCAGCGGGACTTTAATGAAAACGGCACAACGCGACCTTTACCTGCGAAGTCCGCTTGTCATAAATATTTATATGTAAATTAAGATAAAATACTTTTTATATACTTATTTTGTATGGTATAAAATATTTAATTAATTTAGACAAAATTACATAAATTCATTTTCTTTACCAGTACATAAATTGGTATGAATTTTTTCGGCCAAGTAAATTCATATGAATTGGCGTACTTTTTTAATTTAAGAAAATTCTTTTTATTGGAGATTTTACTTATTCCTAGAAACATTAATTAATCATTATTTCAATAATCTTGATTACTCCTAGTATGTAGAAAGAGGCAGCACTACAAAAACTCTAATGAGGATGTGAATGTAATTATTTCTTAATTAATCGAAAAGGCGGATTTGTTCCCCTCGTTATTTTCCATTTATACTTTTTCATGTAACAGTAATTTTTTTTAATGAGACATAATATATAAATAGAATAAAATGGATAGATTAATAAAATCATTAAATTATCTCCGGTTAAAAAAAGAAAATTATTAAATTATAAACATAAAATAATAGTGAAGAATAATTAAATTGTGGGGAGGGGAGGGAGATGAATAATTGATAGATTTGGGGGGAGAGCCTAGGATTCCAGAGGGTGGGCCAGGGCCAGCCCAGCAAGTCCCCATTCTATATAACTCGCCCTCACACAAAAAAAATGGCCTCTCTGAAATGTTTATTATTGCCTCACATCTTACCTACTCCGCTTCCTCTGCACCACTATTATTATTATTATTTAGGACATTATTAGGTTGCCTATTCTATAATTGCAAAACGTGACCAACTTGGTCCCTTTTTTTTTGCCAGGGTGACAAACTTGGTCTGAGTTTGACTTTCCTTACAAAATCATACTACCTCCGATCCTAATTATAAGACTCAGTTGACTAATTTGAAGAGATTAAAGAAATAAGTTGAGTTAGTTATTTGTCTTGAATAGGTATTGTCTTTCCTAAAATATTTTTATTAATTAAATGTATTGACTAGAACTATTATTGTTAGAAGGGCTACTTTATAAATATGAGACAAAGTGGATTGGAATCCTATATTTAAAATTAAAATAAAAATTAAACAGGATTTTATATTAAAAACTGAAAGTAGTACCTTATTAAGATGCATCTACCAGTTGCTGTTCTATATTTTAAGAGAGACTAGTCTTTACCATGAACCAATAATATTTATGATATCTCAATAAAAGAAGAAAAACATTAGGTGAAGAAAAGATCTCAGGTCTGCGTGTACTGATAACAACAATTGTTGCGGGTCAATAAAGTTGGAGGAGACAACCCGGCCAGTCAGTTTACGGAATAAAGTGCGGGGCTGAGGTTTTAATTCATCAGACAAATAACCCAATTCTTTTTTTAAAAAAATAAAAAATAAAAGGGGCTGAGTGGCTAATCTTTTGAAGACAGTGGTAAAATGGACGATCGGGTGGAAATCACGTCAGAAAGATACCCAAATATAATTATAAAATCTTATTTATAATCTATAAATAAACTTTTATAATTAGAATGGGAAGTAATAGGAATATCTAATCTAGCCATCAGCTGGCTTGTTTTCCAAGTCATTATGACCAAAATGATCAGAAAGCATTACTGCGGCTGATAAAGCCACAGGGGTCTTCCCGGATGCGGTGCCAAGAAGTTAAAGTCTACATATATATGACTCCCTTCGGTCTTATTTTTAAGTCTATACTAATTCATCCTTCGCACAGGACCTTTTATAAAACTTAATAAAGTATTCATAATATATTTTTAAAAATACTCTTATCTCTGTCACTCTTAGCTTTTCCATCTTCCCCGTCTCTTTCCCCCAGCTAATTCTACTAATAATTGAAGATTGTTCGAAAAGTTGTTAATTTTTTTTTTTACTACTTTTAACTAGATTTTTTAATCTCATAAAAGTTTTACTTGGCAATAATGCGGCATACAGTATAAATCAAATCATATATGAAAACAAAGATAGATCTAATTCCATTATCATATCACTGATCGAAGTGAGGAGGCAATTGAAATGAAATCATTTAGCAGCTTCTATCATTACAAAGCAGAATCACATGAGTGAGCTGCTCACTCAGCAAATACATTTAATCACATAGCTATATAAAGTGGAGATTGTAGTTGGCTTTAATCAAGGAATGAGCTCATGTTTTTATTCAGCAATTTTTGTGACGGCGCATATACCAAAAATTCACACGGCTTCCTCATCACCGTCCTCAAAAGCCACCCGCTTAGACCATATTGTCTTGTTTTCAACTGGAGGAGTTAAAAAAGTTCTTAATAATATCGAAACTTGAACATGTAGAAGAGATTCTCTCGAAGGAGAAAGGTAGGTAATATAAACGGCATTGTCTAGTAATGTTTTGTGTATTGACATCTCCTTCCTTGAAAAGATGTCATTTCGCTGTGTGTTAGTGGCCGTGCTTCTTTTGATGTTTGATAACTCGATATGATAATATGATTGTAAGCCCTGTTTTAAAAATAAAATTTTAATTCATATCTGTCTATCCCCAGAAATGGGAGACAATATGTTATAAATTGCAAGGTACTCTATTGGATATTCACATGATGAAATTCCAGAGCAATCTCAGTGATATGTGACCGTCATTGACGTTCCCATTAACAATGCGATGTCACAATTGCCGATGCTAGCCCGAAGCTTCCATATATAATACTTCTTGCCCCTTGGCTTTTGTATTTTCTACTATTACTTAAATCTGAGATGGTAATTTATTTTCAAACTGTCCTCAGAATGCCTCAATAAGGAAGCATGGCTACTCGTGGGAGAAATCATATTCACCCTTCTCATACATAGCATAATTCTTCATGAAGCTGGCGAGTTGGGAGCCATGTGAAGATCCCTTCAATCTGAAGTAGTCGTTCCACCAACGCATATAGCTACTCTCCTTCAAGAAAATCTCCGGCGACACTTTATAACTACGAAGCAGCCCATAAACATACTCCTCAAACTCCTCCAACCTCTTCGTTGCCTCTTGCTCCTCTGCCACACTGGACCCTGCAGCCTTGCATTTTTGCAGCGAAATGAGAGCCTCTTCCACGTGCGCCCAGAAGCAGGAATCCACCGTCAATATAGATTGCACATTCTTTCTATTTATCGGCTTTGCTTTCTTATCTTCTTCCTGCCACTTCTGTAGCTGTTTGTAATGCTCTGATCTTCCGTTATTGACGTAGTCTTGTCCTCCCTTCTTGTAGTACTGAGCTATGTCCAATGGTTCC